CCATATCTGTAGACTTTCTGGCAGCTATGTAGTTATTAAGAAATATTCTCAGATTTTGCACATTCCACTTTTCTCTCTTTTCTTTCTGTAATTCTAATTGTAATCTGGCTTCTTTTGGTAACTTTGTTATAATCATGGAAACAAAGACATCCTTGTTTACATCCTCTTCCAATGCATCTAGGCTGCGCATATGCTTTTCTAAATCATCAAATAGTCTACGGAGACTGGAAGTATTATTCAGTGCAGGTTTAATGTTTATAAGGTCCATATAATGTTTGTTAATCACAGATTGCACGTCTCCGATCTTTCCTTCAATATGGAGAGAGCTACGTCATAATTTTCATGGGACAGCATAAGGCTGGAAATAGCAGTTTGTGCCTCTCCTTCCATTTTACTTTTCAAGTAGTTGAACTTCTCAATATTGAAAAGCCTTGAGTTTTTGTGGATAGAACTTCAAAGGAGTCCCAGAATTCTTTCCACTTTAATTTGTCTCCATTAAATGAAGGTAGTTCAAACTTTGGTAGTTTAACTGCTGGAGTTTCTTTCTCTTTGCAAATCTTCTCTTTTCTATGCAGTTCCTGAATTTGGAGTTCTTGGAAATGCATCAGTTGTTCCTGCATTTTTGTCTGCAGATCTATCATGTGGTCTATTCGTGGGTCATTCGGTGCTTCAGTTCAGTTTTCATATATGGAATGTCCGCTTGTTCCAATCTCTTTTCCAGTAGTAGATCTGAAGTTCTTCTGAGTGCTCTATAACAACTTCTCGCTGTCTTCCGTAAATTCTTCAATTTCAGACTCATTGTCTTCTTTTGCTTCAAAGGCAATGGAAAGTTCTTTCATTGATTCTTCTAATTTAGCACCAAAGTCCTTTAACCGTCTCAAGGAAGATTGAATCTGCCTTAACTCTGTTGTCATATCCTCTTCTTTAGCTTCTGAAGAAAGAAATGCCTTACTTTTAACCTTTTCCTTCAGCAGTAGATTCTTGTACCTTGTACACAGTCCTTTCATGTATGAGGTTGACATCGTCTTCTTTTCCGTGATAACTTCTTGATATCAGGTTCCAATTCCCGGGTTCCGACACCAAACAATGTAGCAAATCACAATCACACGGAAATCTTCTTTAAAATTCTAGGTCATCACATTCTGACATATTCTAGAGACTTCTTGAGAATTAATTTATGAGACATATAGAACATTCTGGATTATACATGTACATCTTCAAATTTCTAAAAAAAATCATTAAAATTGCGACAGTTCGCAACAAAGAAGACAGTTTTCCTTAGTATACCATATAATGGTAAAATGTTATCTTGGGTTGCTAGAATGAACGTTGCATAAGTTAATTGCAGGAAATATGCGGTTTATGTAATCTAAAAGATGTACACAATTTGTTTAATCTTGAAACTGAAAATGAAATTGCTCAAAAGTCCATTAAATATTACAAAAATAGGAGCAGAGCAAACATGGACCTCCAAAACATCAGAGGAGGGATCAGGTGTCGCATCCACCTTGTGCTCATTGTCCATGTTGTCATGTTCGGGAAAAAGCGGAAAAATCCGTGGAAAGATCAGTATGTAAATAATGGCCTAACAATCAGTATGAAGAAATCTGTCAGCATTAGACTTAATGATAAATTGTATTTGTTGATTGCAAGTCATTGTATCGGCCATAGAACTTTCAAAATGACTACTTTGAACGAGGCTGCTGATATTCTTGTTTCAGCAACCTGTTTGTCATACATTTATAACGTATCTTGTTTTAAAAAAAATTCATTGCATTTCCTTATCGAATCAACTCAGAGATATAAAACTCATATAAACTTCATATGCAGATGATGCATAAGTAATTAAGGAGGTTTTTGATTGAAAATTTAAGTCATCACATTTATCGTAAAGCTTTGTTGTTAGATAACCATTAAGGTTTTTTTTCTAAGAAAATATCCAAATATGAAACAGACGTGTCAGACTCTGTGGTATATTTTATTTTAAGATCGCCGAGATATTGTATATCAAGTCAACACAAGAATGGAAATAACTATTGTTATTTGACAATACGTCGTCGTAAGTTGTTGATTTTGGTAAAATCTTGTGATTTCAAATTGTCCAAACGTTCCTTGGAATTTTTAAGTATCCACATCTGATTTACACCACTTCTCGAATGTATTGTTGCACAGTACTCTTGAAGTTTCTCCTTCACTTCTGTTAATATCTTAGTGAAGAGTAAAAAAAAGAGGCATGGTAGAACATTTACTGGAAACCGACATATGACTTTGAAGAATTGCCTCCTTAGAAAGGGAGCTCTGAGTATAAGTAGTATCACACCCTCGCGTTAGATGCGTGTGCTTGTTGCAAAGCTACTAGGGTGGAGTAAAGGTAAATAAGAATAAATCCGCCTTACGATTCGCAGACTTTTATTTCTCCGTAGGTCGGACAGTATCAAGGACAAGTGCGTCCCGATTGCAACCCTCCGAATGTTAACAAAAATTTGTATTTATAGAATAGATTGATAATTGACAATTTTGAGTATCATATGACATGAATTATTTGATTTACAAGTAGAGTTAATTTAAAAGATTGTGATTCTAAATAAACAATAATTAAGTCACACTAAGCACAGTCCATCTGGTCATACCACTCATGGTTAATTAAGATAATTGAATATTTCAAAATAGATTAATCTGACAGATTGAATCAATATGACAACTCATTAAATTAAAAACAGATATGAGAATTTTGAATTGATAAGATCCAAAGTAATTGTCAAAATGTCCGATGGTACATTTTCATCTGTGATAGTAGGATCACCGTAGAAGTTCCTCTAAAATAAATTTAATATGATTAGTGTTACAAACAAATACAATGGTTTTATCTGCTTTAAATTTGTCATCAGGGACCAGTACGTACTGATCATGTAATCTATCTATCTTTTTTTTCTTTTTTTTTGCACTTTTTTCATTTTTTTTTCAATTTCTTTATTGCAAAAACATACGTCTTAAAGCAATATACAATATATAAACGAAGGAAATGATCGAAAATGGACGGTCAGTCCTTGTAAATCCTTATGGAACATGCAACATACAAATTCATGTTAACAGTCTTTTCAGTTCATATGGAGAATGACATGAGATCAATGCAAGTACATGTAATATAGCAGTTTTAGTCATATCAACAATATAAAAGTAACAAATCAACAAAAACACACAATTACATGATTAAATCATATCGAAGCGCGAGGGTTTTATATATTTCCCTGAATTACATAATTCTTTTACATTCTTTTACATTATTCACACTTAGTAACTGTATTAATTTGTACATAGATGGCCTATACCAATAATATTTTTTTCAAAAGGTTTGATCGTAGTATTGAATAAATTGGGCATACAAGTAGCTTCAAGTAATACACTTCTGAATTATTGAATACAGAAGGATAAGATAATTTTCATATTGCTCCTCAATGTGCAATTTAAACATACATCTATCTTGTCTTCTCTTTCATGTCTGGCCCATCGCCTGGAGTAATCTTCTATAGAATCCAGTATATTCATAAAATTACTACACCAGTGGGAGGATTGGGGTTTCCTATACTTAGGACCTTTTAAAAAAATGATCTTAGGTCCTCATTATTAACTTTACATCACTAGAAATAACGTGTCAAGTAGGAATATGAGCACGATGGAGGATTATGTTTCATATACTCTATACCCAGGCCATGTAAAGTTATCTTGTAATTAAAGTTTGGAAGCAATGTTCGTTGTAAATTTGTAGGAAATACAAGGTGTAGTTTTAAGCTTGAAATTTGATGGAATACAAGACTGGACCCTTTAGTGACTGAGAATATTACTTATAAAAACCGCGTCAATTCCTTTATTGGTATATTGAAGTTTAAGGAAAAACATATTGTTTCAGCTGTATTTTTTTCCAGGATAACGTGGCGGTTTAAAAAGACTATGATTTGCAACCCATAATCACAAATCTGAGCCAGTATTCTGGTGTCAAGAAACTCAAAAGGGACTTTCCTTGGCCTTTTCATGTGAAGTAGACCTAATTGCTGATTTATGTAAGACTGATTCCCCTGACTACGTTAACGTCTCTGTGTATGATTGAATATTCTCATCACATTTACATTCTTACACTGTGGACTGGAAAGGTTAAGTCCCAACAACATCGACATTCCCATTGCACCCATATACATGTATAGGGAAAGGGTGTCCATAGTTTTCTAATCCAAAATTCTTCTCGTTGCCTATGGAAAGGTGTACTCAGTGATGGACTGTGTGTGTGATGAGATATTTTTCCTAGAATTCTAGACATTTCATTGACAAAATAGAATGATCAGACAAACTAAAGTGCTTTTGTAGAGAAGCTGTTGGCCCCGTTGTTAATTTGAAATCTGTGACCCGATATTCTTTTATGAAGTGAACCCTTGGTTTCACCAACATAAATCAGTCCACAAAGGGTACATTTATTCCAGCATAAGAAGATCAGTTCAAATTTTCCCAAGTTTTGGTGTATGAGCTCTGTCCAGTAAGATTACTAGAAATAGAAGTGTCACAGGTTTTCCATTTTTTGCAGAACATTTTAAAATAGAAGAAATGGGATCTGAAAAGGACTTGATACAAGATTACAATTGATATAAGATTCCAAATGAGAGTCCGTTTTTGAGCAACAAACGAAAACTGTTCAACCGGCTTTCAAAAAAAGTTAAATTCAAAACTAGTATGGCTTTAGGGAGCTCTCTGCTTGGTGCCGTAAAAATGTATCTAAGATACCTTTTTTGTTGGTATTCTTATTAAGGTCAGTATAAGTGAAATACAAGATAAAGTAACTTCCACATTACTCAGATACGAATATTGCAATATTCGCTTCCTTCAATCAAAAGATACACTGTTGTTTAAAATGTTTATTTATTCTACATGTATTTATTAATCTCCAGAAACAACAAAGTTGTTACTCAGATACGAATATTGCAATATTCGCTTCCTTTAATCAAAAGATACACTGTTGTTTAAAATGTTTATTTATTCTACATGTATTTATTAATCTCCAGAAACAACAAAGTAACAGCAATGGCTATTTCAAATATGTTATAATAAATTTGAAGCGGCCATGAACAAGTATACGCACACAAAAACCTTCAGAATAACCAAGACCTGCACAAAATATCAACGATCATGAAAACATTTCTTTTACCATTCCAAATCTTCAATATAGGAAATCCCAGTATTGCACAAATTACAGGTTATGTTAGATGCACGTGAAGATGGCATGCTGACACGTGCTTGGTTTCTACACATCACAATGTAAAACCACTCAATGATAAAACCCGTACAAAAACGCAGTTAGAATAAGACCTGCGGCAGCGTTCACGTTAAGGATGGTCCGCCATTTTGGAGATTCTTTCAGATACTTGCGCGTCATTTCCGGTCCAATGTGAGGATCGTCCCCGCTGTGACGTTTGGTGGGCATTCCACAGATCTGGTCCACCCATCGTCTCCACAGCGGTCGATGATCGCTTTCATCGTGTATGACATCTATTGCATCATCTAGAACAAACGGGTTTTTTTTTTCTAAAATAATTATCACCCATTATATGAATCTGTTGGTTTTGAAATAGTTTCTAGTAAGGAATATGTGAGCATGATTCATATTATTGTTTCCTCATGTGCATATATGGAAAGTTAAAGGAGAACACTTTTGGCATGTCTGTTTTCACATAGTTAACATGTACATACAAAACCACAATTCAAGTGGAAATTTGGCACACATAGAGTCACACACATAGCATATATAATGCGATTTGTGTTTGACTTCAAAATGCGAAAAAAATATGTAGGTATTGTGACAAAAATTGGTGGTCTTTTCTGAAACAAGCATCTGTAAAGTTAAAGTAATATTAGCGATTTTAAAAATTTGCTCAAGGTTTAAAGGAAGACTTGCCAGATTACATATAAAATGTTTAATTAATTTTTAGCGAAGATTCAATTTTAGCAATTTCATATGATCTCAGTTTGAAAAATAGTTGAATATCTTTACCCTAAAATATCGCTAATAATGCCAAAATTAAATCCTCACTAAAAATTCTGCTTATACGGCACTCTTTTGATCTTATTTTGCTGCGCTATGAATATGTTTAGCAATATTCCCTTTCAGTGCCTTTGGAAAAGAAAATAATTTTCTAAACATTTTACTTATTGTAGCAAAATAGTATTTGTTTAGTTTTGTTAGATAAAAATTTCATGCACCGAGTTAAAATCAACAGATTATTATTGCAGTTTGTGATCAACCCATTGCTATCTTTATATTGTATAACAATTTGATCTTTTCTCTGTTCAGTATTATTTTTATTGATACCTGTCTGATTTTCCTCGTTTTTGTTCACGTTTTCAGTAACTTCAGATTCCTTTTTATCTTCAGATTTCGACATTTCCACATCATTTGTACTGGATTCTTCTACTCGTATTCTTGTAAACCAAGTGACACCTTTCAACTACAATGGTAAAGTGTACTTGTTATTTATAAGCATATGGCAGGGAACATTGGAAGGCTTCACATTATTTTTCCGAATTATTAAAGCCCTATCATATAAGTTCCAAGGAACACTTTTATAGCCTGCATTATAGCATCATTACAGATGCAGATAAATCTTATAATAAACCAAAGTCAAAGTTCAAGACAAAAATTCGAAATGTAAAGTGCTCAAGGGAAGGTCTTTTTTACTAGAAAAAAATACGTGAAATATGAAAGCCCTTCCACAACAACCATTCAAAAGTTATTAACAAGGTTCAAGTTTTCAAAAGAAGGTCAAAATTCAATGTCATGGTCAAAGAGTTCCTAATATTTGAAGCCAAGGAAAGGTCTTATAATGAGATATACACAGGTAAAGTACGAATGCTCTAGCATCCACCGTTCAAAAGTTATGACAGGTTTAAGTTTGATAAAATTTTGCCAAAGTTGTCAAAACTCTAAGGTCAAGTTAAAAAGGTCAAATATTTTGATAACCAAGGAAAAGTCCTATCATATTGGATACACAAGTGAAATAAGAAAGCCATAGCTCCAAATAATGAATAAAGTTAAAGTATACGATTGTGAATAATTTCAATCCACTTGCAAAAACATTTTTATGGTTAAAATAAGTTTTGATGACGGCAAACTCACTTGCTCTTCAGTGCGGGGTGTTGTCAGAAGGCTTATGATGATAATGGCGGTTGAAGTTATGACGATCATCAGTGCTCCGAAGTAGGTGTAGTGAACGTTCAGTAATATTCCTGGTCGGGTCTCTGGTTCTCCGCAGTCGGGCGCGGGATACGCTAAATCTATACCCATCCTTATGATACCGCAGGTATGGCCAATGGCTATTCCCCAAAAAGCACCCTGAATTACACGGATGCATATTAAATCAATGTTATCTTGTATATCTATCAAATCATTTAGCATTCATTGCTCTGCTCTGTTTTAATCAACGAATATAAAAAATTCTCATGTCCCAGACAAGCAGAGGTAATCAGAGGTTAAAAAACTCAACTCAACGATTTCTTTAGGTACGGTAAATCCCTCATTAAAATAATTATCTAATAGAGTACATCCCAAGATGCAACATTTATGCAATTTTAATGTGATAGGGCTTGCAGTTACTATTGAATGGATTTATCCAAACTCCCAACAAGGATAACTCGATCATACAAAAAATGTAATTTAAATCCAGCCTCTGAACAATGGAGAAGTGTTCATCCGTTAATACATCATACATTCAAATTTGATTCAGATGGGCCAAATGGACCTGTGGCAAAACATTTAATCTGGTCACTCATCTGGAAAATGTACATCAAATCCAGCACTCATAGCAGATCCTTAGATGTATCATCAATGCATGTTTGGTCAAGGTGCAGCAAATAGCTATTTTGAAATGAACATTCTCCAAAATCTTGAATCTTGTCCCTCATCTGGGTCAAATACAGCATGTGAAGCAAGTCCAGTGGTGTGCTTCCTTAGGAGTACACCAGTGCAAGTTTAGAAAGTACCATCGTCACAAACCACGGCCAAAATATACCACCCTCTACCATTCTGGCTGTGTTTGAATGAGAAGAGAATATTTCAAACTTCATTAAAATATTGAACAATGCGAGTTAAGCATAGACTGTAAGTGAACTTTTTCGTGATTTTGCAATACCAAATCGCAGTTTAGGAAATAATTTTGTGTACTGACGATGTCAATATTGATTTCAATTGCGATGGAAACAAATATTGTCATTGGATGAACATGACGTTGCAGCATATAGGCGAAAATATTCATGATTACGACAATTTATGTGATGAAGTAGCCACGGGTAGGTGGCTTGAGACGATTGCCTTTTACGTAGATACGAGGGGTTATCAAAAAGTTCGTGGACTAACGTCATAAAATTAAAACCGCTTTAAGCACATCAATGGATTTTAAAGTATCAGATCCAGCATCTTTTCAAGTCTGGATAAACCATATGCATCCTTTTATTTTTTAACTACATGATTGTGTATGTTATAGTTTCTGTAGAATGAATAAGCTTGAAAAACTTTAGCCTGGTCGTTCATCCAGAAATTGTAGGTCAGTTTCGACATCCGTTCAGCATGCCTGGTAATGGGCATATTTAAATGTATCATCACTGAAAGTTTGATCAACATAGGGCTTAAAGTTAATTAGAAATGAGACTGCTCAAAGAACTTTAACCTCCTCCTTTACCTGCTCTATAAATATTAACCTAGTTGAAACTGCAGCATCTGAAGCCATGACTGTTACAATGAAGCCACCGGAAGCATCTGTTAAACATTTCTAATTAATGTACGACAGAGAAGTATTTCAAAAGAAAAGTGAAACAAAATCTAAACGTTTGACGCCGACACCGAAGCCGAGGGTATCTCATAAGCTCCCTCAAACTTTGTCGAGAAGAGCTAATACACTTTTGATAGAAAAGACTTGAAAGGGTCCATCGACAGAGGCCATCGGCATCGTGTGTCAATGTTTACAGGAGCTGGTTTAACTACCTTAAGGCCCTTTCACAATTGGCGCACGAGCATAAATTGAAGCGACACATAATTTATATTCAAAAATGTGTTAATTTTCAATTTTGGTATAAAACACGATCGTAAACTGTTGCCAAAATAATCGCATATGAAAAAAGTGTTCGTACGACTGTTTTCCATTAAATCCTGCGATATATCTTGCGTCTATATGCGACTGTTGTAGAATGAAAGCGAGTGTTGTAAGATAATGCCATAGGATTGCACGACTGATCAGGTAATCGGACGATTTAACGTGCGACAAAACGACTAGACGTAGTTAAGATGCTTATAATTATACACGGTATATAATTGTTGTAAAGCATGGCAATTTAAGGTGATAAATCAAGCAATGGTAGTAAAACGTTGCAAGTTTACATGAGACATGTTGAGCAACAGTCTCGTGGTCGCAAAACACACGCAAAGACAGCTGCAATTCATCTTACGATCTTAAAAAATCGTGCATCACTTTCTTTAAAATGACAACATAAAACGTTGTAAGACGTTCGATATTGTAGTTTTCCGTGCGTTGAATTGCGATAATTTTGATCGCATTTGGTCGCGTCTGAATAGTGTGCATGTTGACTATTTTGAGGCATCTGAAGCCTTGACTGCGACCACTAAAACACATGCAATGAATGCGAGACATCGAAAAGTGCAACGTATTTGAAGCCGACACCGAGCTCGTGCGAAGCTAAAATTTTCCGATCGCCAAGTGTTGTAAAGTGGTCGTGCGCCAATTGTGAAAGGGCCTTTATCATACTTACGTGCTCCGTCATCCTTTTCCACATAACACCAATAAAGAAGAGCGCCCCTATCGGCGTTCCCAGGTAACCCTGCACGGCCTGGATGTAGTTAAAGAGTTGTCCCCCTTGAGAAGATCGAACGAGAGGGATCCAGAGAATACTCACACCACAAAGAAACACGATGAAAATTCTACATGAAAGATCAAGTTAATTACTGAGAACGATTTCAAAGAATGACATACGATTGTATTACTTTTTTCTTCAAAATTATTCGGAAACTTCTTATAAAAGAACTCCATTGAAACTTTGGATAAAATATTAAAAGCCTGCACTATAAGTATTGAATTTAAGAACCGTTTTTAGAATGTCGATAGAGAGTCCCCTGGTTCGAAAATTGCAGGATAACAATCCATGAAAAGTTTCGACCAATAAAGCAAACAAAAAAGAGTTGTTTTTTAACTGAACTCAAAAATACCTTCCAACAATGAGTAGTTCTCGTTCATGGGCATGTGGGCGCATGCGTCTCCAGAGGTCCATTGTAAAGATTGTACTAGAGCTGTTGAAGATTGAGGTCAGAGAACTCATGATAGCTGAAAGCATCACCGCCATTAACAGACCACGGACGCCTATATATTCAAAGAAACCGAAACAATTTGTAGGAAGACTATTTCGAATTGATAATTTGTGATAAGCGAACGCATACAATACTTGCTTTTCTTTTTCCAAAACTTTTACCGTTATCCAGTGTTTATTTACCACAGGGAATTGGTGTCTATACCATAGGAAAGTAGAATCAGATCCAGTTTTATGATTAAATGTAATAGGGAAGTATTCCCAGAACTAGTTTCATGTTTATATACCATAGGAAAGATGTTCAACATACCATAGGGAAGTAGCTCTAGAACCAGTTTAGGGTAGGCGATGTTGGAGCAACCTACAGGATTGTCACAGAATTTTTTGCATTCTTCAGGATCAACGCAGGCCACTTCATCTGAGGACAAAATAAATACAAGATACAGAACTAATTTGTATTGTTTTTGATGTGTAAAAAGATGTGCCAGAAAAGCAAGGCAGGTAAGGAAGGAGATAACATTTCGGAGTGTTTTTGTCTCCTTAATATACACTGTAGACCCAGGTGTCTCTTACCTGGAAATAAGGCTCTGCTAATCATCCCCGGAAAGATCATCATAAACAGCGGTAGTAGTTTGAGATAGCCAGCCAATATAGAGGCACCCTTAGCATGGGACAGATTCCTGGCACCTAAAGACCGCTGAACAATCACCTACAAAACAGTTTTGTCGATGTATAACTTCACTGTTCCTTTATATGTGCATTTAATCTGGTACCTTTGTTTTTCAATTTAGGATCACCTGATCACAACACCAGTACCAGAGGCAGCCCAGGCTAGATTGTAAAATAAGTCCTGGCCAAGGGTTATCTCCCGTTTCTGCGTCTCGAAAGATGTGAAAAGCATCGCTCCTGGGAAACCCGCAGGTGCTGTTTGGGTTCCTGATGGATGGTATGGCTTCCATGTATCTCTGTTGTAGATTGTTATATCCACCAATCTTATTAAAACCTTCAAGTACATTCAGATGTATCAACCATTAAATTGTTAAAATTTTGAAGGTTAGAGGAGTTGGTTCGGGTGGAGGATAAGTGCTGAAGACACAATCCTTTGGAAAAGATGGGGCAACACTAACCCAACAATTCATATACCGGTAACAAATTTTATGCAATGCGTGAGAAAATGCCTCGTTATAATGTTCTTGTAATATGTTAAATTTAAAAAAATCTCCTTTGTTAAGAGGTAGAAATAGTTTCAAAAACAACACGAGGACCATGTAGCTTCATACATGTAATGCATGATGGAACTCTCAATCTGCTCCCAACCATGAACATGAAGCTTAACAAAATTGATTTATGACATACATCTGGATACATTACTCGTCCTGAAGTTTATAAACCCAGATAGATGAAACTTACTGATTCCAACCAAAGCAAATGAGCCCAGCGTCATGACGACTGTTTGTAGAGTATCCGTGTAGATTACTGCTTTCAGTCCACCTAGTGATAAAAAAGAGTTGATTACCAATCAAACTCTTTAGTGTTTGGTTTGGATTGGGGATCAAATTAGATTTAATCATCCATATTTGGAAATATTGAAAGCATAAAGAAACCAATTGCAAGGGTTTCCTATCAGCCTCGGTAGCTAGGGATGATTACCCCATGGCACGTGATTTCAATTCTTAGGTTTTAGAGGTCCTTGTTCGTTCTGCTTCCGATATGAATTAATCAGGATTTTTGAGCTTGATAACTTTTCGCAATCTTTACATTTCATTTCTTGTTAGGCAGTTGAAGAAGCAATGAAAAGCGCAGGGTCATCATCAAGAAGAAATAATAAACAAAGACATTCAGATTTCGAGATTGCAGATATGCTAAAACAAAAACGCGATGCTGACGATTCGACGGATCCAGAACATGATAAAGGGATACAAACAGAAATACGGGGGCAATAAATGGATGAAAGCTTACAGCAACAATGCATTCTAAGAATCCCTCTCCATTTAAGAACTTTGAAAATAGGACGGGGTAGATCCAACAATACTCCTTAATTATTTAGTTTATTCAGATCAAATAGTTTTAAAAAATGTTTATCAGCAAAAATTTACAAACAGAAAATATTAACTGCAAAAGGGTGTATTATGAAACATAAGGAGATATTGAACAGTTTATAATGTCTTCAAAGAGAAGCCAAACTTTAATGGACGTTCATATTCTAAACTCATGACATGGTGAAGAACCAGAAGCAGGCCCACTTACCCAGTATGGTGTATATACCCGTGGTGACCAGTAGTGCCACGATAGAGACGTACATATTCCAACCCAGCGCCAGCTGTATAAACAGAGCGCCAGCAAATATACTCACCTAAAATTTATAAAAATTCATTAAATTAATAGGGTTCCTGTCATATAAAGTAAAGGATAAACAAATATCTTGCAAAGCGAAATACATTAGCAATATGCAATATCTCTCAAAAGAAGTATTGAAAAATAAAATGAACTGGTTCCAACTACTTTTTATGTATCGACCAATAAAAAGGGTGTATCGATCGCAATGGCATATGCTACGCCGTCAAATGAGCGTGCAATCAGTTCAACCTGTAACAGTTTATAGATCTTGATGATTTTTACATGCCTGTGCATCCGCTTTGCTGTAGTTACACATAAAAAAAATTAATTTCAAAAAAATGTTAATATTTAAACATTTATCAATTGCTTGTGTTGGTTTTATATTCTGTCCAATCTGCAGCTTAATTAATTGTATAGTTTTAAATTAAATGATGACAACGCTACTGATAAAATCAAAATTTTAATACTTAGCAATAGTATTTTTATTAGACATTGTAACTAACTACAGCTTTTTTGGTGAGATCTAATCAACTAAAATTCGTATGTTTAACGCGAAAGTTTGAATTTACCGCCAGTTTGGTGACGATATAGAGTATAAGAGCCAGAACGCTGAGGTAAATCCGGATCCTGTGCCCCCCGAATCTCTTTTCCATATATTCCGGCAAAGTGTATACCTGTGAAAAGATATCAGAACATACGATAGCCATCACTGATCCAAATTAATCAATTGTATTATCAGAAAACATAGGTAGGAAAAGATATTTCATGGGTAAATTATTTTTGCTTTGAAAAAAAAGAGCACTGAATGAAATAAAAGTAAAAATTCCTCCCTATTGTTATCTATATTTAGCCTCGATTAGTGATAAATGTTCGTTAATTGTATCTTAAGATCTTTGATTTATCTTTGTAATGTTAGAAATCTCACTCCTGCTGAGATGTAGACCGGAAGGAAGAGCCAGGCTAATAGTAACACCAGGGGCATACTCTGTAAACAAGTCGACAGCAAAGTAAACAGAAGTAAACATAAACATAGAAAATAAACACTAGATCACATTTCGACCTACAATAATTTTCTCCTGAGTCTTTTATCTATAGAATTTAAATTTATGCGTGATCAGATTTGGTGAATAATTACCGCCCATTCATACGATATCATGGCGATTCCTGCTGCTGCACCTGTTCCCGCCAAACCAACAAAGTGCTCGCTGCCGATGTTGCTGGAGAATAAGGAAGCCCCCACCTGAATAAGCATTATATCACTTTAACTCATTAAATAAATAATTTTATTTCATTAATTTGCCACGATTAAAATAAAAACAATTGAAAAAAAATTTAGATAAGTGAATGCTTTTTTGAATCTTAATACGTGTTATACTTTTTTTTGTCACGTTTGGAAATTAATTGTAGGTATTGCTTATAAAAATTTTCTTGTACTCACAGGAAACCATGTCAAACTTCTTCCCGCCAAAAAGTAACTGTTGACACTCCCCCTGTTCCCTCGGAAAACGGTCTATAAACAAAGGACGTGTTTCAATCATTTGCATGTACTAAGTTTAGAAGGATTATTTTTACATCAGGGAAAAAGATTATAAAAATTATAAAGTAATATATATGTCTTACCCATAGTCCTACTCCAAGAACTCCCACAAAATAAATCACCACCACAACAATGTCTGACCAGTGGTCTAACCCTCGGGACGCCATGACTAGGCTCAGCACTGACCAGTGTATTATAAAGCTCGGCTCATGACCTCAATCACTAATTGTTTAGTTTTACTCGGAGAAAGTTTATCTTGGAGTAAATGAGGTCTTATCTAGGATGCAGCCTTAGGAACTTCAATCGGCACAGAACCCGTGAAATTTGGAGCAGATTCATTTGTAGATAGAAGAGCCGGGCTTGTGTTCTAGTTTTAAATCTGAATTTACAATCAGTGAAAAAAGAGATAAGTAAGGCATGTAGGTATAAAGGCACGCGTCTCTGCAGTGTTTACATTCATTTTTTATTTATACTGGGTAAGCGCAATGCGAATTTATCTATAGATACTCAGGAATTCATTAAATTTATTGTAAGTACGTTTTTGTTGATAGACATTTATTTATCAAAGTGTGTCTTAATAAAGTATTTATAAACGAAAGGGATCTCTACACAAATGACAGGTACATAATTATGAAACATAATAAATCAAATTTTGAATCTATTTTCATTGTAAATGAAACTTTTATTGAAAATTGCAAAAATCGATTTGAAAAAAATTCAGAAATTATAAACTTTCTGTTATGCTTAATTTCTTTCTCTGTGCAATCACACCTATCAATAGAGGCAATGAAATTCATAAAATAGTCTTCAAGCCCTGAAGTCCATTTAAATAATACAAATCAGGAGCAGAGCAAACACGGACTTCTGAAATATAGAGCGGAGAATTAGGTGCCATGGAAGAGTGAGCATCCCCACCGACCGGTAACACGGGTCGTGTGCTTCTTGTTCTGATCGGAAAATAAAGAAAAATCCACTTTTCAGTGTGTAAGTATACGTCTTTCATTTAGTATGAAACACGCGTTCATCAATAATTAATTCATTGATTCTGCTGGCTCACAAAGATCATTGTATAGACTATGAAACTTGAGAAAATATCACTTTAAACGAAACTGTTGATATTCTTGTCCATCATTTTTTTTTTTTTTTTTTTGTAAATTACTTACCTCGTATGTGAAATGTTCATTCTTAGAAGTAGCTGCAGAACTGTAGCTCTCCGGAAAAAATATTCTGACAGAGTCACAGACCGGAGAGCAACAGTGCCACCCATTGAAAAAAAAAACTGTATAAAAATTGCACTTGGTTCTCGATCAATTCTTCTAAGTTCTTACCTCAATTGCAAAAAAACTAAATTAAAAAAAAAATCCTTACTTTTCCATCAAGTACTCTCGTAGTTAACATCTGCACGAAGCGCACTGGACCGAATCATCTTGCAAACAAAAATGGCAGTATAAATGAACGAAATGATGACTGCTCTTAACGCTGTGTTTTGGATCTTCTGTTGCTTTTAAATGTTTAACTAATTTCACTTTTGTATATTTACTACTGAGGTCAGTTTGGCACCAGATTTAAATGGTAAAAATAATTTCAGACTGCGATACAATTAATTAATTCCATGTTTTTGTCCTTACCTTTTTCCAAATACAGAGAATTTACATTTACATAATACATATGAACCTGCCCTTGATTGAACATGAGGTATGCATGAGAGGCGGAGCTAACATCGTAAGCATGGGTCTAAATTTAGACTAGATGAATAAAAATGATAAGCATAAAAAATACAAGATCAACATTTACAATCTCCCTATTCAGTATGACACAAGTACATCATATACAAAGTTTTAAAACGTAATAATATGATTCCGTCCATGAAGTAAGGAATAATTTAATCGATGACGATGCCTGACAATTTAAGGTTTTGCCAAAGGTCAAGATTTCCAAAAAGGTTTTACAATAGCTCCAAAACTGTGTAAAGTACAAAGTTTAAACTTTAACAATTATAAATATTTCATTGATAAACAGATAGAACGTATCACTTCAAAACAAATATTTTTTTTAAAAAAATGATTTTTTGAAAAAAAAAAATATATATATTTAAAAATTTGTATACTTTGAAAAAAGTGCACCTGCTTAATTCTGTACTTTTATTGAAAACCATCACGATTGCAGAAATTGTTTATCAATGAAGGGCAAGTTGGCCGTGAATGGTCTCTAAAAGGCCGTTATTGAAAGCATGAAGTGTTAAAATCCGTCATTTGCAATGTACTTTCGGTTTTATATATTAACATTTGGACAAAATAAACAGACTTCGCCCTTGATTTGTCTACGCCTTCGTACCCGGCGTACACTTTTCCATAATGTAGTGCAAAAGTGTACACTTTAGGTGTACACCATCTACACCCTGTGAAGGGCATGTGTAGGGAACTGTACCGTAAATTCAAATTCTGCTTCATATATAGGTCTGCTAATAACAGAGCGCAACTGGCATCCATGGGAATTCGTCTCCAAAAACCACAGAGATATTGTCAATCGGAAACTCAAGCATCTTTTTGATGTCAACTTCAGAATACTTGTGTGTGCACTCAGAATGTGTTTAAACAAAATAATTTTGCAAATGACCAATGACCAGGTCAGTAAATTTACGAGTTCCATTTTTTTATTGGAAATATCCAAAAGGAACAGACGTGTCAGATTCTGTGGTTTTATATTTATTTCAAGCTGACCGGGATATATCCTGTCGACATATGAATGGAAGTGAAAATTGTTCATTGATAATAAGTCGTCGATATATTTAAATGGCACAGGAGGTATTTTCTTCTTCCCCTGAAGATGTTTTTGAATAAAATCTGCTTCATTTAAGGACAGATGATACAAACAATTTTTTTTTATCTTTGGAGGAGACTTAATATCATGCCATAAGTTCAGAAAAGAGGATATTTCTTAGAATTTTTTCTTCAAAGAATTGGAAAATGAAATAGGCTTGGAAAATATTAGTAATATTTCAATAAAATTACAAATATGGACAAAACACACTCAGTACAGGTTTACAGATGAAAAGAAATTTTAGAATATGTTAAATTGGTGCTAAAAGTGTAAAATAAACTTTAGAAAAGTAAACCAAGAAAGGTGAATTTTATCAGGAAAAGCAAAATGGTAAAAATTAACCTATATGATATTAAATATTGTTGAATTCTTGTCATTTTGTTTGTCCTCATAAAATTCACCCGGCTTGGTATATTTTTCTTAAGTTTTTATTGCACATTTAGCGCCAAGATAACATATTCTAAAATTTGTTTTCATCTGTAAACCTTTACGGAGTGTGATTTGTCTGTATTTGTTTTTTTTTTTTTTTTTTTTTTTTTTTTTTTAAATATTACTGACATTTTCCAAGTCTTTTCATTTTCCAGTTCTTTGGAGAAAAAACTTCTAAGAATTATCCACTTTTCTGAACTTGTGACATGATATGAAGTATCCTCCAAAGAAAAAAAATGTTTGTATCATCCGTCCTTAAGCATAAAATTAAGCTTGTTAACAACACGGTGAAATTAATAATAATGGGAATTTGGACAGATTATTGGAAGATCTCTTATCTAGAAACTACGTTTAATTCTTTATTGTTAATAAAAAAAATGAAGCAACTTTTTATATCAGCTTTAGAGTATTTGTGTGTACAATCAGAATGTTTTTAAACGGAATTAATTTGCAAATGACGAAAGACAAAGTAAGCAAGTTTAAGAGTTTCATTCCAATTAATCATCTCTTGCGCTTGTGTCCTTTTCCATTATGTTATGGTCTATGTTGTTTAAATTAAACCCTCAAGAAATTTTATATGGATATATTAGTTCTATTGAAACTGCTTTTGGGACGTTAAATTTAATCATGCTGGTTACAAAGCAATAAACTGTATAATGAATTGTAAATGGAAAATTATATCAACACTGTCTTTACATGCTTACTTTGAAGTACTTAGACATTAAAGATTTCCCATCCTTCTATCCAATAAGAAAGCAGGCATAATAAAGCAAAGTTAGGATTACTTGAAAACATTTCTCAGTCAGTGAAGGATATAATGATAAAACAGGAACATGATTATAAATATTACTGTGTCCATTTTTTCAAAATTTTTGAAATGGATTTCGTTTTTGTGTATCATCTATAAATATTTTTTTCTCGTAATTCCATGATGTGCTTTTTGTCAAATCATTTATGACAGAAATAAAAAAATATATATATAAACAAAAACGAGTTCCAGTTTTAATTTGAATAGCAGCTCTCAACGAAATCAAAAAACCATGCCATTAATTTATCGTAGAGAATTGTTATAAATAGAGTTGAGATCGTTTTGATGGTATTGTTGATTTGATTTTGGTGTATATATTATGTGATTTCGTGATTTCAAGTTTTCCAAATATTCTTTGGAATTTATGTATTTTGGTTTGATTTACACCACTTCTTAAATATTGTTGTACAGTACTCCTGAAGCTTCTCCTTTATCACTGTTAACATTTTGGTATGGTTCTCAGGATATAGGCTTGGTAGAACATTTACTGTAACCAGTTTTTTTTACTTTGTTTGTTAGAATTTTTCAAAGTGCGTTAAGAGTCTACATCAATATATTTTACCATGGAGACACTTAACACACTTTGAAAAAAAAATCATATTTAGAAATTAATTTCCATCATAGTAATATTACTATCCCTTTTCTCTGATAAAAACTGCACTAAGACAATAATTATAACATATATAACAATACCATATAACCTGCATCAGTAAATAAAAAAAAGTAGGAGGACAAATAATTGTTGCTGTATCTTTTTATTTTAATAATACGCCTGTGTCTTAAATTTTAGAACACACAACACACGTGATCTCCCATCCGTTCCTGTAGGGCGGACATTTCAGGCTTCCACATCGAGCCTCGACTAGGTAGAACAGGTACCCGTTATTGTTCTGCCTCCCACCAAATACTGCCTGGGGGTGCTGATCCACACAAGAGTAGGTGGAGGCCGCCGGGTGTAAGTATCTTCCTGTCATCAAATAACCGGAGTACTCCTTTCTCCATCCGCCAAAACACGATGTTCTCGCTATTTAAAAATAATCAGATTTAAATCAGAGACTGCTTTGCATTTTTCTAAAATAAGGGGAAAAATCTATTTTTCTAAACTTGTTATACTTTTTAATCTGAATTTGGACAGTTTTATGATGTATATGTATATAACTATGAAATGTTTGAGGAGTTCCTCCTCAAGTTATAACTTGCGTATCTATAAAATCTATCCTTTTAATAACTTTTTATCATGAAGATAAAAAATTTAAAAAGTCAACCTTTAAGATAAAAATTTAAAAAAAAAATCCCCTTCAAAAATGTTGAAGTTCAGATTATTGAAATTTGAATGTAACGTCAGGCGGTTAGATATGTTTGTTATTGTGACATAGGCACAGGCTATTTAACGTAAACGAGTTCTACTTTTCAGTGAATGGTGCTGCACAACCACAAGTAAGAAATGACAAATGTATATGTAGTTTTAGTGATCCAGATCAGGATATAATGGACATGTCTTGATGATCAAGACCAGAGTATATGCATAAGAATTGGCATCAGGCACCGTGGCCAGGAAACGTAGCCAAGCTCACTTTTGATCTCGGTCTCGCTTTTATCAAATAAATATATAGTGGAGAAGTGAGACTGGGGTAAGATTGAGCTTGCTAAGTTTCAATGGCCCCGTAGCCAGAAGTATATGTTTGTTTGTTTGTTTGACATATACTTAGCACCGAGGACCAAGGTGCAGTGATGATTTTTTTTCTTTGCCAGCACCCACTGCGACATGGGACCTTGATTCATTCGATTTTTTCTGAAGAACCTGCCTCTATGTCAAGCACTGGGATACCTGCGACGTTCAATCTAAGGATCAACTCCTTACTTTGCAACTTCAGAGCAAACCCTCTAACCACTGCGCACGCTAGCGACCAAAAGTATACGTCATCTCGTAAAGCATGAACAAAATTATATTGTTACCTGGAATAACAATGGCGGACTTCCCGCTACGAGTCTCGCATACAGCACAAGGCACGTCGTTGTCATGGAGATCTGAGTAAATAATGTTTGTCGGAAGTTCATATTCAGCGCCGTAGATATATCCCCTGAAGGAACTGAACCTTTTGTCGTATCGACTCCACTGAGGGTTTCTGGGTAAACAGAGAGGTTCTACCGCACCACCCTGATGGCCATAATATGACCCACCAGCAAAGCCTAAACAAGTCAGTACACTTATATTGCTTTAAGGAAATTTTGATCTAAATGTATAATCAATCAATTTTACAACATGTATGAGATGGAAAGCAAAATATTATTTATTTTTTTATAACTTCGACAAAAGCGCCATGCAAAACCAGAGGTTACGAGGGCAGTTGGTGCATCCATCAAAGAAAATAGTACTATTTCACAATGAATGATAATTTAAAAATCGTATCAACAATTAGCTATATTTCTATATTTACAATTCATTCTGACAGAGCAGTGATAATGGGCTTTTACATATACCTAAAATTATAGGGAAGGAGTCTTTTTTTCTATAATGCTATTAAAGACTGGAATGCATTATCACTGAAGATCAAGAATATGAGTACTAAACAAAATTTTAAGAGAGCGATTAGAAATACTACATCATTAGGACTTGCCTTCTTTTAATTAAATTTATTTTTTTTTTTTACAAAATAAAACACAAATGTCCAATTAGCTCTTTATTAAGCATCATACGGTTTTTTCTATCAGTGGACCAATTTTTATGTTTGAATTGTATGTAATCATGATATTCTGTGATACTTTTATCTGAATCAATAAAATTTACAAAATGAAATGAAACCTATTATATGATCCCTTACTTGGGAACTAGGCGTTTCTGATACAGTTACCAGAGAATCAAGTATATGCTACCTTACAAGGAAAATAGGTGTTTGATTCCTTCCTAAGAACCAGGTTTAAGAACACTACTAACCCGAGTAGACCATTCCGGCTGTTTTTGGACATCTCTTGTGACCCCAGCGGGTATACACAGCTCCTCCTGGTGAGAAACACGTGACCTCTGGTACTGTGACCACTATCAGGATCCACACAAAACAAAAATAGGATAGGAGCGCCATCTGCAAGTACGTGAGTAGGAAAAAATGGCTAAAATGATAGCATAAAACATTTGTCATAGAGAAAAGGCTTTCAAAAACTTCGTCAAATCTTAAGTATGAAAAGAATCAAGTTATAAAAGAAACAATTCAAAGTATAAAAAGGTTTATATGAGTACCAGTTACACTGTTAGGGTACGACGTAATGATGTTTATAAAAAAGAATAGCCTTTACCCAAAGGATAGTGAAATTTAATTTACCTTTAAATCCTTGAACACAAGAATTCTGAACAATTCAGCAAAGACCAGAATTTATAGAAAAGTGAGTACCTTCTGTCACCCGATATTTCAATACTCTCAAATATTTATTTTAAAATGTAAATCAACACAGTGTATCTATTAAAGTGTTTCTTGTATGATTAATTGATTAAATAGAATGTTTATTTTATGATAAGATATTAAAGTTGTACTTTATTTTTTATAAAGTACCCTGATGCCTGCTTAAATATTAGTTACACTGCGTTTCTAACAACCGTATTTTGGTTATTCATCTGAAATGTTTTATCTGAATTATATTTCTTTCTCCGTCCACATCAATAGTTGGATGTCATGTCCCCTTTACCTCTGCATCCTCATGTGATTGTAAAGTTAGTATGTATTACTACACAGAAAAGAAAAGTTGTCAGTGGAAGAGCTGAAATCATCTCGTTTGTCGTACAATTTAGTAATCTCTTAGAAGGCAAAGATAATTTCCTTTTTATAGCTTTATCTCGACTTGACATTTATTCAGATATATAAAATTCCAAAATGAGATAGTCTTCTTAGACTCCCAGTGAATTTTGCAATAATGGTAATATTTTATATAAAAAAAACTTTTCCATGCAGTTTTCTAGGATCTAACTCTTTAATTTTTATACCTTGATATTTACAAAAAGAGAGGTTGATAAATAGAAACTCAAAAATATGTTACATAGTTTTGTTACAAATTCCAAAGCTGACATGCAACCGAAAGTTATCTAATGACTATGTATGTTTAGCAAACTGAAGTCAAATCAATTAGGTATCTAACAGATGTCGATATACACTAATGACGTTTTTCCTCTTAAAAGTTTTAAATTTTGTAAAACAAGTAATTAATGAATACAATTTATGTCAGCATTCAAAATTCAGAAGTCTTTATATTTAATATTTTCTAATGGGAAAACATCAAAAAATTACATGAAGAGATGATACCTGTAGTTATTGTAGTTTGAGACTGGTTGAAGATTATCATAATTATATTTTCACAATTCTCTCTATTTTGATATAAATATATATCAAGATCGAAATAGAAATTTAATCAAATTTGCGATAATTAATGTGCGTGTAATCTAAAGAAAGTTTTGCACCAAGTATTGTGTTAAAAGATTAAGAAATAACCCTTTTTTAAAATCTACAAATATACATGTACCAAAGGAATTAAAAGTGGAAAAATGAGACTGAGATCAAAAGTGGGCTCGTCTAAGTTTTATGGCCCTCAGGCCAGGAAATTTCAGAGTTGGGATCAGCTGCCTTTGAGGATTAAGAACAAGCATTATGAATAAATATCAAAAGTATGTTCATTTTATCTTCAAAATACATGTACGCGTCGCTGGTTCTTATTCCACTGTGGGTAGTGGAGACTAATCCTTCAGATGAGACTGTTTAGAGCGAGGACGTCCCATGTCACACTAGATGCTGGCACGAAAAAGAGGTTTATAAATTGTTAAGTGTAGATTAAAACTCTGAAACGTTTGCAACAGGGTTATTTCTTAATCTTTTAACAGTACACTAGGTACAAAACTTTCTTTGTTTGTGCCCCTTTGACTGTTTTGTAATGTTTTGAGATCGATCCCTGTTCATTATCTTCACGACACACGTTTGATTTTACAGATAACGCACAGGTAAGTAATGGGAAGCTCTTTTATGATGCCTCTCAACACACCTCTCTAGAAAAACAATATATAACGTAAATGATTGCTGGATTCAATTTATTTCAAAGATAAATGTCTCATAGTTTCGAACACACGACACAGGAGATTTCCCATCCGCTGTGGTACGGCGGACACTTCAGGCTACCACAGCGGGCCTCCACCAGGTAGAACAGGTACCCGTTATGGTTCTGATGCCCTCCCACTGCGGCCCGGGGGTGCTGATCCACACAGGAGTAGGTGGAGGCCGCCGGGTGAGTGTATCTACCAGTCATCAGGTAGCCGGAGTACTCCTTTCTCCATCCGCGATAACAGGACGTTCTTGCTATGAATTAAGTGAATTCAATTAAAGGAACAGCCAAACGGAATTCAAAGACGGAGTATTGATTTTAACTAGATCTAGATCATTGATTGAAAGCCGTTCATAATTTTCTGGATATTGTTTTATCGATAAAGTATAATACTTTCACCAATAGATAATATCATTATTTCAATATTTTAAATTTGAATTCTCTGTTACGGTAAAAATCGAATCAAATTTGGTTTTAAAAAACATATACACAGATCTACATTTATTAAACTATAGAAGATATAAGCAATAGCAAAAAATGTTTTCATTATAATTTTTATATCAAAACATGTAATCTTGACAAACCTGGAATAACCATTACGTCTTTCCCTCTGCGAGTCTGACAGACAGCACATGGCACATCTTGGTCGTGAAGATGAGAATGGATGAAGTCATGATGAACTTCGTATTCAGCACCGTAGATAAATCCTCTGGGAGCATCTGTTCTTCCGTTATGGCGTCCCCATTGTGGGTGTTTAGGTAAACAGAGGGGCTCCACTGCAGCCCCATGATGTGAATAATGGGATCCGCCAGCAAAACCTTCAAAGCCAGTTAAATTCAATTAGACATTTTTATTAAGTATGAGATGGTCATTGAACAATGTTGAAGGTAAAGTAAGAGCATAGTTGTGTCTCTTTCTCAATTTGGTTAATCGGTTTGAAGTTAATAGGTTTTTAAAGCAAATGATTTTATTCTACCCGACAAATGTTAATTTATGACTTAATGAATTGCTTATATCTTTTTGAGAAACGTTTTCAATTACCGGTATGATATCATTTTAACTGCAAATTTCTTGCATTGACAAATTCATGACGAAAAAGGGGGAAAATATAGAAATAAGTTATTTTCTATTTTTAAGCAACCCTGAGCATACTCTCTACCTGAGTAAATTTTTCTGGCACTTCTTGGACATTCATTATGACCCCAGCGAGTATACACGGATCCCCCAGCCGAGAAGGAACTATCCACATGTTGAACAATCACAAAGGGCAGAATCAACACAATGCAGGTACAGGAAAAGGAAACCATCTTCATGCCTAATGGATGAATATAAAGCAATCAAGAAATTATATTAACATTTCAGTGAAGTCTATATATACTACCATTATCAGGGGTACAACATGAGTGAATTAGCATTTCTAGAATTAAAAATGCCAGAGTGTTTTTTGACTAAGAGTGTTTTGTGACTTGTTAAAAGGTGCCTTCAATATATTTTTTTTAAAAAAAACTTTATCCAAGCATTCTTACCTCTTATTCCAGACAATGTCCTCTCTGTTGACCAGGTTAGGATGGAATTGTCTTTTATAGAAAACACTTCGCCTTCTGTTGCATTTTGTTGCTTCAGTATGCCTAAAAATTCAAACACAGTAAATTGACACATACAGTTATATTTCATTTTCTTGTGTAATCAATTGACTAACATACTCATTAATGTGTCAGTTTTATAATAAATAATTTACAACTTTGTTGAAAGTAATAATCGTTTAATTGAATTGTGTTTATAAAATTCTTACTTTCATATTTACTCACCTTGAAATGAGATATCAGTGTGTTCATCTAACTGGAAGTGTCTTAACTTTTCCTTTAAATGGAGAATCAATTTGAAAAAAAAAAGTATAATTTAATATGTAACTTATCTACATAATTTCATCATTAATTGTATTTTATTATAATGATACTTTTAACATTCATGTATGATCAAATTCATTTTAACCATACTAACTCAACTCATCAAGCAATTTACTGACCTAGTCTCAATGTATATTAAAAACATTGATACACAATGGAGACTTAAATAATTGCTTTCATTTCCTCTAAGAAAAATTTCCTCATAGTGTCAGGTATTGAAAAACAGGATTTGTAAAATAGTAATGTTTTTGTCAGTGAGTTTCAATTCTGGTCATCCCATTAATATTCCTTTATTCCAGAAATTTAAACATGATCATCTGAAACAGTTTTTCCTTTACAAATTAATTTTTTTATTGTTTTAAGGATAAATTCAGGATGTTATATGGTATAATTAAAAAAACTAACCAGAAAATTACGCCAATTTTGATAGATTTGCAGGCACAAAAAAAAGAGCGAAAGATAATGACCTTACAAATAAATTTCTGATTGACAGAAATTCAATGGCGAAAAAATGTAAAAATGAACAAACATCAATAAAATTCTTTTTCTACACTTTATACAACTATCCCCTAGGATGATTGAAAATTAACATTTTTGGACCTAATATACAGCTTTTTTCACTAAAATTTAATTTTTTTTGTTGCCTTGCAAAATAACTTTGTTAAAAATACTTTGATTGTACTGAGTAAAACTTAACATTTACAATACGTGAAATTATATATAGCAATTTGTACTGGTGTGAGTTTGTTTCTCATATGATAAAAGTTGCATGTGAAATAAAAACCATAGAGTTTGTCAAATCTGTTTCATTTCTCGACATTCTACTAGAAGTGAATGGTATTTAAACCTTACAAAACAACTTTATGATAAACGTGGTGACTTAAACTTCTTTTCTCTCATCAACTTCCCTTACTTATGTAGTAATATACTCGTCAACTGCAATTTTCTGAAGAAAAAAAAACGCCTGTAGAAATATCGAGAACCCCTTAATATTGATCTTTTAAAAAATGCGATTTAAGGTCCTCATTACAATGTAACTATATGCAATGACGTGTTCAGCAGGACTTTGTTTGCTACTCGTGCTTGATATCTGGGCCCTGGAGATTTTTTTGGTAATTAAAAAATTGAAGAATATTACTGTTCATGACTGCATCAAATCCTTTGTCGGCAAAATGAAAGATGAAGAACTGTGTTGCTTGAGCGTCTTTCTCTTGCAAAAATCAACGGCTTAAAAAGTATATTTGCAAAATCAATAATCACAGATCCGAGTCCATATTCAGGTGTAGAAGAATGGAATCCTTAAATGAACTTTCATTGACTTTTTTATAACAATAATTTAAAACATTCAAATGACGGCGTAAAAATGAGGTTGGTGTAAATGTGATGTAGGCATAACTTTCTTTACGAAAGGTCGACCTAATTTTAAAAAGACATCGTGTATGATACGTTTCTTGTAAGGCCGATGTCCTTACAGAGTGGACTGGAAAAATTCCCAATAATATAGATACATGTAATGGCTTTGCTACCCGCTCTCAACAGAAGGGAGTACTTAATAACAGGCGATTAGTAAAATGTATTTTTTTTTCTAGAATTCAAACTCGGACAAGAGCTTGATTAGTTCATTAAAGCTGTCGATATTAACGCATTTTGAAAATAAAATCATTTTTTAAAGTGAGTAACCTTGGTCCCAAATTTATTTTTTTCTAAGTGCGTATTTTTTCATAATGCGTTGTAACACCCCATCTTACCCCACTAGGACAACGTCGTGACAAATATATGAAAGTACATTACAATGAAGATGCCTCTATATAAATTAAATATTTTTTTCTAGCTCAGAAGTTCCTGGGAAAATGTTCTTTTAAAGATAACATTAATTTTCACTGCATGTATAAAATCCCCTTGGAAGAATGTGTGGTCTTACATTTGAACAAATAAAATTGAATTCCCAATCCAAAGTTTTTGTGGGAAGTTTGGTTGAAATTAACTTAGGGATTTTTGAAAAAAAAGTATTTGAAAGGTTTACAGACGGAAAGAAAATACATACAGGAGACGGATAAAACGTTTTCAGAAAGGTTTACTCAAGCAATTGGCTCAGGAATACATAAAAAAACAAAACAAACAAAATCACCAATCAAAATATACTGTATTTTTTATTTTCAGAATGAGTGAGTGTCTTAGTCCTTAGAACAAACGACACAGGTTAGTTCCCTTCCTTCTTTGTATGGGGGACACCTTAAGCTCCCGCGATGACATCGAGACTCTACCGGATAGAACAGGTAGCCATCTTTATTTTCAGATCCCCCGTCCAGAGATTGAGATTGTTCATCAAAACAAGAGTAGGTTGAGGCGGCTCTATGAGCAAAATTTCCGCTCATCAGATACCCAGAATACTCCTTTTTCCATCCAGAGTAACAAGTTTTTCTGGCTACAAAGTAACGAAAACATACAAAATAAATTATTGCATTGTATTGGCATAATCAAGCAATCAGTAAAGTATTCACAGGTGCACCCTATCATACCTGCATACGGAGTTTATATATCTAAGTTGATTCGATATGCAAGAGCATGCTCTATACGTTTGAACAATTTCTAAAACGAGATAAACTATTGACAAACAAGTTGATGAAATAAGAATTTCAGAAGTCTCGTTTAAAGTCATCATTTCGTAAGTTCTATGGTCAATACAATGACCTTGTCAGCAAATACAAATTACCGGTATCATTGAGTCAAAGACTGACTGACTTTTATACTAATTGTTAGGCCACTAGTTACACACTGAATTGACGACAGATTTTTCGTTTTTTTTTTTTCGATCATGACAAGGAGAACACAACTGAGGCCTGTTCAGCAGAGCCAACGTTCGCGAGCGCTCACCAAAATTCCTTATACCTCAAATAGTAATTTTTTGCGAGCGTTTGCGAACGTTTGCTCTGCTGAACAGACCACTGGTGGAACCGGTCTGCAGGGGATGCTAACTGTTCCATGACACCTGATCCCTTCTCTGATGATTTGGAGGTCTGTGTTTGCTCTTCTTCTATTTTGTATTGTTTTTTGGACTTTGATATTGAATACTTTTCGTTATCTCTATATCCTTCCTCTACACCTTCATACTGAGGTAGACAAATTTAAAATGTTGCATGGAAACAGAAAGAAATCTGGACAAGCTGGCCTCGAATATGAAACTCCAACAAGACATAACTCCTGCTAAAACTTGTAACAAAAGAACATTTTAAGATCTGTTTACATAAATTCCCTTGTAAATGAATAATTTCCACTGTAACCCCAACCAAGAAATTTCCTCTTCTTTAAATAGTATCCCGTGTGGCGCAGTGGTTAGAGCGTCTGATCTAGAGTTGTGAAATAAGGAGTTGATCCTTACGTCGCGGGTTCGAATCCCACTGTGAGACGTGGATACCGGTCTTTCCGATGAGACCGTATAAACCGAGGTCCCTTGTCAGTAGGTGCTGGCACGAAAAAGACCCCTCCCTGCTCAAAGGTCCTCAGTGCTGAGTATACATGTAGTAATGTAGTACAAAATTTTCAGTTCTCCATCGGCAAGTGGTGGCGTCTCCATATCTATTGTTGTTTTAGAAGTTATAGGAGATAAAAGGACAAAAGTTAAATCATATACCCGGTTACAAAAAAGACAAACTACGGTACTAGTATTTGATTCGAGTGGAATTTAAGACAACAAAACTATTTGATGAAGACATCCATGTAATCCATGCCTCTCTAGATTTCTTCTAATCATGTGTTCCGACAAACCTGGTATAACAAAGACTGACTTCTGGCCAAGAGTTTCGCACACAGCACACGGCACATCAAGGTCCTGGAGATGATGAAGGCGAAAGACCCCAGTGTGCTCGTACTCAGCTCCATAAACAAATCCTCTTTGATGTTCTCCGTAATCGTAATATCTGCCCCACTCTGGGTCTTTTGGAAGACAGAGTGGTTCTACAGCAGCCCCGGGATGGAGATAATGAGAGCCACCAACATATCCTTTAAACAATGGAAGAACAACTCAAACTTTATGAAATATTCATTGCTTTTTTAATTAAAATCAATAACATCTGGTTCATAATTTAAAAACAATAATTCTAAAATCCATTTTAGTTTCAGACAAAGCTTGCATTTACTTTCATGTATACCCGTACATATGTTATATTTTAGTCATGTTTTGTTTTTTTTAACAGTGATGCAGGCAAGTGTATATGATTTTATATATACTGGAGGAGGTGTCGAAACATTTTGTGATTGACTGATTGTATTTTGTTTAACGTCCCTCTCAAGAATTTTTCACTCATATGGAGACGCCACCGCTTGCCTGTGGAGAGCTGCAAATTACCTGCCCCACTCTGGGTCTTTTGGAAGACAGAGTGGTTCTACAGCAGCCCCGGAATGGAGATAATGAGAGCCACCAACATATCCTTTAAACACTTGAAGAGCAACTCAAACTTTATGAAATATTCATTGCTTATTTGATTAAAATCAATAACATCTGGTTCATAATTTAAAAACAATAACTCTAAAATCCATTTTAGTTTCAGACAAAGCTTGCATTTACTTTCATGTATACCCGTACATATGTAATATGCTAATCATGTGTGGCACATTGGTAAAAGAAATGTTTTTTGTTTAAGGTATCCGATCCATATTAGCCTCAGATTCAATAGAACTGAATGCTTAATAGATATGTATGGGCTGAATACTCATTTTATTTAGAACTAATTTTCATCTTTGAGTATCAGAATGTAACGTTGGGACATGTCCTAATTTGTTATCTTTTCCTGCCATTGACGAGTTATCTCCCTTTGATTTTACTAAATAAAAAATTAATTTAATTGTATCATTTTTAATTGTTTTACTATTCCCAATGATCAAATACATCTTTCCACCAGAGCATTTTTGATATTTGTAGTATTTATTTTTTTTATCTTAAAAAACTTACCTCCTTCTATAGACTTCAATGCAATCTTCAATAATTAATTTCTGCTTAGGTAATAAAATTTTTGAAAATTTCTATTGGTAAATCCCTTTCTACTCTAAAATGCTTTAAAATAATATCAGGATATTTTACAAAGAATTGATAGTTAAGGAGGCTGGGGGTCAACAAATAAATCACAAATTAACCACCAGATTTAACTTATTTTTAGATACGATATCTTAAGCTGTCAACTATCATTTGTCAAAGAAAAAAAATCATTTTAGTTTTAAAATTTAATCATTTTGTATATCTTTGGAGCATATATGCATATATATGTATATATGGAGCTCTTCTTTTAAAGGAGATCGAAATAGTCTAAAAATGGCTGCCACCCCCAGCTTCTTTAAGGTTAGAAAATTTGGTCCTACTATGGGTTGGATACCTTAATTAAATCTTCTTTTTTAAAATTTGAAAAAGGGCTTGTTTTTTTTAACAGTGATGCAGGCAAGTGTATATGATTTTATATATATTGGAGGAGGTGTCGAAACATTTTGTGATTGACTGACTGTATATTGTTTAACGTCCCTCTGAAGAATTTTTCACTGATATGGAGACGCCACCGCTTGCCGGTAGAGAGCTGCAAATTTTATCTTATACTCGGCACTTAGGGCCATTGAGCAGGAAGGGATCTTTTTCGTGCCAGCACATACTGCGACACGGGACCTCGGTTTATACGGTCTCATCCGATGGACCGGTCCCCACGTCCCACAGTGGGATTCGAACCCGCGACTTAAGGATTGACTCCTTACTTCGCGACTCAAGAGCAGAACCTCTAACCAATGCGCCACGCGGGCGACCGAAACATTTTGTGTGCACTCATTTTACTTATAAAAAGATTATTTCAGAGCATCGTCAGAATACATTACTTACCTGAGTAGATTAAACTTGCTGTTTCAGAACAGTCCGTACGACCCCAGCGAGTATATACAGACCCTCCGGGTGAAAAACATTCCGCCGTTTGAAAAATTAACGTTATCAAGATCAGCACAACACATAAAGGGTCCATGAAGTTCATCTTAAAGAAATAAAAACACCATGAACATTTCATTTAAGATAATAAGAAAAATCTTAGTATTTATAACATACCAGGATTAGATGAAAATAAGGCTTAGGAGAAATATGCAAAATAGGCTCTCTAAAATATATTTGATGTAATATGCCATTAAAGACATTTAGAATGAATGAAAACAAAGAATTTTTTTTTCAAAAAACCGGAACTCTTTCAAGTTACAGTCATATGGTGCTAAAAGTTAAGATGTGAATTATAATAACAAGTATTTCAGATCAAATGACTAAAAATAAAAATAGATGATGAAAAAAGTTTATTATTCCGTATGGAGTAAACGAACAGTATCCCTTCTCAACAGTCCATGAAACAATACAGATCAGGAGCAGAGCAAACACGGACTTCCAAAACATCAGAGGAGGGATCAGGTTCCATGGAGGAGTAAGCATCTGCTGACCAGTCACACCAGCTGTGTGCTCTTTTTCATGATGGGGGAAATGATTTTATGATGTTTTATAGTGATGATGGATTTTTTGCTTAAGAAATAATAAGCTAGCATAAAACTTACTTTTAACCCCATACTTCTCAATATCTGTTGACCATTAATTCAGAAAATGATGGTCCTTTATAGAAAACCATGTAACTTCTACTTCTCCGTAATTTCAATCCAACAAATAGTTCAATTTTGTGTAGGAAGTCTTAATTAAAAAAATTGTGAGAGGCTTCCTTTTCTTATCGCGTAAACTAATTTTCTTTATCAAGATTTAAATACTAAAATTACATAGACATCCAGCAACACATGCAAGTTTTTTCCTCTCAAGGTCGAGCACGTACTTGAAAAGTGTAAGACCTAATTACACTAAATAACAACATCAGCACGACCTAAATTCTTATGAATTGTCAAAACAAAAAGATACTTCTAGTTTTTTTCAATACATAAAAGAAATCTTTTCATAACTTGCAAAAATGACCTAATCTTGAGAAGGATTCAGGAATTATTTTGCGTCAGTCATGACACAAACCTCAACTGAGATATTGTTTTTAACTCTGATCTGCATTGAAAGTTTTGTTACAGAGTTTCATTCAAATCTGTCCCGAATTAGACAGAAAGTACTGTGTGACTTGGATGCTGCGGTGAGCATTACATGGATTTCAAATTACAAAATTTGGCAAAAGTTGAACTTTATTTAATAAGCTACCGCGTTGAACTTTTGTTGTTTTCTTGTCTCATAGTTTAAAATATACTGATTCATTACAGGATAATGGATTTAGGAATGAAAAGTATACGTCTGCTTTCGTAACTAGTTCTAAAGAAGTGGCATTTTGTCTTAAAAAAAAGAGGGGGTAATGAGAACTTTTGTATAATTGTCTTTTCTGAAAAAGTTCTATGGTGATTTCATTATTCGTTACCACTGTGTTTCATATCTATAGACAAGTTGATGAAACAAGAATATCAGCAGTCTCGTTTAAAGTCATTATTTCGTAAGTTCTATGATCGATAGTATGTTATTGTCAGCAAATACAATTTATCATATACTAGTAGTCAAATGCTGAATGACGTTTTTCATACTCAATGTTAGTCCATTATTGACACACTGAATTGACGACGGATTTTCCGTTACTAGTATTTTCAGATCATGACGAGGAGCACACGGCGGGTGTGACCGGTAATCAGGGGATGCTCACTTTTCCATGGCACCTGATTCCACCTCTGATGTTTTGGAGGTCCCTGTTTGTGTTACATTAAAGTTTTGCAATTAAAAAAAAATCAAAACTATCTATAACAACCTCGAGTATGTTATAGACGAGTATGTTTTAGATAGTTTTTAATTTTTTAAATTGCAAAACTTTAATGTAACATTTGCTATGCTCCTATTTTGTATTTTTTATTGGACTTTTGATCTTGACTACTGTAAGTTCGTTATTTCCATCTATTTCATATTCATACATATTTAGAATTTTTATTTTGCACCGGCTTTGCTCTAATGTCTTTAAATTAAGGATTTTGAAATTGTTTATGACTTAACATTTTGAACCATTTAAGAATATTATATCTTTTTAAAACTGAAATGATTTTTGCTTTTTCCTGATAAATGTTCTTATGTAAATTGTAAGCAGTGTGGTCTTTGGGCCATTTGTTTAAGATTTAGCATTCGCTTGGTTTGATTTTAATCCGGACACAGGAAATAGGTATTTCTACAGACTCCTTTAAAAGCGTCATTTCGTTCCATAATTGACACGAGGCCTTGTCAGAAAATACATTTTGTAATTCGTGGTCTTAAATTTGAACAAATTTGAATTCTCCTTCCAAAGGAAACTTGGTTGAAATTAACTGCAAGGGATTCTCAAAAATGACAAATACTTAAATATGAAAAATTAAAAGGAGAAGAGACAGACGACGGACGAAACAAGTTTAGAAGGGCTGGCTCACCTTAGTTTTTGGCTCAGGTAAGTTAAAAATGAACAAAGTCAAAGTATGCAGTATGTTTTTATTTTCATAATGAGCGACTGTCTCAGTCCTTAGAACAGACAACACAGGTAAGTTCCCTCCCTTGATGGTAGGGAGGACACCTTAAGCTGCCGTGTTTACATCGAGATTCTACCGGATAGAACAGGTAGCCATCTTTGTTCTCCGATCCCCCATGTAAAGGCTGTGATTTTTCATCAAGACAAGTGTAGGTGGTGGCGGCTCTGTGATCAAATTTCCCGCTCATCAGATACCCAGAATTCTCCTTTTTCCACCCAGAGTAACAGGACTTTCTTGCTACAAATAAACAAACGCAAAAATTACATTTAAATATTTTCTTCACTTTTTATGAGAATTTTTTTTAAATTTCTTGCAAGAAGTTTGACTGACAGAGAGAGAGAGAGGGGGGGGTCATCAAATATTTTTTTTTTAAAATATTTGAAGTCATTTCTTCGTAGTCTATTGAGTCCCATATCAAATCCAATGGTCCCATATCATATGTAAATTTAAATCAGGACACTTCTTTCTAACTTTGAAACAATATCGTCTGCAAATTTTTGTGTTGGTTTTCATAATCATTTATTGAGTTCTACATGTAGCTTAGACATGGAGAGATTTTGAAGGAATATAAGAAATAAAAAAAAATGAAATAAAAAGAAATATACAATGCATACAAAGCCGAAAAGTATCTAAACCTCAAAACCAAGTCTGAAAAATGCAGATTTTTTGGGAAAATGACAGAATCTGGAGAGGAATTTCATGCTAGCAATAAGATAAGTGTTATAACTCCTGCTAAAACTGCATCCATTTTAACTATCTTTCGTAACTAATATTTTAAGATTTTTTTTCATATATAACCTTGTAAAAAGCTATAACTTCTGCTTTTACATCACCTGAAAAGTGCCTTCTTTTCTAAACACCTATCAAACGCGTTACCAGCCTTGTCTTTTTAGAGGTTATGGGAGAGAAGAGAGGGAAAATAAAATTCACAAAAAACACAAAAAGTTCAAGAAAAGGCAGGTTATTTTTTAATGGGATTTTACAAATCTATTAATTCAAAATCATTTCAAACCCCCTCCTCGCTTGGTTCTTCAAATTATATGTTCCGAAATACCTGGTATCATAACAACTGACTCGTGGCCATGGGTTTCGCATACAGCACACGGCACATCATTGTTGTGGAGGTTAAGGCGAAAGACCCCAGTATGTTCATACTCAGCTCCGTAAACAAATCCTCTGTCGTTGTCTACTGTTCGATCTGAGTACCTGCCCCACTCTGGGTCCTTTGGTAGACAGAGTGGCCCAGTATGATGGTAAAAAGATCCTCCAACATATCCTTTAAAACAAATAAAACAACTTTACTAATGAGATATACATTGCTTACTCTGGTATTGAGAGAATAATTTAAGTGTTGTAATTAGCAAGGCTTTTAAACTGGATAATTGATTGTATACTGTTTAACGTCCCTCTTCAGAATATTTCACTGATATGGAGACGTCACCATTGCCGGTGAAGGGCTGCAAATTTAGGCCTATGCTCGGCACTTACGGCCTTTGAGCAGGGAGGGATCTTTATCGTGCCACACCTGCTGTGACACGGGGTCTCGGTTTATACGGTCCCATTTAGTCGCCTTTTACGACAAGCAAGGGGGTACTGAGGACCTATTCTGACCCAGATCCCCATTGAAAAAATAATTTATCACTTATCAATTTTCGACTAGTTGATTGATTTGAACATATTTTATTGTAATATAATTACAATAATTTCGACTAGTTATTGGAAAGGAATTTATTTTGAAATAATCTGAAATTTCTACAAAGAATGGAGGCGTACAAGGCGATGTCAATGCCCCGCTCTGAGACATTTCTCAATTCTAAAAGTTAATGATAGCGATATATATATATATATATTAATATATGGTTTATACCATCTTTTACACATTTAATTCTGTATTTCAATGTTTTAATTTTATATTATAATTTATTTTATCACTCATTGTTTTAAGATATGTGAAAAAAAGAAAAAGCTTCACGTATGATTCAAACCTCTCTCCATAGCGCAGGGATTGGCACAAGACCGACTGCATTAAATCCTTCGCTACGAAGTATATGCGTTATCAATATCTGTCAGTGTGATTGAAATGAACGTGTTTGTTGAAGCGCAAACTTTTTCAGAAAAGTTCAATTTTCATAAAGAATGGGTTCAGATTCAATTTTTTTTGACAAATGAAATAGGATTCACATTTACGTTTCTATCATTTAAGCGTTTACGAAAAATGGAGATTGACCCATTCGTGTTCAAAATTCGTTTTCATGGCTCTAGTACACCCATTTTCCACTACATATGCTTACTGTCAACTTTGAAAAAAAATTGTCAAAAGATAAGTCGTTCAGTAAAATAAAGTAATAAAAAGTTTTAAAGATGACATTCCCGAGAACATGATTTTTTGAAAAAATACATGTAAAACTTTTCTTTTAATTTTGAAAATTGAGAAATATATTGTCTCAGAGCGGGGGATTGTCCACGCGTCGTACGCCCTGTTTCTTATAATGTTCCATTTGACACCTTTTAAATGGAGTTATATATGGATTTATTACATTCTTAACAATAAATACATTTTTTTATTTGCAAATTGCCCAACGTCACAATAGCCGTACCAGCCCTGCAGAGCTGAAATGGATCTGCTGGGCTGATACTATTAGTTATCCAGGTTCAATCAAGGGTGTACGGGGATTTACCCCGGGTTTTATTCCATACACCCTGAGGCCGAAGGCCTTGATTGAACCTGGATAACGAATTTATTTCCTTCGTACCCATAAAAATTATGCTTTGTAAACATCAAAGTGTGTCTCAATCTATCGATTAGATAACTACGTACTAAAATGCATCGTGACGTCACGTTATTTGGTTTTTATCATAGAGAATGTATGCAATGTGACGTCACGTTTTATTTACACCCGGCTCAAGTCGGGTGCACGGATATTTACACCCGACTTTGTAACCAATCAAAGCTCGTCTTTCAAGCTAGATAGGAAATAATAATCCGTATCAGCCCAGCAGATCCATTTCAGCTCTAGCTTGAAAGACGAGCTTTGATTGGTTACAAAGTCGGGTGTAAATATCCGTGCACCCGACTTGAGCCGGGTGTAAATAAAACGTGACGTCACATTGCATACATTCTCTATGATAAAAACCAAATAACGTGACGTCACGATGCATTTTAGTACGTAGTTATCTAATCGATAGATTGAGACACACTTTGATGTTTACAAAGCATAATTTTTATGGGTACGAAGGAAATAAATTCGTTATCCAGGTTCAATCAAGGCCTTCGGCCTCAGGGTGTATGGAATAAAACCCGGGGTAAATCCCCGTACACCCTTGATTGAACCTGGATAACTAATAATATCATACCCCTTGAAAGTTTAACCATAAATTAAAGGCACTGCGAGCAATGAGCTCACTAAATAAAACACCGCCTTCCATATTATTAAAATGGCAAAGAACATGTTTTGTTCTAGGAGACCCGAAATAAGTGTCAGATCAAAAAGTAAAATAAGAGGTTGCTCAGTGGCATTATATAAAATTAAAAAAAAACTCTGCTTAATCTGATTGTATGTTGTTTGAGTTTTTTCCCCAATCATATAGAGACGTCAACAAATACCTGTAAAACACTTTAAAATTTGACCTTAACTTAGCACTCAGAGCCATTGAGCATTGAGTGATCTTTATAGTGTCAACGCCTGCCGTTACATGGGGCCTTGGTTTCTAAGGTCTCATCCGAAGGACCCGCAACTTTCACTTCAAGTTGCCGAGCGAGTGGCGAAGAACAGTTGCTGCCCATTTAGAGCTACCGTGAACGGTAAAATAATAGAATTTGTGAAAGTATCATTAAATTTTATTTAGTGGTCAGGGATTTATCAGCCTATTTTGGGAAACGCCATTTTTTAGGAAATTGGGAAAAAGTTATCGGCTTTTTGATGAAATTGGGAAAAATAAATATGTTGCTTAAAACATGTATTCACTATTCAGGTTCAATTTATTTACTGCTGTAATTTGGGCTACCAATTAACAGACAATTAAATATGATCCAACTTCATTAATCACCAAACAAGATCAAGTATGAAAAATATAGACTACTAAATGTGTTATGTAAATTTGAATTCAATGAGTATTCATTTTATACAACTTAAGGTAGTATATTTGTGCGCCATGAAATTCCAATTTAGGTTATGGGAGATCATGTTTAGTAGGACCGGTATGTACTTTAGTACATTGTATGTCACAGTAGCAATGACTTGATTTCGTTGTTAAAAAAAAATAATGAAACACAGGTAAAAATTCAAAAGTAAAATACTCATCCTTGCCTGTCCCTTTCAAAATCTTAAAAACTTTTCATATTTAGCAATTTTAGAGCTTCGATCGCGTCAAATAGTAACAGTTACTTCCCGTTTGTATAAAAAGTCGCGTGGTCCTATTTTTAGCAAATGTACATTCTGTATCTTATTGTGAAAAATTCGCGATAATGATGGTTTCGTAAAGTTAGAATTACATGCAAATATGTATGTATTTTTAGTAAATTCAGATAATAATTAAACAACTGAAAACAACATATTAATTTATTGCTAACTTGCGTATTTCTTTCAAAACTATTTTTAACACCTGTGACCTTGAACGGAGGTAACAACCCACGTAGCAAGAAATTCTCGGTTATAAAAAAGGAAGAGAAAAGAAAGAAATTCTTAATATATTTAATACTGTTCCAGGCGAAGTTGTTACTAATCAGACATTTTGTTTTCAACATTACTATCCAATACATGCAAAAATGTTACCAGCTTATTTTCTCCTTTATGCTCCTTAATGTTTTCGCCGCGTCTCAAAACAAGAATGTAAGTCGCCTATACACTTTTCATAAGAAAAAATATACACAATCTTGATTTGCTGTATTGAAACACTATTATAAGATCATTTTCATTTTATGATGAAATGTTTGTAATAAAGAAAATCATACTCAATTATAATCAAGTTAAAATTGTTTGTATCGAAATGGCTTCCTCATTACGATAGTGATTTAGCGGTAAACATCAGACGACCGAAAGTTAATTTGATGGTGACCACGCGTGTCAAACAAGGTGAAGAGAGATACACAGGGACTAGTAGCTATAAATGTCAATCAATTTCAAGTACCCAATGATGGCCCTTAATTTATTTGATTGACAGGGGATACAGACCAGGTAAATCTGAGGGTGGTGCTTATTATCTCGGGCTTTAAGTCCCTGGGGAAATATAATAAACCTGAGACCTGCAAAATAATTTAAACTAAATGCACATTTTCTAAAATATGCATTGAAAATATATTTTTCTATCTGAAATAATGCCTGCAGTTCTTACCATTCACTCGTAGATCAATTGAGCAAGTCAAAATGAGTAAATAAACATATAGAAATACACAATATCACTACTTCAGAAAAAAAACTGAGGAAATTCGGAATAAAAGTTGGCGATGCTTTTAAACATGAGTTACAACTGTACCTTTGCTAAATGAGTTAAATTGAGGAAAATTACAGACAATCAGACAAATTTACATTGTGTTTTTCAAAGGACAATCAAAAAAAGCATTGTTCTGCAATTGGGAAAAAATACTGCCAAATTGGGAAAAATTGAACTCATTTTCAATTGGGAATGGGGCCGAATTCCGGCCCCTGAGAAGGCACTGATAAATCCCTGGTGGTATTCTGGGAGTTGCGGATAAGAGATGGGTACCCTTCAATATTATAAACAGAATGACAGTGTCCATGTTTTGCTATGGGAATCTGTGAAAGTTTCATTCAATTTAATTCAGTGGTATAAGAGGAGTTGCGGATGAGATGTGTAACTCTAAGTAATGTTCTGCAAGACAGCTACAAATTCCCGAAGCACAGCCGATATAAATAAAATATTGAATAGTTCTGTTCATGGGTAAATAACACAAAAACTATTTCACGGTAGGAGTTGATTAGAAAAATTATCACTTCTAATCATTTAATGTTTGGTTTAGGCTTAGAGGAATCCTTACCTGAGTACATTAACTTTGCTGTTTCAGGACAGTTCTCACGACCCCAGCGAGTATATACAGGTCCTCCGGGTGAAAAAACATTCTGCTTCTCGAAAAATTAACGTTGTCAAGATCAACACAACACAAACAGAGGGTATGATGTTCATCTAAAAATAAAAAAAACACACAAAAATTTTAAGTTCTCCCAATAAATTCTAAAATCATTCATAGCATTTAAAGAGAAGACGAAAAATGAGGCTGAAGAAATTTAACGCAGAAGGTAATATATAATATAAGCATTTATCCTGCAACCACCCCTTGCATTGACCTAATAAAGGCAAGCTCCAGACAGCTCAGTATTACGTTACGCTACAACTCCATATCGTTATTCGTAGGGAAAGTAGTCCCGGAGAATCGACACTGTTTGGAGTTTGTAATAAAGGTAACCTAATAAACCAAAGCTTTATCCGGTCACTGCACTGCATGTATTCCGACGTTCTAAAAGCATTGTGACGTCATGCATATTGCAATGTTTGCGCCATGGCGTCATAGTTTCAACTGCAGAGATGTGCCTAAATCTGTCGGAAATAGCTTATTTTGGACGTTTAAATGTTAGAAATATGTTGCAGGATAAACAAAATACATGATAACTCGGCAAGTCTCGCCCTCTATCACGTGTTCTTACCCTCGCCCAAATATTGCTTATATTTCAAGACAGTTACCATGTATTTTATATATATATGTTAGATGGTGATATCAATATACTCATGTAGGTTCATATATATATAAAAAAAAAAACAAAAACAAAAAAGAAAGTATTTCAAACTACATTGTTAAAATATTTTATATCTTAGATTTTAATGAAAAAAATAAAATTTCAGATTAAATGACTGAAAATAAAACCCTATTGAATAAAAATAATATTGCAATGAATTCATGATGTTGTAAAGTAACGATTTCAAGCTTAAGAAAATATTAAGTTAACACAAAACTTACCTTGAATTCCATACCCATATACGTCTGTTGACCAGCCCTTTGAAGACGAGGATTTTTATAGAAGACTATGTACCTTCTGTTGCAGCGTAATTTTAATCCAGCATGTTGACAGTGCAACAGAAATGCGTCTCATGTCTGAAATTTCAATTCTTTTCATCAATAAATTGACTAAATGGATATCAATTTACTAGTATTAGATCAATTTATATTTGCATAGAAAGTTCTCATTTATACATGTAAATGACGCTGCGCTTTTCTTAATTTTTCTTGGGCCTTCATTTACCTTTTCTCTTTCTTATTCATTCAAACTGACAAAATTACGGGTCAGGTTATAATTTTTTTTTCAAAAGATACATGATCTATAAATATCATTTTTTTTTATTTCTTTGGCCTTGTTGGTTTGGAAAACCGAACTGGATGATAAACGATCATGTCTTCGAGGAATCTTTGAAAAATCGTTTTTGTAACGGAACTGAGTGATGAAAACTTTAGTTTTCTTCTGTTTAAAGTTTAGACTAATTATAACTTTTTTGCTTAATTTTTTTGTGAATCAACCATTTCATATCAATTTCCTTTTCCTTTAATTTATTACAAAATTTAAAATATTTTAAAACCGACGTCTCTTCCAAGGCGACCCCATATTCCAATAAAAAATTCTTCCTCTAGTTCATTGCTATGAGGATTTTACCTGATAAAATTAAAACCCATTTCTTACACATGATGTTTAATTTATAGAATAACTTAATTATGATTATCAGGATACCCAAGGTAGATTACTTTTTTACAGTTGTGAAAAAGACAAAAGGGACAAGAATGGGATATATGGAAAGACTTTTTTCACGTTTTAGAAACGTTTATGTTTTATATTAACTCAGCAGTATCTATTGTAATTTTAATGACGTTTCGATTTATTTTAAAGAAAGGAAAAATAAAATGCATTTTTAAATTGTTTTTTATTTCACCCCCCCCCCCTAAATATAACATACGAAGAAAACAAACAACAATCAACCTAAAAAGACCACCAGAACGAAATAAATTGGAACAGAGCAAATGTGGATGCCCGAAATCATCAGAGGTGGAATAAATGCAGTGCCATAGAGGAGTGAGCATTCCCTGTCATGTGCTCCATGTCATGTTTGAGAACAACGGAAAAATCCTTGGACAATTCAGTTTTAAAGTAATGGCCTATCAAAAATGAAAAAGTCAACCATTATTTGATCATATGATTGCTTGTTTTTCCTATCAAGGTCATAGTATTGACCCTAGAAGTGGCAAATGACTTTAAACGGGGCTTTTGTATCCTAAACTAATTTGTATAGTTTAATATATTAGTAGTATTTCTAACAACCAAGCTTCATGATGAGTGTGATAACTTAAACTTTTCAATTTTGCACACTGAATTGTCGTCGGATTTTCCCGTTATTTCCCAATCATGACTAAGAGCACACGGCAGGTATGACCGGTCGGCAGGAGATGCTCATTCCTCCATGCTCCCATCTCTGATGTTTTGGATGTCCGTGATTGCTCTATTCCAATTTTGTATTGTTTTATGGACTTTTGAGCTTGAATTTTGTTCGTTATCTACATATATTTTATGTATGGAAAGTTTTGGTTTGTTAATTAAACTAAAAGACATAAAATATATTTAAAAATTCAAATATTAAAATAGGAATATCTTTAAATCGATCTCAAAGTTCATTCGAATCATTTGAATTTAGAGTTTATTGAATCAATGTAAGAATAAAGAATATTTTTGTCTGATAGAATATGGAGATTATGAACAGTCCTTAAGCTTATATTCCCTTTATGCAATACAGTTCAGGAGCAGAACAAATGCGAACCTCAAAACATTAGAGGTGAGATCAGGTACAACGGCACCCCTACTAATGTTATTGTGATTTAAATTCAAGACACGTGGTTTAGGTTGACCTATTCAAGGATTATAAGGTAGAACCGGTTTTATAAATAGAATTGTCAGTAAACAGGAAATTGCTATAGTCTTTTTCTTTTGAAAACATGTCCTGTAAAAATGTGATTCCAGACCTTTTTGAACGACTTACATGATTTTTAACAGAAAAATAGGGTGGCTAAAGGGGGGGTTAAAATATAAATGTATAATACATTATGGCGAAAATTAGAGCTCACTAGCGACCGATGCGCTGGTAAAAAATATATGTAATTTCATCCACACTGACAAACCTTTGTTTGCCTTATTTGGCTATTGTTATAAATGCGCACAGAGGATCTTACCACGAGCAACTGACCAATGAATAGCAACGTTTACGCCAAATACATGTTTACATGTTTACTTCGAACACGTGGTTCAGTTCAATCTATGATTGTGTCAATGGAGTGCAAAATCAAAAAAATATTCTTATGAACAAAGTACAAAGATTAGAAACTATGAAAGATTTGTTGTTAGCTAGATAACAATATGTTTAATAAAATGTAGTTTGTGTCTACTTTAGAACACCAGCGCTTCAAGTAAGCATTTAAATGGACAGAACTTTGTTTACATAACTATACTCGTGATCACGTAGCCCGGGAATCCACCTGACAATTGTATTCACCGATAGTACAACAAAGGAATTAAGACAGCACAAAATCGCTTTTTTGCAGTATGACTTTGAGAAACCTAGCCTTCCACCATTTATTCAAATGACTTTTTTGTCATTGTGAGCATGAAAAAAAATAGAATTTTAAGAAATGATTTTCATTCACTTCCATGGTTTTCTTTTCTTTCAAGTGTAAAATTCCTGTAGTATTCGTAGTAACCCATAATGCAATTCTAATTCAGCTGATTGGTCATTCAAAGTCATGTTGGTGCCGCATTTGCTAACCTGACGCCAAAAATATAGTCCCGGTTCCCATGCAAAATTTTATCCAAAGAGAAATTTTAATTCATTACTGCAGTAAAGTGTAATATAGAGAATGCTTATTTGAGTTTGAATGAATGTAAGAGAGATCGATTGAAGTACATTTCTACAGATATTATAGGGTGGTGAAAACTGAAATGCAACATAACTTTTCTGTTTACCACATCTCCACGTGCTAGTCACTTCCTAGCCACATTTCCGTGAATAATTTACCCTATCTCGCTGTAGTCTCGCTAACTCTCGCCAGAGCCACTGCCAGAGCTACTCAGAACTCATCGGGCTTTATAATTTGCAGAACACCGAAAAATAAAACGTTCCGAACACATTAGTAGGGGTGAACGGAGGACTGAGCAACCTCAGCCAGTTACACCCGCCGTGGTATTCTTATCATGATCAGTTAAACGGAAAAATCGCAGGATTTCTGTTTGTAAATAATGGCCTAACAATTAGTATGATTCATGGCAATTGACATAATGATGGATTGTATTTGTTTATAAGGTCATTGCGAAATGATGAATTCAAGAGACTGTTCTGAAGAGAAGAGAAAGAGGCTTGGTACATCTTTTTTATCTTTGTTTGTAAGGATATCTATACCATTCAGGAATCCAGTATAGGTATGAAAATTCAAATTCAATTTGATTGTGGGGAATATTAAAGTGTCAAGTACTGAAATATAGTTTTGAGAAGTTCTCTTTTACAGAGGAAATATTTTAGTGTAAGTTGGAATACCACTTGCAAAATAAAATCTAAGGTCCTTTAAAATTCAGTTAAATTAATGAACCTTACAAACAAAGAGAATATGTTGTTATCATTTTTGTCAGCTGGGACCAGTTTTATATAATTTAACACACTTTCCCCTGCATGTTATTCCAAGTTTAGTATTACGAAAATAAAAGCTTATAAAAGCTTATATGCAGTGTTGCAATAATTGTACTTAAACGATAACGAGGGCTTATAAAATGTTCGTAGTCTGTGCTTACAAAAATAGAGAACACTAAACAAGAATTGTTAAAGAAGTGTTGAAAAATTTAGGTTGATATTTTAATAATTTTCCAAATTATAAAAAAAAACCTTTAAAAAGACTTTAAATAATCACCCGGCGCTGTTCGTCGTTTGGTTTGATGACGTAATTAATTCTCAATTACCACTCCCTCTGCTTTGAATCATTCATTTTATGAGATTCACTGGATTAAGTAAAAGCTGAAACCCGTCTTGTTTTCATGACTTCACAATGTCATTAACAGCTCAATTCAATGCATATAAAGTTTTCAATAAATCAAGGAAAAATTTCTTATTTGATTTTGCCCGCATATTTTGCTTGTCGGAATTTAATATCTACCATACATAACCAACTTTTGGACGTGGCTGACTTTGGACACACTGCCTATAAATCGACATTACCTGTACGTATCTATTATCTATGGATTTGCTTTGATAATCAAAAACATGTACCACAGGTACATTTTGTTTATCTGTAGCTCGTTTAACCATTTCCTTGGTCTATAGTTATCCAGGAGTCAAAACTTTACATGAAACATTTGGGAATAACGAAAAGTATTCAAGATCAAAAGTCTATAAAACAATACAAAATAGGCACAGAGCAAACACGGAACTCCAAAACATCGGAGATGGGATCAGGTGCCATGGAGGAGTTAGCATCCCCTGCTGACCAGTCACACCCGCCGTGTGCTCCTTGTCATGATGGAGAAATAATGGGAAAATCCGTTGTCAATTCAGTGTATAAATGGACTAACAATGAGTATGAAAAATGTTAGTCAGCATTTGACTCAATTGATAAATTTTATTTGCTGACAATGTCATTGTATCGACCATAGAACTTACGAAATTATGACTTTAAACGAGACTGCTGAAATTCTTGTTTCATCAACTTGTTTGTCAATAATTTTAAAACTGAATTATTTAACTCGTTTTAGAAATTGTTCATACCTAGAGAGTATCGAATCAACTGAGATAGATTATCTCCGGAGGAGCATGTTTGAAACAAAAAATATCAATGATGCCATATACACCTGTACATGTACACGTAATAAAATATAATTTTATTGTTCTGTTTAATATGTTTAATATTTTACTTCTTTTGAAAAATTCTTTAAAATATTACTCTAATTAATAACCGAATGACAAAATAAGATATTATATATTTTTTATTATTATCATTGACGCTTGTCTGTTCGAATTGCAACAAAATCAAGGTTGTATTGCATTTGTAATCGTTCCTATGTTCGTAGTTTTTGAGTTTAAGCTACAATTTCAATAAAATTCATCTTTGTTAAGGTTGTATGTAAAAAGATTATATTCTTTACAAGTCTATTTAAGGAATCAATGTCTAGTTTGTTGGGTATGCCAGGGCATCAACGATAGTTGACGAAACCCTTTAGGCATAAATTATTCCACGTTTCCAACTATCCTTGATGTCTGTGGCATTCCCAACAAACTAGACAGTGAATCGTTTTATTTCCATTTAATTGTGAAATAAAATTGTAAAATTAGATATCAAAAATGCCAAATAGATTTTTACACGAGGTCTCCCATGTCAATTTCAATCATTGCAACGCGTAACATTATTCAATTATTATCATTCATTTATTAACGTGGGTCTTTTGTAATCTACATTATTTAAATGGTAAAATTAACCAGATAATTATAATAATAAGCTAACAAGATCAAAGACAATACCATAGAATCTTTCATATTTGGCAATTAACATTATATGCAAGTACTAGTATTATTGAGATGATAGCATTTTCTTTGCTCTAACTTGAACTAATTAGCTTTCCATATATTTAAATTAGATTAGATTGACCAGATTGGGAAGAATACAGTTTTTTAAAAGAGAACGCTTTACCTCCTGTTACTTTGTAATATTAATCCAATCAAACAACCCATGTTGACTATATGTTTCACGTTTGAAATTTCAATACTTTTACAATACTTTTTCAATACCTTTCCTTATACGACAATGCAAAATAGAATTGTCATTCAGTTTTCAATAACATTGATATTCTGCGTGAATCCACAAGTCTAAGTCTTAGAGAAGTGTGTCCTTTAACTGAATTTTGCTGGGGGATTGTGTGTAGTTTATCCATTTTCGTATACATTGCGATAAAGAGTGGAAATTCCCCTTCTAATGCTGGTAAGTTGAATTTCTCGTTAAATATTTCCTTAAGAAGTAATATTAAACTTGCCCCCAGAACTTTCTATGTACCAGAGATCACGATTAATTGATCTATGTAAAAAACTTTGCACTTGTGCCAAAGTGATTTTTGTGCAACATTTAAGAATATCATAAATGTCTGTCACGTGATCTTCACAGTCATGTGACATCACAAAAATGCTGTATTATATTACCTGATTTAACTTTTATCTCAAAGTCACTGGAATTTCAAGCAAGGATTACAAAATATATTGAAATTAAAATCTAGCTGAAAATAAAATGTATATCTTTAAGGCATTTTAAGCCATCGGACAGCCTTTTCATGACTGCGTTATGTTTTTTTTTTTTTTTTTTTTAAATATATATATATATAATTTTTGAGATCGATCACTGTTCTTTACTAGTATCTTCTCGACACTCTTTAATACGGTAAACAACAACAACAACAAAAAGTAGGTGGTAAACAATTTTTTTTACAATGTCCAACATCTCTCTTTTAAGACAATATCTAACACAAATGGTTGATGGATATATTTTATTTCAAAGATAAAGTGTGTTATTTTTTGGAACACACGACACAGGTGATTTCCCATCCGTTATAGTACGGCGGACACTTCAGGCTACCACAGCGGGCCTCCACCAGGTAGAACAGGTACCCGTTGTGGTTCTGGTGTCCCGCCACTGCGGCCCGGGGGTTCTGATCCACACAGGAGTAGGTGGTGGCCGCCTGGTGATTGTATCTACCAGACATCAGGTAGCCAGAGTACTCCTTTCTCCATCCGCGAAAACAGGAAGTTCTCGCTATGAATAAAGGGGATTCAGTTAAAGGAACAAGCAAAACAGGATTCAAATACAGAGTATTTTTTCAAAGTCAAATAATTTTTTACCAGATATATTCAAGGCGACAAAGAAGCAATATAGAAAATTATATAAGAAATGCTAGTAAAAATATATAAGTACACGTATAATGCTTTCAGAAATCTTCATTTCTTTTTTTTTCTTTCTTTTTTTTTGGCCAATGGGAATAAAATATCATTATTTCACCATTTGAAATTGCTATAAAATTTGTGTCACTTGTTAAGTTTAAACATTATGCATACACACTGCGATTTATTTTACTATATGTATATTGAATACGAGAAAAACCAAATTGAAGTCTACAGTTCATAATTCCATCGATGTAATCTTGACAAACCTGGAATAACCATTACGTCTTTCCCTCTGCGAGTCTGACAGACAGCACATGGCACATCTTGGTCGTGAAGATGAGAATAGATGAAACCATGATAAAATTCGTATTCAGCTCCGTAGATAAATCCTCTTGGGGCATCTGTTCTTCCGTTATGGCGTCTCCACTGTGGGCGTTTAGGTAAACAGAGGGGCTCCACTGCAGCCCCAGAATGGGAATAAAGGGATCCGCCAGCAAAACCTTCAAAGCAAGATAATAAAAAAGAGATTTCTTATTTTTAAAGTATGGAATTGGAATTTTAATTAAAGTTAGTAAGAACAGAGTTGTGTTTCATCCTGTATTTGAATTAGTGGTTTGATGTCAATTACAATTTCAATTATCCAATTTGATTAAACTCTAAGAATGTTAATGTCTAAATGAATTATGCATATTTAATTGAGAAACATTTAATATTTTATTGTTATATATAAGGAAATGTTTTGCTTCGACAAAATCATGAAGAACAAATAAGAAAGTTATTTTCCATTTCTAAGCAACATTGAACATACTACCGGTCTCCCCACAAATTTTTATTTACAAAAAATAGAAATTTTGGTACCACAACTTCTATGTAAATAATTTTTTTCTGCAAAAAAAACTATCTACCTGAGTAAATTTTTCTGGCACTTCTGGGACAACTATTGTGACCCCAGCGAGTATACACAGATCCCCCCGCTGAGAAAGAACTGTCCACGTGTCTAACAAAGGCTACTGACAAAATCAACACCACGCAAAGAGAGGAAATGGAAACCATCTTAATGTCAATGAAATTGAAGGAATCTACGAAAAATATCATTTTTCATGTTATAATAAGGAGGTATATCATATATCTTAAAATAATCAGTTATACAGCATAGGTGTCAGCGGTTTTACAATAGAAAATAGTTAATATAAAGGAATCAAAAATGTTTAGCTAGTATTTATTGAACTTTTTTGCAAGCTCGAGAGCTCCTGCACTTCTTCAGCCAACTCGTACTAATGGTAACCAATATAAGTTCAATAACCCTTTAATATGTAATTAAAATCTACAATTATTCACTGCATACCATGAGAAAATGAAAATAAGGGTTATGAAAATGATGTTGAAATAAATCATCCTTAAAATATGCAAGTAAGATATGCAAATGAGGAGATAATAATAAAAAAAAAAAGACATTCATAAGAAAAGTTTTCAAACTAAAATTATAAAATTTTAGATGTTAATGAAACAAAAACATAATTAAAAAGCAAATGACAAAAATTAAAAAAAAAATGGTGAAAAGGTTTATTGTGATGATTTGATATGATAGTATAACGATGCTTTCATGTTTTAAAAAAATAAGCTAACACAAGACTTACCTCTCGGTGTCTGTTGACCAGCCCGGGAAGAAGATAGCCTTTATAGAAAACCTCATACCTTCTGTTACTCCGTAATCTTATTCCTACCAAACACGTTTTGTTGACGTTACCTTAGAAAGGCACCCCATGCTTAAAATTACATTTTTTAAGGTTAATAAATTGATCAAATAAATATCAAATTATACGTTTTTGATCAATTAACATTTGCGTAGAAAGTTATCATTTTTACACTTTAAATTTCCAACGAAATAGAGAGGTGAAAAAATGAGCGTCCCAGATGTTAAAGTTTAGACTAGTTGTGCTTTGCCTAAAAACATGTATGCCCAGAATCAAGTACATCAAGCAATTAATATCATTTTCTTTTCTTTTTTTTAATTATTATTTTTAAAATCTATACCATAGAGTCATACACATATGTTTCATATTTGGATAAATTACAAGAAAAGACGATAAAGATAATGTAAGAACTACGCGCTGTGATGTAACGTGAAGTTTTAAAATTGCATCCTTACTTTAGGCAGCAATAAGAATCATCAGGTTAATATCTCTTAGTTGATTTAGTACACGAGAGCGTATTTTGTGCAGTTTCTAAAATGAGGTATATTATTGGCAAACGAATTGCTGAAACAAGAATATCAGCAGTCTTGCTTAAAGTCATCATTTCGTAAGTTCTATGGTCGATACAATAACCTTGTTAGCAAATAAATGTTATCATTACGTCAAATGCTGAATGACGATTTTCATACTGATTGTTAGGCCTTTCATACGTACTAAATTGTCGACGGATTTTCTTGTTATTTCCCTATCATGACAAGGAGCACACGGCGGGTGTGACCGGTCGGCAGGGGATGCTCACTCCTTCATTGCACCTGATCACACCTCTGATGTTTTAGAGCTCCGTGTTTGCTCTGCGCGTTTACCTTCTTTTAGAAATTGTACATACGTAAAGCATGCTCTGGCGAATCGTATCGACTATGGATCATACATAAACTTCATGTGCCGGTGTTGAAAGTATATCGTTGCATAAGTAAGGAAATAATAATAATAATAATATATGAGTTTATAAAGCGCTAAATATTAATAATTTAACTCTAAAGCGCTGTACAATAAACGCAAGTAAACATAATTTAAAAGTTATGAAAACTTATATAAAATATTAACCCATACTCATATATGTGTTCGAAATTATAACATTAAAATACTAAAAATTACACACAAAATACAATTACGCCATCAATAAAACTCAATAAAAGAACATCATTTGTGATTTATGATTTGCTGCTAAAAATTGAGCACCTGAAATTTAAAAAGTTATTCTATGAAAATGCGTCTTTAATTGTCTTTTGAAAATATCCAGGGACTGGGCCTGCTTTATATCATTAGGAAGGTCGTTCCACAAAAATGCTGCTGCCCAACCAAGTCGACGTTCGCCATATGTCTTCGTCCTGATCTTTGGAACAACTAACCGTGATGTTGACTCAGATCGCAGTGACCTGGTAGGCTTGTATTCCATTATAAGATCTTTGATATAAGATGGAGCTAACCCGTGTAAGGATTGGTAGACATATGTCAAGATTTTATATTGTGGACGAAAAGAAACAGGTAGCCAATGAAGATCAGCTAGGATAGGTGTAATATGCTCCCGTTTCGATGATCATGTAACTAAACGAGCTGCCGTGTTCTGGACTTTTTGAATCCGGTCTAGTAAGGCCTTTGACACTCCATATAGAAGGCAGTTCCCATAGTCCAGCCTGGCAGTGATAACGGCATTCACCAGGGTCTTGCAGGCTTCTTTTGTAAGAAAGCGCCGTATTCGTCCAATATTGCTTATTTGAAAATAGCATGACTTGACGACCGAGGATACCTGTTTTTCCATAGTAAGGTGTTGATCGAAAAATGCACCTAGATTTTTTACACATGGCACGCTTTCAATGATATTATCACCAACTTTTAGTTGTAATGTTGGCAGATACTTCTGGTATTGCTTTGTGGTGAAGATTATTAGCTCGGTCTTTTCTTGGTTTAGTTTGAGTAGGTTTGATGTCATCCATGAACCAATTTCACTAAGACACGCTTCAAGTCGAGAGAAATAATTGTTCCAATTTTCCAGTGGTCCTATGATCATGTAGATTTGTGTATCATCTGCATAGCAGTGATATATCATTCCATGTCGGTGGCATGATTCCAATGGGTTTGGAGAAGAGGCAATACAATTTCGGTCCGAGTACAGATCCTTGGGGGACACCAAAAGGCAGCTGTCTTGATCGGACGGATCCAATTGTGACACATTGTTTTCTGTTCTTGAGGTAAGACTCGATCCACTCAAGAGCTCCATCACGGAAACCATAAGACACAGTTAGGCGTGGAACAATATATTATGGTCAATAACATCAAAAGCAGCGGATAAATCCAGAAGGACAAGGACTGCTGAAGATTGTTGGTCTAGGGCTGTCACAATATCGTTGTGGACCTTGATGAGGGCCGTTTCCGTGGAGTGCCTCGGACGATATGCCGACTGAAGTGGATCGCGAAGAGAATTCGCATCCAAATGGGCATCAATCCTACGAGCCACAACTTTCTCCAATATTTTTGAGATAAAACTCAAGTTTGATACGGGCCGATAGTTTTTCAACACTTCCTTATCTAGTCCAGGTTTCTTAAGAAGTGGACGAACTATGGCCTCCTTCCATGCAGACGGAAAAATTCCCTGATCGAGAGATGCATTAACCATTTCTGTGACAAGCGGTATTACCGTTGGAAAGTTGACGATTGTAAAGTTAAAATCATCATGTTTATCATAGAGCTTGGTTGTTAAATTACCATTAACGCCTTTTTCAAGTATAATATCCAAATATAAAACAGGTGTGCCAGACTACATGGTATCTTTTTTTTTTTATCTTAAGCTCACCGGGATACATCTTATTGAAATGAGAATGGAAATTACCATTGTTAGTTGACAATACGTCGTCGATATATCTAAATGTCGAGTTGAAGACCACAGCAAGTTTTCTTTTTTTTTCCTCGTATAAGATTTTGGACAACTTCAACTTCGTGTGAATAGAGAAATGGTCTGCTTATAACGGGGTGCAGTTGGTACACATGGGAATTCCAATAGATTATTGGAAGACCTAGTCTCTAAAAACCTCACAGATATCGTCAATCAGAAACCCAAGAATCTTTTTAATGTCAATTTTAGAGTACTTCTGTGTACAATCAGAATGATTTTAAACAAAATCATTTTCCAAAAGACTAATGAAAAGGTTATAAATTTACGATTTCCATTTTTTTTTTTGAAAAAGCAGCTGTCAATGATATTTGAAAAAAAAACTGGACTTTAATTTATTGTGGGGAATGGTGTATGTGTGTAAAGTTGAAAAGTCGTAAATTTTTTAATAAGCTGTTGATTTTTGTAAAATCATGTGATTTCAAATTGTCAAAAACTTCCTTGGATGAGCATTTACTGAAACCCGCTATTCTTTGTTTGTAAGCATTAGATGAAGGTTCAGAATCCAGTAAAGATATTATAGTTCAAATTCATTTTGGCTCTTTGGGATCTCAAAAATATTTAAAATTGGTTTTAAAAATTACACTTGTTCACGTCATTCTAGGACACTGTCTTTGACCTTGTTATTACCATTATTGGGTAAATTCTATAAATGAAGTTGTGTTATGCCTAGACCTTTGTCAATAAATGTATGTATTTTACTTGCTTAAGTTTTTAATTAATAAGCTATTAAGTAATGATCAGGACTGATACTAGTATTTCGTTCCTCTAATTCGAGCTGATCAACGCTCTAATGTCCTGCCCAGGAAAAAGATACTTCTTTATAAAAAAAAAATAGTTTACCTCTTGTTACTAAATTTGTATATTAAATTCAGTGAAACGAGCCAGTCATGTCTGAAATATCAATATGTTTAGAGGTGATTGATCAAAAGACATCAGGTTGTTAGTTTCCGAACTCAAATTACAATGTTTAGAAAGTATCTCATTTGAAATTGCTGAGAGTATTGCAACATACTTTACTATAATCCATTATTTGTTACGAGGGACGTTCAATAAATAATGTCATCGGTGCTCGGAAAGAAACAAAAAACGCTTTTCGATGATTTAGTCTTAATGATTAAACTAAAATATTCTCTTTTAATTAAAACAAATGTCCTTTACATTTTTATTCAATTTCTAGTTGTTTTATAACACATTTATAACACATTTTTAGCATGACCCTTTGTATACTGGAATGTGGCAGATCCTATGATTTCCTGTACTTGTTTTTTCTTTCTGAAAGGTGTTTTTTCAAGTTTGGGAAATGAATAAAGTCAATGGTTGAAAGTGCTGGCCAATGTTGTTGGTGTGACAAAACATTAACTTTCTTTTTATCCCCGGAACCCATCTACTCTTCATGGCCTGTTGGTTTGGACACTGTCATGAAGAAATTTAATGTAGTGGATTCCTGATTCTGGGTCCTTCCTCTCATAAACCTTTCACTTTTTTGCTAAAATTTTGCTTTTTAGACTTTTCCAGAAATTGAAATTACTCCCCCAATAAGAATTTAAACAACAAGACCACTAATATTATAAGAAAAAAGCATATAAAACTGTTTTTTTGTGCTCTTGCTATTCTTTTCTCTTTTCAGACCTTTGCTGTTTTGTCAAGTGTATCTCATTGTAAATTTGTTTGGGGGTTTAAAGCAAATGGATTCAAGTTTCATTATCTGTTTGAATTTCAGACAAACATGGATAAGTACAATTTTTTTTAAATAATTGGCTAGATATTCCTACACGCTGTCGTTTTCACCCATTTTTCAAAATATTGGGTGACCTTTGAGTATTAAACTTTTTTTACTATCAAATGTTTCTTTAAAACAGTGTGAACTACCCCCAAAATGATGTCTATCAAATTTGCTATGTGTCTTAAAGTCAATCAAACATACTTAGTGATAATTTGTTCAATTTTTGCAAATATACATCGGTTGTTGTATGTCCTTGTCGCCAAGGACGGTACCCATTTTTGATGTCCATTATATCAGTTTTGTTCATTGAAATGCACCTGCTCATGTGTGTATAAAACAGACATTGGTTGCTGTAAATTTCACATATTTCAGTTTATATATCTTTGGGATTCTGAACAAGTTTTACAGCAGCTTTGATGGAGCGTTTAATTTCACTCTAGTTTTCTGATTCTTGACTATTCATTTTATATGCAGTGTCTCGACTAGCTCTTGTTTTCCATTTTCTCACAAAAGAACTGTGTGATGAAAAGTGATCAAATAAACTGTTATCAACTCATTAAAGATTCAATAATTAGAGAAAGTCAAGCTTAATGGTATCATCTTCGCTAGCCAAGGGTTTCCGATCCGATACCTACTCTACAACCCTTGGCAGATTTGGCCGAAAATTTTAGAACTTGCGCAAACGAATTTGATTGGCTGCGAAGTCAGAGTCTTCGCAAAGTTTTTACTAATCGACGATTTTCGGCTGAATTACAGTCTGTTCGTGTTTTATGCACAAAATAAAAGTAATATTTACAATAGATGAAAGTTAGGACGTGATCTATGCTTAAGAAACAAGGGATTAATTAATTTGAATTTTTTTCTCTTAATTATATATGTTTTCAAGAATTATTGAAAGGACCACATAAGTCCGTGTTCCGCATTTTAGATGCATCAATTTAAGCCAATCAAATGTCACGGCTCATTGATAATAATTGATACGGCAACAAGTAGAAAGTAGTGTCAAACTCTTGACTAAAAGTCCACGAAGAACGATACTTTCTACCACTTTTGAGGCGTGCCCACTGCCCACAGCTGTAAGAAGTTGTTTGGATATATTCCAGATGGAGGTCGCCATATTGTTTCAAACGTCATATTGATCTACGTATGTTACAGCTATTTTCATTGGACAAATGTTAAAGAGCTTCAAGGGACTTAACTCAATTACGGCGATAGGCGGCGCAATCAAAGTTCCCGTTTGATAGGACTAAATCTGCCAAGGGTTGTAGAGTAGGTATCGGATCGGAAACCCTTGGCTAGCGAAGATGAATGGTATATGATTCATATCGATGGGTTAATGCCACAACCACTTATCCCTATAAGATACATTGTGGAGAAAATGGCCGACAAAGTTTGAGCCAAAAATAAAAATACTTACATGCATATTAAAGATAATTTATCTGTTTTAGTCAACTTGGTATACCATTATTTACCTATTGCCACTTATGCAACAACCATAATTCACCAGAATTATGCTTAAATCAAAATTTAAAATGTAAGGTTTTATGGTTTGAGACATGTTGTTTATATTAATTATTCAATACATGCATAAAGCTTGCATTCTGAGATACGTCGTTCTGGCTCTAATACATCCAATTTCCATTGTTCTAAAAACAAGTGACAAAACATCGTTTCTGTAGATACGCCGTTATGGCTGGTGTAAATCACATACGAAGGATAGAATCTATAGGTGATAAAACACAGCACAGAAAGTTACATTGTTTTTGCATTCTTTGTATCTATTATATGAACAGATTTTACAATAGTATTAAAGTTGTAGTGCTTTATGCGTGGATATGGTTTTGTAGGAATAGAGATGTATTATACATAAAAATCATGTTGCAAACCATTACCGAAAAATAATTTGTTTTGCCAATACATATACCAACATAATCCAAAATAAAACATAAGCATAAACACCGTAAGAACAAAGACATAAACAAAAATCATGCACAAAGAACCACTTAATCCAAGTATGATATATTCACCACTGTATATACATGTATGTAACTTAATACACAGTACACATAATGGTAGAAACAGCATTTATTCCGTTTCACTGTCGGTGTCATCTTCATCGGCATCAGGCTCAGGAAGTCTATCCACAACATTGTTGCTGCATGGCAAGTTCTTGTAATAGTCATGGTATTCTGGAGAGATGACTTTAGATTTGCACAAGTTTAAAAGGTCTTTTTTCTTTGCCTGTGAAACGGGCTGTTTTCCATTGTATTTTCTTGGAAGATTTTTGGATTTTTCTGGTCTTCCTCGTTTTCCACTCCCAGTTACTTTCATCTTCCTAAATTCCTCCTCAAAATCATATTTAAAGAGGATGTTTTCAGAATCTTCTTTCATAAATCGGAGCCATTTGATGTTAAGCCAGTTGATCTTTGTGCCATTGTACTCCACTTTGCTGTATTTCATTGACTGGGACTGCACTTTCTTAAAATCCCATATATCCTCATGTGTAAGAGGAACGACGTTGTATGGATCTTTTCTTCTTGCCATTCTGATTACTGTTGACCATTGCTGTGGAATGTATATTTCCGTTTTCTTCTTTGCAAACTCAATGGCAGAGTGCATGCTGTCACATTCCATCTGGGTATGTCCACTCTCCAGGAATTTATGATCTATTATCTCTAGGTTTGGTAAGAATGAGACAGCATGCATTAGACTTGTGGCTGTAAATTGGTTCCTATTTTGTCCTGAGCAGGCATCGGAATAAAGAATTGCATGTTTGATACTAGAAGGCAATGACAACAACTGTAAATATAGACAGGTTCCAATTTCGCAGGATCCACGCTTAGCTTCAACCTCTGACCACAGATAACATGTTGCATTTGAGCTACCTAAATTATAAATCGACAAGTTGTAGCAACTTAGTTTCCTAGTGTAGTACAGCTGACTCACAAGGGAGCATGGTGTATGAAGGACAGCTTGGAGATCAAATGTAGCTGCAAAAGTGTCATTTCTGGACTTGGCAGTTGTTTTATCCTTTTGCTTTTCTTCTCTGGCACGTTTTTTTCGTTCTTGATGTTTTTCAAAGTTTTCCTTTTCTTTTTCTGTAGTAGTATTGCTACTGACTGATTTGTGGTAGTTAACACAGAGAGAGCATTGATCCTTTTTGGGAATATGGAAGGAGAAATTGTATTCTTCATTGAAAATGCGCCTGTAGATGGGCTGACTAACCAGTTCATCTTCTCTCAAATTTCCCTTATGTAGCTGTAAGTAAAGCTCATACATTTTGGTTATGTTCAAGTCCTGTCCAAGGTATTTTCGGTTGGAGTCTTTTCTGGTGTAATGACCCTCTAATGCGGGAAATGATTCGATGTGTTCTCGAACCAGCTGTGCAGCCCTCTCAGTGGTCTTGTTGTAGGGTCTATGCCTCCCTCTCTTGTCCGACCCAGCAAATACGCCCCCAGATTTGTTTTTCATGGCGTGGTCAATATACGACTCCCCAACGCTAAGGGTAGCAAGGAAAAACTTCTTACATATGATGGTTCTGCTACCATCAGTCTCAAAATGATAGGTTCTGTGCACTTGTCGCCTTTTTTTGACAGGTTGGTTATCATCTGCCAGATATGTTCTTGTCTTCTTTTCCTCAATGTGTGATACCACAAAATCTTTTTGTCGCTCGTATGAACCTAGTGACCAAAAGTTTTTGAAGATCTCATTTCTTTTCTCTTCTGTTACTTTGGTGGAACATTTCAGTTTACATTTACTGCAATTTACAGATTTCATGACCCTCGCTTTAACAGTTTTTCCTCTTTGAGACACGTACTGCTGTCCAGTTAACTTTAATTGTTTTCTGACATTTTTCTTCCAAGTTTCTGGAGTGGCTTTTCTCTTTCTAAAAAGTTTCTTCTTTGGAGGTGTCATAAAAGAAGCTGACTTTTTCTTTGGAGTTCCTTTAGGTCTTCCTTTTCGTTGCGTTTTGGTTTTTAGAGGGGACTGTTCTAAAGGAGTGTCAAGGCCCTCATTGTTTTCATCTGCATTTGCGGTTGTTTCTGTTACAGTGGCATTTTTTTCTGACGTTTGCATAGGAGCCTGCTGGATACGGTCCGTTTTCTTCACACACCCATCGTAATGCTCAGATATTCCCCTTGATCCGACATATGCCAAATAAATATGGTTTGTATTTTGAGAACGCTGCATGGTAGGTTCTATGTCTAAGACAGAAGCCTCTGATGAACTTGAAAAAATGCGAACATGTCTGCCAGTAAAATTGGCCAAAGCAAGTGGAAGCATATCTGCTGCTTTGTTGCTCCATATTCCATCCCTTCTTAATTGATCTACTTCAATACTGAAGTCCATCCACAGTAACTCTTGTTCTGCTGAATCCAGGGTTGCTGGAGAGGAGAAAAATCCTGTGTATTCTCCTGCATTATCTATCATATGATCACAAAGTAAATGCCTCAGCTCTGAAACCCCTTCTATTGAAGGAAGATGAAATAATGCAGCATTGAAAAAGCAGTTACCATCAGATGTAATTGTTTCCCGCAGCATCCCGTTTGCTTCCAGAAGCCTATCAAGCCTGGATTTGTGGTGATTTGCTATCAAGGTATTAAGCTTTGATTCTTGCAAACTTCTTTCTTTTGCTTTTTCTACGTTGTTCGTAACAGCGGTGCCAGGATTTTTTGCAAAGGTTTTGTTTGTCTTGCTTTTCCTTTTCCCTTCATGCTTATGACGTTTAGGTTGATCTTCCTCTTGCATTGAGACATCACTCTCTGCATTACTTTCCTCAGGGGAAAACTCGGAGTCAGAGGAATTTTGATCCTTTTTGCTTGGTTTGTATGAATCTTCGCTGTCATATTCCACTTCATCCTCACAATCACCTTCAAACAGTTGTCTGTATGTCTGTTCCTTTTTCCTACGGGTCGTGGCGCTTTTATTGTCCTTAAAATACTTCAGCGGGATATTGTCACTACTGCTGTATTCACTGTCCGAACTTTCTTGTTTAGTTTTTGTTCTCTTTTGTTCTTCTTTCTTTGTATTTTGGACAGGCTTTTTACATCTCTGATAAAATTTGACAATTTTTTGTGCTCGTATTACAGCATTAGAAATTTTTTTCTTCTTCACATGTTTTGATGTTTTCTTATTTTCCTGAACTTTTTTTACACTGTCACAGTTTGATGTATTTCCACATGCGCTTGTACTCTCCTCAGATAGAATTTTATTAACAACTGATTCATCCCAAATTTCTTCATTATCCCAATCCATTTTAATTCACTCACTTTCTGTAATATCGAAATATTTATAATAGATTATTAAACTGATTAATAAGGATTATTTGTGAAACATACAAAGTCTTACATAATAGACAAAATTGATCAGATTGTATACTTAATATCTTCATATTTTTTATTTCAAAGTATATCACCATTATAGTTTTATACTTATTGTAGGAATTATACTAGATACTTACTCATTTCTTTACTTAAAATCCCATTGTTAATATATTATTTCACAACTTTTTCACAAGCACGTGTTTTCCTTGAAGTTCCATGGTAAAGCTAGGTTATTGCAGCTCTGATAACACATTTTCCTCCCAGAGGTTCGCTGGCCAGATAAGAGCATCCCTTATTACTATACTGCAGCACAGCTGCAAACCTTAGATTACATACACATGTTAGGTATCATCTTACACTGCGGGGTTTGAAATGCTGTGAGAACTTACTGACCAGTTAGATTTCTGAATGCCAAAACCACGTATCTCAAAATACATGGTTTAAATAGTGACATTTCTCTTCTTGCTCTGGTATTTTGTAAAAGGCACAATACTGTATGTAAAGTAAAGGTGTTTTATCCAGATTAAAAAATAATTTGTAAAATGTAATTAAGTATGACTCAACATATTTGTCATAGGTGCCATCTTTTTGACACTGGTCAGTCATTTTATATGAGATAATGTGATGATGAATTTTTAAATAAACATATCAATTCTTAAGCAATAATTAAGATATTTTGACACCAAAAAAACCATCTCAAATAACATATTATACTAACAAAAAGTGAAATTTAAGGAATTTTGTGATACGTGGTTGTGGCATTAACCCCTCGATATGTTGTATGGCATCGAGCTGATGACATTTTTTATTGAACGTCCCTCGTAAATTAAGAATGTATTTATATCTATGTTGTAATGCACAAAAGGGTATAAAATAGTTAAAATACAGCGTTAAAGCTAGATATAGAAATTTCTACAAACATGATATATATTTCTGTTTTCAGAAAGATAATATATCCAAATATGTTTTCAGTCAATAGAGGAAAATAACGTTTACGAGGGATTATCAAAAAGTTCGTGGACTAGCGTCATAAAATTAAAACTTCTTTAGGCACATCAATGAATTTTAAAATATCAAAATAGCATCATGTTTTCTATCTAAAGAATAAACCATAAGTCATTAATTTTATTTTTTAATAAATTAGTAATGTTTTTGTGTAAGCAATGGTATGTCCAGGCGGTGCAACCTCGAACACGACGTTTTTGCGACCTATGTGTAACTGAGAAAAACTCTTTTGATATGATCATTTGACATCCAAAAATCCGGTTAATTCAGGTTTGTGTCGGGACACAATTGTTCCATAAAACATGAAATTTTCACTTTAATCTGGAACTTCTATGTAATTTTATCGTAAATTTTTCATGTCCAAACAAATGAGGCCTTGAAAATGACGTCAAAAGGGGGGAGGGGTTTCTGTTTCCAACATTCTATAAAGGACTTAAGCCAGAATGTACAAAAATCCGCCCTGTCATCGAAACGGATGAAACTTTTTCAAACAATGCTCTTAGATTAGTATATTATATAACATTTTATTTTTTAACAATATCTCTTCTAGTTTTATTTTTACAGCTGTTTGAATTTGGTATTGTTCTCAATGTTAATTCTACAACGTCATGACGTTGCCGTTACTTACTTTAACGTCATGACGTCAATCATATATACTTTAACGTCATGATGTGAACTTAATTAGTAATAAACATATCATATATATTCTAAAGAGGAGAAAATTCAATTATTTTTATATAAATCTCAATTTATCATGGTCTTTTCAAAGAAATTCTGAGGCATGGAAAAGAGTTTAGTGTTTGCTTTTCTTACTTATGTACTTCTCTAAAGAAAATATATATACTTCATAAGCAGTAACGCTGTTTACCATTTTACAAATGTAACAGTGTCAGTTTAAAATAATAATAACAACAAAATTATCAGTTTTGTAAACATTTGTATTTCTTGCTCCAATAGTATTCATAACAATACATAAAATATTGAAGTAAACTTCACTTTAACATATTTTTCAGGTAAATCATGAAAATACATAAATCAGAAAATGTGTATATGCTCCAATAATAATAACAACAAAATTATCAGTTTTGTAAACATTTGTATTTCTTGCTCCAATAGTATTCATAACAATACATAAAATATTGAAGTAAACTTCACTTTAACACATTTTTAAGGTAAATCATGAAAATACATAAATCAGAAAATGTGTATATGCAAAGTCAAGCTATGCCTTTTTACTGATTATTGCTACAATATCACACCCGACATAAATCTCACACATGAAATTATAAACAGGTATATTGAAAAAAATAACACTCTACCTGCGGAGCGGCCCAATTTCCGCATCCGACTTAAAACTCACACAAGAGATTATAAACAGGTAAATTGAAAAATGATACTCTACATGCGGAGTGGCCCAATTTCCGCATCCGACTTAAAACTCACACATGAGATTATAAACAGATATATTGAAAAATAACACTCTACATGGGATTATAAACAGGTATATTGAAAAATAACACTCTACATGCGGAGAGGCCCAATTTCCGCATCCGACTTAAAACTCACACAGCAGATTATAAACAGGTATATTGAAAAAAATAACAGTCTACATGCGGAGCGGCCCAATTTCCGCATCCGACTTAAAACTCACACATGAGACTATAAACAGGTATATTGAAAAAAATAACACTCTACATGCGGAGCGGCCCAATTTCCGCATCCGACTTAAAACTCACACATGAGATTATAAACAGGTATATTGAAAAAAATAACACTCTACATGCGGAGCGGCCCAATTTCCGCATCCGACTTAAAACTCACACATGAGATTATAAACAGGTATATTGAAAAATAACACTCTACATGAGATTATAAACAGGTAAATTGAAAAATAATACTTTACATGAGATTATAAACAGGTATATTGAAAAATAACACTCTACATGCGGAGTGGCCCAATTTCCGCATTCTACTTAAAACTCCCACATGAGATTATAAACAGGTAAATTGAAAAATAACACTTTACATGAGATTATAAACAGGTAAATTGAAAAATAACACTTTACATGAGATTATAAACAGGTATATTGAAAAAATAACACTCTACATGCTGAGCGGCCAAATTTCCACATCCGACTTAAAACTCACACATGAGATTATAAACAGGTTAATTGAAAAAATAACACTCTACATGCGGAGCGGCCCAATTTCCGCATCCGACTTAAAACTCATACAGCAGATTAAACAAGTAAATTGAAAAAATAACATAATTTTTTTTAAAAACATATTATATATGACAGATACAGTGTATATAAAATAACAATGAATAAAATACAATTAACATTAACTAACTGTTCACTCCTCGGGAACACTTTCACAGCTACTGTCATCACTGTCAGACTCGTCCAAAGCAGGTGGGATGTCAGCTGCATCAAGGACATGCTCACTCCAGTCACGCACACCATATGTCCTTTGTTCATGCCTTCCTTTTGCCAGGTACCAAATGATGGCTGCTATGTGAGAGCACATGCCTACAACTCTGGCACCCGCTCTGCAGGTACAATACCATGCCTCTACAGAGTAATCAGAATACTCAATCCAAACTAAATACTGCTTTGATGATGTGTGCCGACTCTGAATTTTCACCTTTAGGAGCCTATCATTTTCTTTATGGAAGAAAATATCACATCCTCCCTCAATGTGTTCTTGAATATAGCTACGAGAGAGCTTCAATTGATAGGTGCCACAAGTCAAATTCCGCAACTGATCCTCATCGAACATGGGGAAATTCTGAATTTCACATTCAAGAACTGTTTGCCATTGAGTAGATCTTCTGTTAAGTCCATTCTCTTGAACCATTCGTTTGAGATTATTTACCTATTAAGAAAGCCATACGCATGTAATTATAACTTATATGCTTATGTATTCAAGGGAGATGAGCAAGATGAAATTTAAAAAAGTTAAATGTATTCTTAAATGCAGATTTTTGCAGCTGCTCAATTACTAGTACATTAAGGTATTATACAATAAATCAATTGTGCAACTTAAATACCTGTTTGGACAGATAGAGCATTTTTGCTGCCTCTGCATCATCAGCCTCAGTGTTGTTACTTTTACTCAGGGGTGGAGAGAATCTGTTTGAGAGTGCGCAAACTATCCTGACATAGTCACCGATGAAGGGAATTTGATTAGTGGGTAGTGTCTTGTCCAAATATCGCCACCTCTTGATACGTGCGTTTGAAGATTCCACTACCCATCTGACCTAAAAAATATTTTTTCAAAACTTATTCATAGTAATATATATTTTCACAAGAAATTGTAAATAACTTTATTGTGAGAATTTACATGTTATTTACCTTTGTCACAAGTCTGCTCATATTTGCATCATCAGTAGTCATTTGGTTTTGTCCCTTGAGCAGAAATCGGGGCATTTCTGCCTGGATTCCAAGATCTTCAAGCAGAGGCAAAGCATCTCTGAACCCGCGGTCAACAATAAAGATGTCGTCTTCACTTAGCCAGCTCCGAATATCTTCAGCATTTGTTTTGATGATGTGTTGGAGAATTGATGCATCATTGTTTTTATTATCAGCAAGGTATGGTCCTAAGATTGAGACAAAGTAACCAGTAGTAGTTACGATAACCATAGGCTTGATTAGTGGTCTCCCCTTGTGGATACTGTAAGAACGTCTTTGGTAGTGGAAATTATTGCTCTTAGCTGTGTATATGTAAGTGCCATCCAGTACCAATATGGCCTGTTTCTTCTCGATGTTACCAAACAGTGTCTGTGCTAGCTGTCGTGTATGGTCTTCGATGACTTCCTCTCTTCTTATGTGTTCAAACCCAAGATGGTGTGGCACAAAGCTGATCATCAATGCTGCTCTTACAGCACTAACAGCCCTCCTTAAACTGGATTTGGAAGTTTGGAAAAGTGTTGACAGTATTTGATTTGACAAGCCAGTCTTTAATTTGCACAGGAATATGGCAACAGATTTTCTTAGACTCCTAGACGGTGTTGGTTTCACTTCATCTTTCACAGCGTCACATATTGTATGGAAATCTTCCTTGTTGTGTCCCAGCAAAGACAAATAGTCTGTATCGGTCAGAGTCGTGGTGTCATCAAAGTCCAAATAAGACTTGTCATGTTTATGACATAAAACACGCATCTCTTGAAGTAAACTTAGGATGGTAGTTCTGTTAACAAATGCATTGTCTGTCGTCGGTAATTGCTGAATTGCATCAGTTGTGAAGCGTTCATTTTCCACATGACCAGGACAACATCTATTTCCGGATGGAATTAATATATTGTGTTCAATAAAAACAGATGTGCGGCATTCTGGTGACACTACTATCAATTTGGGCCCTGGTTTCTTACAAACGATACAATAGGCATGAGTCTTTGCAGTGGATTTTAAGTGCAAGGATACAGATGGTGGACTGGAGAGATGTTTTCTGTTGTCATTTGTTTCGGACGCTGGACATTCCCTGTGAATTGTGGTAGAGCAGGGTGTTGCAGATGATTTACGGCATGAAACATCTCTGTAATAATTGCTTCTACATTTGCTGCAGATGACAGAATTTTCCCTTCCTTCCACCATAAACCTTTTTCTTAAATATTTTCTTATGCCTTTGTCAAGATGCCTCCTTTCATTGGGTTTTGTTCTTTTAGAGCACAATACACAGTTGAAGTATTCAGTTTTGTGTCCTGGCATTATCTGAAATTAAATACAAGAACATTTACATTTTATAAATTATTATCCAGGCTAATTATGAAAAATAATTCGTTTTACCTTTCCAACTGAATAAAATGATTTTTTTTTATTTTACTGCCATAATTATACCCCCGCTTGAAAAACGGGAGGGTATAATAGTAATCGGTATATCCATCCGTCTGTCTGTCTAGCTGTCTGTCTGTCCGTCTGTTATGCTTTGGGGTATCCATCTCTTATCCACAACTAGCTCCTCTCATACCACTGAAGGAAATTTAATGAAACTTTCACAGAATCTTTATTACATATTGCCATTGTGCACCTCCTATTTTACTTTTTGATCTGACATATATTTTTGATTTTCCAGAGCAAAACATGGACACTGCCATTATATTCATATGGGAGGCGGGGGGTATCATTTAGTGAGCTTATTGCTCACAGTACCTCTAGTTTATTTTAAACTACAGCCAAAATGGCTGATTAAAATCTTTTGAAAATATCTTCTCCATCTCATCCAGATTAGAATTACAATAAAAATTTCATCCCATGTATGCTCAGATTCATGGACTTACATATTGTTAAAACTTTGCCTGAGGAAGGACATGAATTTTTACATCATTATACAAAAATTGTCTTCTTCCTCTGGGAATACTTTAAAGATATTTGATTGAGTTTAACCACCTCAAATACTGTTGCTTTATTTTTGTTTTATAAATCCTTTAAAACTATTAAGTTCTTACTGTGGTTTTCTACAATATACTACTTTTCATTATATTTTAAATATGCACACGCCTTGAGATCCACACCCCCATTTCAGCAATTTATATTTAATTTATGAACAACAATAAAAAAGTTGCAGAATTACAATAATAAAATTGATTTTAGCTGTTCATTACTTTAAAATATTTACTGCTATTTATATTCTAATGAATTTGCTTAAATATGCTATTATTTGCATTGTTGTTTATATTATTTTAAGAAAAAATCATTATTAATGAAAAATCATTAAAAATATATTTAAATAGAACGTGAATTTTTCAAAGAGAGGTAACTCATGAAAACAAAAACAAAACACCCCCCTAATGTTAATGTGTCTATTTTTTGTAAATTATGACTATTAAAATATAAATTAATATTTTTACATTGATATATTGTCTTGTAAACATGGTAAATATGTGCTGTACTTTTATTTAAAAAAAAAAAGAAGAAGAGGGGATTCAGACTGACATGTTCCAGTGTTATCATTGCTTATCATATTGGTGTGAAATTTAAAATGAACTTACAAGATACTCATATGCCTAACGTTACATACAGATTGAATAAAATCTTAATTTAGACTTATGCCGATCTTTTTTGCATCTCAATCACACGTACTACAATAAACTTTGATATAGATATGCATTATTGCATACCTAACAGTAGGCCCCTAGTCCGAAAAATCTGACGTTTTCCTGGCTTTTTTACGATCTTGATAGTTTACATACCAGGAATAGTCCGATTTCTTGGCTTTTTTTACGATCTTGATAGTTTACATGCCAGGAAAGTAAAATATCAAAATCGTAAAAAAGCCAGGAAAACGTCAGATTTTTCGGACTAATCTGACAGTAGATCACACTGCAGACGACATATGGGTCAAGCGAGCGGTCCATGTATTATCAGCTCAGAATCATCCTATTATATTGATGCATGTGTATTTTAAAGCTTACTTTACTTTTTTGTTAAGAAGAATATAAAAGATACTCACCACAACAAAGTCATGTAAACTTCTCTATCTTCAGTAACCTGCATTCCGGATAGTCAGTTATTTTATCACATCGGGATCGGAAATTCCCCTTTTTTACAGACGCAAGTTTTCATGGTTTTATATCGAGTGGATTTTATATACTTTAAAATTTATTTACGGCCTCAATAAATTATTAAAAAATAAATCATTTAATATGACTAATTAAGTTTAACCTCTATTTCTACTAAGCCGTACTGAGAGAAAAAAAAATCCGGAAATTATCTTTTACACAAGTCAGGCATCAAAGTACTGAAAAGTATCATTTAAGTAGGGCGCCACACGTGAACCATCAAAAACCAAATGAATTATGGAATAACATGTATCATTTTAACTGTGTTTAAAATTTCATCATGGTTCAAGGTTGGCGCCTACAAAAAATCGCTGTAAAAAGGTCTAAATTTCTTTGAAACTTGGTATTTTTGCATTACCGCATCCGGTTTTGATGTTTATAATAAAGCACGCGCTGTTTCCTTCCCAAAAATCAAGACGGCGACCAAAGGTTTAACACCTAATAAATATTTGGCCAAAGTTTCGCTGCTTAATAATGAAGTTTGGTTTTCAGGAATTGACAGGGCCAAATCATACAGATTTTGGCGTTAGTTCTTTTGTCCCTGAAAAAACTGGTATAGACCTAAAACATGTTGGAACAGGCCACAGAGAAATAATATGCATCCAGAGTACTTGTCTTTTGATGTCAAAATAGATTCAGAAAGAAAAGGAATACACAGTTTATGTCGATTTGCAGTCAAGGTGTGAAAAATCAATCACGTCAAAAAATGACGTTTCAATCATGTGTTGTAGATATTGAACTCTCAAAAGCAAAATATGCCGGCACAATCAAACGCGGATCTCTCCCAATGTATTACTCCATTTGGAATATTATATTCATTGAAGGCCACTGTTCGTGACATTGTAAAGTAATATAAACAAGGCGGGTTTAAGTCCTTACTCAGCTCCAGGGAATCTCATCAAAAAAGTATGAGGTAGAAGAAGCGGACATTGAAACTCATTTACTGTGAAAATGTGTGCTGCTTTCAACAAATTCATAAATTGGTCTGCTTTGCTTGATTGAAACAAACTCAATTGCTGTGCAAAATGTGTACTGCTTCCAACAAATTTCATGGACAGACTGCTTTGCTTGCTAAAATATCTTTAGTAACGTTCGCGGTTTGATAATCCGGAACGATAACTACATACATGTAAACTTGTAAAGTTTATTTAAAATACATGTACATAAAATTTAATTGTATAAGGTTAATTACCGTTTGCGGTATACCCGGAACGGCCATTATTATGCTTATTATAAGTACATGTACATGTAAAATTTTGCTATCATGTTGATTGCTGTTCTTGATTGTTGTAATTATTTGGGGTCGCCCTGCTTGGCACCCCCTTGCTGCTTAAAATATGCCACGACCAACAATCGCCAAATATTAAAATAAACGTGTATAAAATCATATTTGTTTTATTTTCCTCTATATAAATAACTTACCTTGTTTTTTAAACTCATATGTTGAGCATGCTCTTCTGCATCGAATAAACTGAAAGATATAAACCCCGTATGCAAGTGGTGAAGGTGTATTGCTGAATAAGTGAGGGAAGTTGACGATCAAAAAGTTAAGGTGATCACATTTATATCGTATTGAAATAAGAATGGAAATGACAATTATTAATAATAGACTTCCGAGATATATCGTATCGACAAAAGAATGGAAATACCGTATAAGTAGATTTTTTACCGAGGGTTTAATTTTGGCATTATTAGCAAGGGTGCCGAGATCGCTAAAATTGAATATCGCTAGAAATTAATTGTGTTTTATTTGTAATAGCTTCTTTAATGTGCATTTTAACATCGCTAAAATAACATCTTGCTAAAAATAAATTACCAGTTTTTTAAGGACAAATCGCTAAATTTGTGTCTCGCTAAAATTTCCACTTATGCGGTAACCATATGATTGTTAATTGACTATACGTCGTGCCTATATCTGAATTTCGTGTTAAGGACATACGCAACGTACCTTACCTACTGATAATTTTCCAAGATATTCTAAATTTAAACTTATAATATCATTACATGTTCTTAGACAAAAAATCAGCATGCGTAACCAGGGGTTTTGAAAAGATATCGAATTTTGAAAATTTTTGCATTTTTCAAATAAAAAAGTACAAAAATTATAAAACATATATTCCAGATTTTTTTTTCATCAAAAATTGTTTTAGAAGAGATGTTCAAATCAATATATAGACATTAAAAGTATTGCAAACAGGTCCTTCATTTAGTGGAACTCTTCAACTCCAGGGAAGAATCCAATAAAGTTAAAACTACGTTGCGTATGACCTTAAAGCCGAAGCAAGTGGTTTCTTCTGATTTTGGATTAATTCTGCTTCATATTAATATAAAATTAGATCTGTTAATAACGGAGGGTAATTGGTACTCATGGAAATTTTAATACATTATTGGAGGATATGGTCTCCAAAAACCATGTTTTAAACAAAATAATTTATGCATAAAAGTTGATCTCACGTGACTACTTTTAAAGACATCGTTCAGGTAAGCTTTCTTATGGAAGAGTTTGCTCACTTGTTAGTTTTTGATTTTCTTGCTTTTAGCGACAACATTAAAGCTTTGGGTTATTGTGATCATAATCAGTAAATAGGTCTATATAGAAATAATTAACGCTTCTTTTTCTGATATGAGTTATACAGACAATATTCCATTATAAAATATCATAATTTATTCAAACAGATGATTTTCAACCAGATTCTGGTAATAAATAATACATATTATTCAAATATTCATGGTGCAGAGCAAACGGCACAAGTGAGTTCTCTTCCTCCAACGTATGGGGGACATTTCAGGGACCCACAGCTCGCCTCAACGGGGTACAACAGGTACCCGTATCCTTCTGATCCGCCCCCTGTAACGTTATCTGGATCTTTTGTCCACACAGGTAAATTTAGAAGCAGCTTTGGCAGCATGATAACCAGACATCAGATATCCGCTGTATTCCAAGGTCCAGCCTCTATGACAAGTGTTTCTTGCTGTAAAGAATGAATAATACGGATAGATATTTAGACCGTTTGCCAGTAACCAAGGGCTTTAGTCGAGAGATCAAAATAATAAGAGTGATTAAAAGTTACAAGTCTCTATTTTAACCGATATTTCTGTTAAAAGACAAACAGAAGACTTGACAGGATGACGGATATGATAAATTGAATTTTTTAAAATCAAACCTGGGACGGTGTATACAGCTGATTTCCCGTAAACTCGACACACAGAGCACGGCACATCGTGTAAGCTCAGAGACTTCCTGAAATCGTATGTCCTGAATTCTGCTCCATATATGAACTGCTTGTATCCATCAAACCCGTCCTTGTAATACCCCCACTGAGGGTCCTTAGGGAGACACAAAGGCTCCACGGCAGCCCCGGTATGTGTATAGTACGACCCTCCGGCATAACCTAAAATTGACTGTTGGGTTAAACCCAGCACAGTTTTTACAGGTCTTTTAGATAGACCACGTGAACAGCAGTTTTAAATGTAATGCTGTGTAGGGAAAATTCCGTAAAATATAATGTTTCAATCCACTGCAGAGAAAACTATAAAGTACAGACATTTTTAATACCAAGAATACCTTTAATCAAAACAGACCATTATTGATCCAGCAATGCCATCATTCTGTAAAACATTACTTCCTGAACGTTTCACCAATGGACAAGTTATTTTCCTTAAAATCTCAACTCAACATACATGTACCATATACATTGAACTGTAAAGAAGAGGCTACACAGAATCTGCTTCATCCGTTTCATACTTATAGATCTTTTACTGACTATACACTTCTATATCTTATTAAACGAAATACAACAAAAGGGAGAACATAAACACTCTAATCTTTCCACTATCAACTCAATATGGCTTTAATGTCTAGATCTCCAAAATGAATCATGTTTTACTACAGTTTTAGTACCATTAATTTTCAAGCAAGCTACAAACAAATAAGTTGATGCTTCAGGATATGTAACTGTGAAAGTCATTTCAAGAATCTTTCCAAAAGATTTATTTTGATGTAGAAAAGTTATTCGCAAAGTAACATTTTGATCTGGGTCGCAAGTTCTTTTGTAAAACAGGGTCCTGGAGTTTTGTTTATCAGAAATGACGTGGTCGTCCTGAAGGTGAAGTTTTCTTGATTAATGGGCAAACTAAATGCCAAAAAAAGCTGAATTCATAGGAAAATTATGAGCCCTTGAAATAATTTTACGAATTTATCGGGGTAACAACTAAGGAACAATAGCTACTGCAGGTGTTATAACTGTATAACACTTAAGGTTTAAAATATGACCAACACAAAATAATTCCTGAGTTTTTCTTGATAACAGAAGAGAACAGAGGTAGGTGCTTAGATTTTTTTCTGAGATGTAAAACAATATATTCAGTTAGTGAGACTTTAGTAGTAAAAGCAATGATCGGCAACAACAAATATAGACAAACCTGAGTATACGAGTTCTACGTTTTGTGGACAAATCTTCTTTCCCCATCGAACGTATACAGCACTAACATTCTTAACACCTGGAAAGTTGAATTACATAGTAAATAAATTATAGTTATTTTAGTTGATCTTTGAATATTTTGAAATAAAAGTAAGTTATGTACTTACCTCCAACACTGAGATCTGATGTGAGATCTGCCTTTATTTTCGATATTGACTTATCTGTGTACAGTCTACTTTTTTCCTCCATATCTTTTAATTTCTGCTTTATTGATTTAGAGAAACTTTCAAAATCCCGCCGTAGAGACTTCATGTGATAAATCCCCAAAACAGACGACAGTTGTCCGCTCAGATATCCCTGCAAGATCTCTTTGCATCCTCCAACTGCGGTTTCGTCTTTTGCTTCAAGCAAGGGAATTACGAACAAAAACGCCAAAAACATTCTATAAAGTTAAAATGTAGCATGTTGCATCATTCGAACTGGTGCATTAGGTTTAATAAGACTAGCTCCTACGTGTATATTCTTTCTATTTACAATTTTAGCATCTACACAAACCTGATGTCTTATAGTATTCTGGTCACTCTTGTTCGTGTTACCAGCTTCCGCCGTATATATAGCCTTGTTCATAAATGACATAGATTGCGTGTGATTTTATTGCTAGTAGGGTGATACTTGATATTTTTTGTGAAAAAGAATATTCAACATCATTTGTTAGTTGCTTTTTAAAATCGTACTTTAACATTTTTTTGTTTTATTTTTTCTGGACTGATGGAGTGTATGTGATTATTGATTTTAGCGAAACCCTATTCTCTTTCAATCTCTCTATTTTGCTTGTTTGTTGTTTAACGTACCTCTCGAGAATTTTTCACTCATGTAGAGACACCACCACTTGCCGGTGGAGAGCTGCAAATTGTGTCCTTTACTCGGCACTCTGGGTCATTGAGCAGGAAGGGATCTATTTCGTGCCAGCACCTACTGCAACATGGGACCTCGTTTTATACGGTCTCCACGTCCCACAGTGGGATTCGAACCCGCGACGCAAGGATGTACTCCTTACTCCGCGGCTCGAAAGCAGACGCTCTAACCACTGTGCCACCTGTGCGACCTCTCTATTTAGAATTTACTGGAAAGATGGAGGATCTTTGCATTTTTTGTTTTAAAATTTTTATCCCAGTACTTAATAAAGGAGAAACGTAGTAATTGTATTTTTATTCAACGTTCAATTAAAAAAATGTTACACAATCAACTATAAATAAAAGATTTAAGAGGTAAAGTCCATGATTTTGGAGTACATAAATACATTATTAACAAGAGGCACAGGGGCCACATCGCTCACCTGAGCAATTGGCTAGATCAGAAATGAAAGTCTACGGGGGGCTTGAATTTTAAAGGGGGGTCATGATTTGAACAAACTAGAATCTACACTACCTAAGGATGATTCCCTATAAATATCACTAAGCATGGCTTTGAATTACTTGAAAAGAATATTTTAAAAGGTTTCCCTATATATTCCTATGTAAAAATTTGTTCGGCCATTGTGGCCCCAACCTACCCCCGGGGGTCATGATTTGAACAAATTTGAATCTACACTGCCTGAGGATGATTCCACATGAGTTTCATCTTTCCTGGCCCAGTGGTTCTTGAGAAGAAGATTTTTAAAGGTTTTTCCTATATATTCTTATGTAAAACTTTGATCGGCCATTTTGGCCCCACCCTACCCCCAGGGGTCATGATTTGAACAAACTTGAATCTACACTACCTGAGGATGATTCCACATGAGTTTCACCTTTCCTGGCCCAGTGGTTCTTGAGAAGAAGATTTTTAAAGATTTCTGCTATATATTCCTATGTAAAACTTTGATCGGCCATTTTGGCCCCACCCTAGCCCCAGGGGTCATGATTTGAACAAATTTGAATCTCCACTACCTGAGGATGATTCCACATGAGTTTCATCTTTCCTGGCCCGGTGGTTCTTGAGAAGAAGATTTTTAAAGATTTTTCCTATATATTCCTATGTAAAACTTTGATCGGCCACTTTGGCCCCACCCTACCCCTGGGGGTCATGATATAAACAAAATTGAATCTACACTACCTGAGGATAATTCCACATGAGTTTCATCTTTCCTGGCCCAGTTCTTCTTGAGAAGAAGATTTTTTAAAAATGCCATTAATTTTTCTCTATTTCATAATTATCTCCCCTTGGAAAAGGGTGTGGCCCTTCATTTGAACAAACTTGAATTCCCTTCACCCAAGGATACTTTGTAGCAAGTTTGGTTGAAATTGGCCCAGTGGTTCTTGAGAAGAAGATGAAAATGTGAAAAGTTTACAACAACAACAACGACGACGACGACGACAACGACGACAGACAACGGACAAATTGTGATCAGAAAAGCTCACTTGAGCCTTTGGCTCAGGTGAGCTAACAATAATCGTTATTTATAAACAATATTCTACAAAAATGATCGAATAAAAGTTTCATTGATGTAGCAAATTTTCAAAGTCAAAATAAGTTAAATGTACATAAAACATAAGAAGTGTTTAAATTCTTAGTAACACGTCGTTGACTGTGTCATACATATGCGCATGTTGCTATCGAACACGTAACCAGCAGGGCACTGCTGTACCGCTGGACCACTGAGTAGGCACTTCAGGAAGAAGTTACATCCTCGGCACGACTGGTGGTACCCGATACCGATCCTGATACAATCCGATTCCACGTGACACGCACCTGAAAGTAATTATCATGAATTATATTGATTTTTCAATTGATTATTGAACATGTAACTTTCTTGACGATATATGCGTCAGAACCACGTTATTTCTTTGTTTGTCAGCCATTCCTGGCATGCAGTCCAAATTATAAGTAAAGTTCTTCTGAATTTAGAGACTTGAGTTAAGTTTATTTTGAAATGGATAGCTGGGATACCTGTAAAATGCGACTGTCCTGACTGACTCCTTGTCGTCGTGCGCTGTGTTACTGGTACAGTTCTACGTGTAGTCGTCGTTATCTTACGTGTGGTGACGGGGTATCCTCCATTATTTATCCCACTTCCTCCGGAAATACTTCCACTTCCTGTGCCAGTCCCACTTCCTGTTCCACTTCCACTTCCGGTTCCACTTCCTGTTCCACTCCCTGTGCTGCTTGTTCCGGTACTTCCAGAACCAGAACTTCCGCTTCCAGATCCACCTCCATTTAGAGTTTTGCTTGATGGAGGGGGTGTTTGTGTCGTGGCGGGGCCAGGGTAAGACCAATCTAGATATTTATCATAAAAGGCAGTAACAAGAGATGTGTAATAGGTCGATTTATTTTTTATTTGAATGACAATAAAAAATTTTCCGTAATATTGAAAAGTTTGAATAGAGAGAAAATGTTTCACTTTACATGAATTACATGTTTTTATGTTTATACTACCTTCATCTTTATTTTCAATAATTATGCATTGGCTTTTTCAGTTTGTTGGAAAGAAGACCCTTTTCTAATTTACAATCTTTATAAGACCAAATTTTGAAAAAGGGAAATGCTGAAAGACATTGAAGTACTATACGCGCTACATGTATATACTTACATTTTTTCTTCTCACAGACATAATTTATTGGTATATTACAATCGACGTCATTAAGTTCAGAGTTTACGAATTCTCCACAGTGTTCCATTCCGGCATAATTATCAGGCATGCCCTTTTTCCAAGGCCTATTTTTGGAAAATGTGTATGGTAAAGAGTAAAGTATCTCAAATCGAGAAAAAGGCAAGAGATTGAAAGTTATGAAATTTGATAAATTAATATGCTACAGTATTTTATTGGTCGTTAACTTACACTATGTTTGTGTCAAGTGGAGCACCATTTATCCATTTAAAGTTCTGAGAATCGGTACGAGGAACATTAGACATTCCTATCCAGACTTGGTACAAGAAATTCGGGAAATAGGTTGCTTTGAGTTGATCAAGTTCTTGCTTCACCCACGCCTGAAAAAAATTGTATGCTATCCAATTTTAAACGGATCCTCTCTTCTGATACATCTTGATGGCAAATAAAAGTAATTTTTGCATTAATATGCTATTGAACAACATTTACAATGAAGCTCTTTGAAGCTGATACCAACAAAGCAACTCGTTTTCTAAATATATAAAGCACTTTTTCGGTCCCTACCGCTTCCTGTGTATCGTCCACCACCAACAGATCCCCCTGCTGCAGACGACAGATCTGTCGGGCGTCATTGTACGTCTCTACGTTACGTGTCGTCATCAAATAACACGTGTCACTTCCGGGCCGTTCCTTCCAGCCTTTTGGACACACACCATACGGGTCTGGGGTCAGGAAAAACACAAAGATATATATCGTATCATATACCAAAATTACCAAAAGCACTAATTTTAATAAGGATGTTGAAGGATGTTATACCTGATTTTGTAGGGCAACCTAACACTTCAAATCGCATTGAGATGTGGTTGTTCCAGGCAACAGGACGAATCCTGAGATATTTAGCGATGACAGAACACCCAAACATGTTTGTTACCTCCGACTCCTGGTCTGTATTTCCGTTAAAGACCTGAAAGATGAAAAACAGTACAAGTTGTTTTGATATTAATGAGGGTGCTGATGGTGGATATATATAAACTTTCACCACAGAAATTCCGCTTTATTATATCTTACAATTTTATTTCCATTTGAGTCCTTTACAGGATCAAAATTTACTCCATCGACGCTGTATTCAACAGTATACTTAGTCACGTGTTCATTGCAGCACTGTGATTGGACGTCAATATTCCTACCCTGAGTAACTACGCCTCTAATGACACTTTGGGAATTAAATTGAACCTGCATGGCAATTGTAGATTGAATTAATAATTTGGCGTTAGAATCTAGACTTTTGTTATGTAAATGTTTAATTCAATTTTACATTAATTAGCGCACATCCTACACAGACCTGTATGTACTGGTTTTTATCGTTGTACTGGGCTGACCATCCGCCGTTAAGGAATGTTCCATTCTGGTAGCTTAAACTTGGACTGTAAAGCCGACCCCGGTAAGGGGCGTAATTACCGTTAGAGCTATTGGTGTAAGTGGATGAAGCAGTGATTTGACTATCAGCAACTCCACGCGGACCGGAAACAAGGTTCCCGTGACAAACATCCGGACCTGATGACATAACGTTAAATCATCATTCTATGGTTCTTGTTTTACAATATTAAATAAATTTTAGATATATAAACAATTACAAAAATTGCACCCTCAATCACCTTAATGATCTGAAGAAACTTACAAATGTGAAAAAGAATCATATTCGTACCGTTATTTTGGTTGGATGCTGCGGTAGTCATGGATACCGTGGTAGTTGTTGCGGGGGTTGTCGTCGGGAGAGGATTGCAGTCCCACAGGATATCGAGATACTTGGGAATGCTGGGACATGGGTCTTCTCCCAGAATCCCTGTGTCGGCGGACACTTGACATAAATCTTTCCCGTTACATCTCTGAGCTACGAATCCCGTTACGCGTCCCGAGGAGTAACAGTCAATGGTAAGATGCTTTTTACACACAATGGAATTCGTCCTACCAAAATTCACAGTCCGTATCTGTATGGTAGTTCCGGTTGGGCATGTGAGTGGTTTTGTTTCAAATTCACATACGATTTTGTTATTGCTAGCCGCTGAAATGATTAACCATATGACTTTTTAGTTTTTGAACAATTTACGTATAGCTTTGGCTTTGTATTCATTCATAACAAAAAATTTTATCTAAACATGGTGTCAAACTTTTCCCCCTGATGTACCTATACACAGTGTAGTATACTTAGTTACTTACCGAGTACAATGGCAGGAAACACTGAAATGAAGAACAAAACTTGAGAAAAAATAAATTATTAATTGAGCATTCACTGCTTAGTAAATATATTTTTTAATTTAATTCTTTCCTAAAATGTTGAGAGAGTAAACTTATTTATAAGATTGACTTTATTTGTTCTCTGCATACATTGTGCTATCAACAACTTGCGAAATTTTCATCCAATTTTTGATACCATTTTTAATTTCCTGCAATATCTAGCAATTGGTTTGCTCTCCTAAAACACTGAAAAGTCCCATAAAGCTACACTCCGACGGATCTAATCTTCGGGATTTATAAAAAATAAAATATATAAAAGAATAAGACATCTTTCGGCTGATCAGGAAAATTCTTACATCAAACCTTAGTTAAGATATACATGCATTCCCTATAGTTCTTGTGGTGGGTTTGACCACAGGGACCAGCTGTAACATATATTTTTGATTTTATTTAATCACTTTGAAGAAAGGAATATTAGTATGTTATCGGCTAATGAATATTCTACACACAGACTGTGGATAAGTGTATGCTATCGCCATTCAGCATCCTAGAATTTGTAATCATTTGATTCTGGGTTTTTTTTAAATTAGAGAATATATAAAAAGATAATAAAATGCGATTAGACGTTTTCTGAAGCGCTGGGTCAGTAAATGACATTTGCTCCAAAAATACATCGTGGTATCTTGCACTTTCTTTTCTTCTTTATTTGCAAATTTGAAAAAGTGTTGTTTTTTTTTGTTAAGATATATTACATGTCGTTGAATACAAACCTGTTGCATAAAATAATTCCAGAGATTTCATAATTGAGTATTTTAGTGAAATATTCCTTTGATTAACACGACAATTTTGCTGTGAATACGTCCCGGCACTTATAATGCATTCTCTTCCTATCTACCGCTATTTAATCTGCTGAGAATTGAACCGAAATTGTTTATAAACATTATATAGAAAAGCCCCCACCCCACGTATTAAACAAGCAATTTTATCTTGACCATGCCATCAAATTCTCGACAAGGGCAAATGTAATGGATTTGTTTACATCATTTTGAAATCAGAAGTCATGAATCCATTGATCACGTGACACGACGAAGTGACCATTCATTAAGTACAGTCAAACAGTACTTTTGTTGTTATTGGCAACCTTTAAACATTACCGAAAATCTTCAAATACATGTGTAATAGTATCTGAATGTGATGTCACAAATGTTTTACGGAACTAGGGTATACTTTTACACCATTGATGACTTTTGTGACAAACCGGAACCACCCACATAGTTGTCCAACAAAGAATTAAACACTTGAGTTCGTCATGACTTCCGTCTGGCTTTATCCTGGTTTTCTCTGTCCTCTCTCTGTGGGGCTAACTCTTCCCGTGACAAGTCAGTTCGTCATGACTTCCGTCTGGCTTTATCCTGGTTTTCTCTGTCCTCGCTCTGTGGGGCTAACTCTCCCCGTGACAAGTCAGTTCGTCATGACTTCCGTCTGGCTTTATCCTGGTTTTCTCTGTCCTCGCTCTGTGGGGCTAACTCTCCCCGTGACAAGTCAGTTCGTCATGACTTCCTTTGGCTTTATTCCTGGTTTTCCTGTCCTCTCTCTGTGGGGCTTTCATACTTCTCCTCGTGACTTCAGTCAGTTCGTCATGACTTCCGTCTGGCTTTATCTGGTTTTCTCTGTCCTCGCTCTGTGGGGCTCAACTCTCCCCGTGACAAGTCAGTATATATTTCGTCATGACTTCCGTCTGGCTTTATCCTCTTTTCTATCTATGTTTAACTATACCTTGTGGGTTGTAACCTTGTTAAGGTGACTAGTCACTTCTATATCTTAGCTGTCCTTTACTACAGTATTCCTGACTGTTTATTCCTGACCATTTCTCTTCGATGGCATTTCATACTTCATTCTCGTCTCTTCATCCTTCTCTGCTTCGTTCTGGATATCTGATTGTTACAGTCCTAAAGAATATACTGATTATTGCTCTCTCTCTCTCTCTCTCTCTCTCTCTTACCCACTTGAGATACATGTATATATTTCAAAAGATATTGAAAGATATTCCAAACATAGAATGTACGTATTTAAACAAGCTTCTTTTTATATCTATGTTTAACTATACTGTTAAAAGTTGTAACCTTATTAAGGTGAGAACAATTTTTAAAGCTGTAATAGCGTATAGATGTTCAGCTATTGTATGTATAGTGTAATATATGTATTTGTATAATAAAGTATCTTCACATTATGCTTAGTGTTTCTTTTTATTTAGTTAGTTATTAGAATAAATGTTCTTAGATTTAGAATAATGTTTTGCAATGTTCGACTGTTAATGCTGACATTTTTATAACCAGAATATACATGTATATAATGAAATATAAAGAAAAGACATGCATTTTCAGAATCTTTGTTGGTCAACTGAAAGTACCTTGTATCGCTATCCATAAGGGACTGTACATGTGAATACAAACTTGTGGGGGATTTTTTAAGTTATTTATCTCAATAAAATAATATACATATTTTATATTTACATACGAGTATCCCTAGCTATATCACAATTCCGTTGGGGTTATTTGTAGGTTGACGCTTAGTTCGTGTAAAGTAAAATTTATATCCTAATCAATTTGATTTATTTAAAGCAAGATATATCTCTGAATAATTAGGATTTTTTTTTTAATTTGACTCTTCATAAGTCCACTTGCACTGTAAATATTTAAGTTGCTTGTTTTGGTTCACGATACGGGGTCATGTGAGTGGATCTGAGATTATTAGAATTTACAAATATACGAACAAACGTCTCCTTGCTTTTCCTCCGAACGTCCAATGAATTATCTCTAACAGGATTAATTAATCCTCTTGTTTACAACACTACTATATAGTTGTTCAACAACACTGTCTTTAAATGTTTAGCAATCGAACAAACAGTGAACTTATTACTTAGTTATCCGTATTTGGCGAACCTTTTTTTTCGGCTTTATGGGAACTTTCTAAAAATCATTCGAGAAAATCAAAGAAAAAAATATTATCAGTCTTTTATGTGAATGTTATAAAAATTAAAGATTGTAAGTCTAAACTGGGTGATCAAGAATATCAGAAACAAAAATCGTGAAAAAAAAGTTTCAAATTGACACACTCAATTTATTCCCTTCTTTATTTTTCAGCGTCTCGAATGAAGCAGGCGCGGATCTAGAAATTTTTCAATGGGGGTTGGGGGGGGGGGGGGGGGGGTTAAGGGGAAAAGAGTTATTATAACATACATTTAGTTAAATAACTCAATAGGATACCGGGTGGAGTATGGTTTTTTTTAAGTGGGAGGTTGATCATCCTAGTAAAAAGTACTTGAATGGATTATCTGAAAAGTTTTTGAAAAAGAAAGGAAAATATATCTCCGAACCCGAAAATCCTATTCTGTAAAGGGGGTAGGGTTTCATTTTGTATTCACATCCGAATTTTTTTTAAATATTACAACTTTAGCCTTTCACTGAACATTTTTCTATAGTAAAAACACAAACAAAAAATTTGGGACTTTCTTCTTTTTTTTTTTTGCAAATCCTCGTAACCCCCCCCCCCCCTCTGAATCCGCCACTGTGAAGTACCTACCTATGTTAGAAAAACAATTTCTCTGTACCGCGATCCCCAGGTACAATTGTTTAAGGTACATGTACGTTGTTTTTTTATCACAACGTGCTTAATATGCGTCATTACATGTATAAGGGATCATGATTTTTAGATTATAAGAGATTAATTCATTTTCATACACGCTCGAACAGTGAATTAATCTGTGTTTAATTTGAAAATCTCAACATATATCACAAACAAAGTTCTGGTCAGAAATAGCTTTAGGATTAAATATTGATGTGTCGGTGTATTGGTGTATGCGCAGTTTCCTTCACCAATGGATAAATATTTAAATTGATCGATATCGTTGCATTATTGAGTGGAGAGATTCCCGTTCTAACGATCGAGACAGAGCTGTTATCGGTCAGTTCTTGTAATCACCTGGTAATTGACCCCCTTTGTAAAGAGTTTTATTCACTGATTTAAACTGTTTTTGTCAACCTTGACTGACGGTCGTTTGAAGGAAAAGGCCATTTTCAGGAAAGTAAAAACTCAAAATAAAGGAAAATATCAAAGATATACGGATTTTTCAACACTATCTAGAGGTCAGTTGAGCTTCAGTATACTGTAGTATTGCCAATTATGAATTTCGTTTAAAATTAACTATTTTAATGGGTTTTTTTGTGGTGACGAGTGGCACTGAATACATTCATATAACGACGTGATCTTGGTTGTACTACAGATCGAATTTTATGAGTAATTTATATATAACATTTTACTGCTATGTTTCTTAGTAATGACCTTTGACGTATATAATTATTCAAGTACAGGTATCCAAGATGGCGTTATCTTGCGGAGGAAAATGTATGAAGTTGTTCCTGATTGTTGTCAACACGATCTTTATGGTACTGTATGTTTACTTTGTTGATACAACATTTCAATGGGATTAAGTTTGAACAGGATTGTGTACGATAAATATAAATAAAATATACCTTTAATACATGAACATTAATATATGTATAATTAGGACACAAGAGTCGTTTGATTGCTATTTTCAAATATCTTCATATGAAATCCACAAAGAAAGAAGTAAAATTCAAATTCATTGACAGACGTCAGTTAATTACACGGATGATCATGTTTATATTTGATATCCTCTAAACCTCTTTATCGGTTATGATCCCAATTCTTCATTCTCTATTGAATAGAAAAAAAACAGCATTTTGAAGTTGTCGCTTCATATAAGTAGGGTATTTTACTAACAAGACTAGTACAAGCACCTTTATTGCCATAACCCTCACAAAATAATAAATCACGTGATACTTTTATAGTTGCTCGGACTCGGCATCCTAATACCAGGAATTCTTATGTTGGTTGATGTTGACGTCATCAATGATAACATACTCCCCTTGCTGAAGCAGTTGTCATTCGGTGCGCTAAATGTGGGTGACCTTGCCAAGGGTCTGTCCTTGACCCTGATAATCTTTGGTTCATTCGTCCTCATCGTGTCGATGCTGGGTTGCTGTGGTGCAATGTGTCAACAAAGACTGTGCCTCGTCGTTGTGAGTAGTTTTCATTGCGTTCATATTACAACTTCTGGCTACCTATGTGCTGAGAGTAGTTTTTTTTTCCTTCAAGTGTTTAGTACATCATTACAAAAGTAGAAGGACATTGTTTTTTTTAGTATGCCGCTCTCGTTTTGGTGTTCTTCCTGGCTAAGCTGGTGGTTGTCATATTGTGGTTTGTCATGAACGATAAGGTAAATTTCGCTCTTACATATAAAACATATACAAAGAATAGTCTAAGATGCAGTTTTTAAAGTGTTCAAAAATATTTTTCTCTTGTATTCAGATCCAGAGTTGGATGAAAACAGAACTGCTTAGCCAACTCGAGACGAACTATAAATATAACGATCTGACTTCAGAGGAAATCTCTACGGCATGGAACTATATGTTTATGACTGTAAGTGTCCTCTCTATCATCTCCCTTTGAATTATCTCTTCCTTAGTACATGTTGTGAACAAAATATACATATCACTACAGCTCTCCTGTTGTGGCGTCAATGCAGTAACCGGAACGACAAATGACTTTGACAACTCGGTATGGATTGGAAGTGCCGGAAGTAAGGAAATTCCAACATTCTGTTGTTCAGGGGTCACCGCCTCAAATTACGCCACCTACTCCAACAGTGCGTGCACGGACACTGTCGCATCAGGTTATTACACCAAGGTAATACAAAATTAAATAAAATAACCTAAGTTAAACCATTGAGCAATACATGTACTAGCATATGAATTCCACCATGAGCGAACATTTAACAGAAATTACTTCCTTTCGGGCAAGCTTTGGAGTTTGGTTCTTGATCAAAGAAATATACAACTCACAACCAAAGGATAAACGTTTTGTTATACACCTTTAAGATATCATTTTCCTTGGAGGGACTTGTCTGAAAAGCATAAGCATGCCGTAAAACTTTGTACATTATCAGCTAATACAGACACCATCTATGATGTACATGTATAGGGCAAAAGAAATGAGACAAAACAGACTGGTGTGTATTTATTTGGTTCGATATTTTCAGGGTTGTTATGACGCCACCTATAGTTTACTGGACACATACAGTACGGTATTCATGGCAACTGGAATCTGTATTTTACTGGTAGAGGTAAGCATGGGCATTTCGGAGACAAAAAACCCATCAGCTTTCATTTCTTAAAGATACACCTAATATATCTAATCGACAAAACAGTCAGAAGGCTGAGATTAGCAGAAAATAAAAACAATGTTTGAAAACTTGGATCATAAGAAAGAAACAAATGTTTATACATGCGTTCTTTATCACTTACTTTATATGCTAAAGACGTAATTATAAATAAAAGTAGGTATACAGGTATATGTAGAACTTTATGATCTCAATCTGAAGAGCAAGTTTTATGTATGTGACTTGTAGTTGTTGTCGATTTTGGCGGGAATTATTCTGATCTACAAAGTAGGTCAGTCACGTGCTGAAGAACAAAAGGAGCAGACCAAATAGGTATTATGTGGTCATGGTCATTGTCTGCACGTTGGATGAGGAAAACTTTTTAACCTCTTTGACAAACTACGGGGGAAAAACTTCGAATGCATTCTTCAGATATACATGAGATGTATTTATAATTAAAAGTATTGCATGTATACGTACGAGGTGTAATAAAATATTTCGCGAGCGAATTGTATTTTTAATACTTCCATTTTATATCTAAACTAAAGTAGTCATCTTCGATTTTAATGCACCGTTCTGCCCATCCACGAATCATGTGACCCCGGCGCGAGTCATATTTCTTATAATAAGAAAAGTCATTAAATTTTCTACTTACATACATTGCTAAAGCTGAATCAGTCATAATATTTTTTTTTTTCGAATTCAAACTTCTTCACATTCTTTCAAACAGAACACATACTATAAAATGTTACTTAATTCAAATGTAGCTTGTTGAAAGAATTATGAATTGCAAACCTAATCCATAATACTGTCATTTCAAACCCAACATATATACATGTAAATAGAGTCAGCGAGATTTTCTAACACTGACTGATCAACTAGAGTCAAGTCTGCAAGATTTAACAAAGTTGGAGAGTTCAACAATGGACAAATCTTTTCTTGCATAAATTTTTGAAGAAGTTAGCAGTCACTTGATAGTCAACTGATCATTTTAGGTAAAAATGGTTGACATTTTACAGAAGAGCATTCTTTTCCTAGAAGTCAATTGTTTCCAAGTTCTCAGTTGACGACTGAATGACTGCTAGTTGACGACAATTGAGGCTCAACTAGACATTTCGTTTGGGTTTTTGTTCTTCAAATGAAAAAAAATTCCGAGGTTTTCCCGGTTGTCAAAGAGGATTGAAAAGTTGCAAAGGGACTAAAGCATGTACAATGCATAGTGATTTTTATTATTTAAAAAAAAAGCAAATTATTTTACTTTGCCTTCTCATTCATTTTCCTGTCCCAATGTCACTTTTGTAAACTAGATTCATCTTTAATAAATTAGAATTTACATTGTGTATTATCTTTTAGCTGAAATTGTCCAGACACACAATTCCAAGTGCATTAGGGAATAGTTTGCTCATTGTCACTCGTAGACTTAAGTATTTTATATTTATGTTCTGGTTTTACAGTTATTATATAAAGAGCACTATCTACAGATATGGTCAGCGATCTAATCACAAGACATCGTATTAATAAAATTGGTTGTTGGCACTCTTCAGTTTCTATTATAATGCGTGCCTATCACAAAAAATATTACAACTTTATAATTTATCCAAGAGAAGTGTTGTACAGATTTTATCCATATTAAATTTCAATTATTCATATTCAATATATTTTATTGGATAATACGTCATAGGTGATGGCATCAAAAACTGCACTGAATAATTCCATAAACATAATTTTTAGAACCGACAGTTCTAGGCGCTTCTAAATACCGATTAAAACGTTGATAAACAAATTTCAGAAAATAGTGGATTTATCAATTTTTACACCAAGTATTTCTTGAACTTAAATTAACGCATTCAAATTACTCTTTGTCTTCCAGCTTGTTGCATTTATTGGGTCCATTGTAATTATAAAGCAAGGAGGCGAGGACGGAAAGAGTTTATCCGGAGCCGCCAAAATGGTGTAGCGGGAAAATAACATCGAACGGACCCCGTGACAAAACAACTAGTCTTGTTCTTGATTCCGTCCAATATTTATTATATACTTTATACATTGTTGTTTTGAATGGTGTTTCTTGTTAAATTACTTATTTGAAAATCTTTTGTCCACTTCTTGACATAATTTGATCCTGGTGCTGAAATGTTCACTATTCAACCCTCACTACTATTATATTTGTACCTCTCTTCGGCTATAATGCTTATAATGTGGCATAGTATTAAATGTTTATGTTGTTTAAACTTTGTGACATTTTATATTTTCACAGTTACACCAATAAGTGTAGTACTAGTATAAGATCGTTCCTGAAATGAACGCTTTTGAAAAATAAAATAGTATAACCAGTCTGTTTTATATTTAAATGAACACAAAAGCTTAATTTCTTTATAGGTAACATTGACTTGCTTTTTAAAAAAACGTATGTTAACTGTTGTTAAAAATGTATATATTGTTAATATGTTGACAGAAATAAATGACTGTATATATCACACATTTCATGAATGTTAATCACTTTATTAACCTTGTAGAAGCGACGCTGTCTCAAGTTTGTATTAAGAACCCTTCATGCACACCCATAAGGTCTGATTTCCTTGTATTCTAGGTAGTAGTGAATAATCTGCTCTTTAATCTATAACTGGGAATGACATTTCTATAGTGTAGTCAAATAAAGGGGGAATTAGTGGAGCTATAATTAAATACTCATTAAAATAGATTTTTCTCCCTCTTGTCCGTCGCCCGCGTTGCACAGTGGTTCGTGCTTCTGCTCAAAAGTCTTAAAGTAAGGAGTTCAAAATTGTCCAACTGTTGGACGCGGAGGCCTGTCCTTCAGATGAAACCGTATAAACCGAGGTCCCGTGTCATAGTATAGGTGCTGGCACGAAAAAAGCCCCATCACTGCTAAATGGCCGTAAGTGTCGATTAAAGGACAAAATTTACGGCTCTCCTCCGGCAAAACGTGGCGTCTCCATATCAGAGAAAAATTCTCTACAGGGACGTTAAACAACATACAATCAATCAATCAACCATCTTGTCATTTATTTCCTTTCAAACCAGAAAGGACTGCAAGTAAGCTTATACACTTACATGTAGTTATACACTAAGTGAGATATATCAACCAAGATCAAAAAAGTTTTACCCAGTAATTCTAGATTTTACTATTTATTGCGTTTAAAAGGTGGAAAGAGAAGAGGTCCAGTCTTACAATAGACCGAAGGCGGGTTAATAATTTGTGCACTTGGATGGGTTTTTGTAAATTTGTTGTGTCGATTTAAGTTTTACAGTGGTATGACGCAATCGCAATGCCAGTATCACCGTATACAAAACCATCAAGGACAGATAATTTGTCAAACATGTAGGTGCATGTCTTTCGGTGTCATCTGTTTCTTCTTCTTAAGCCTTCTTTCCAGACAGGTCTGCTTGAGTCAATCATGTATTTTGTCACTGGCACTGCTTCATCTTCAACATTCTTGCTTGCTTGATAGGTAAGTAGTCCACCATATTTATATATTCAAAAACGTGGCAAAGTGGTTAGAGCGTCTGCTCGAAGTAAGGAGTTGATCCTTACGTCGCTGGTTCGACTGTGGGACGTGGAGGCCGGTCCTTCAGAAAAGACCGTATAAACAGGGGTCCCGTGTCGCAGTAGGTGCTGGCACAAAAAAGATCCCTCACCGCTTAATAACCCGAGTACCCAGTATATAGAAAGTGGTGGCAAGATTTGTAAAATAATATACTCTCCACTGGCAAGCTATATTTTAATTCTTTTGGTAAGCGAACTATTTAATGTGTAGAGTGTTCGATATGTTTTCTTGTAAGCATGATATGCGCTTTATTATGTGAAAAATGTCTTGGGTATTAAAACAGCTGTTTGCGTATTCTATTCATTCGAGTTCAGCTAAGAAGTACAATGTAAAATAATATACTGGTTATTTTGATAACTTTTTATCGGTAATAACGAAGTCATAAGCTGTGATTTACGCCATATTTTCAGAATGATAATAATTTCAGAATTGTACATTATAAGTAAAATTAAAGAATATATTCATTAAATCTTAAATATAAAATAAGATTTCAATTCGTCTGCTTCTGTTTACAAAACTTTAAATTGTACATTATATAAAGGAAAAAACAGTGAAATATTTTGTATTCAGCTGTGTATACAACTTATAACTAATAAATGTTTTGTTTTTTTCTGAATTTAGTCTCTTTTCAATTATGGTTCAGAAAAGAAATGTTTTATTTGCGGATGAACAGAGTGAAGGAGAAAATAATCGTAATTAGTTGTATCTAAAGGCCGGTATACACGGTAAGATTTATATTATAAGATTTGTATTATAATACAAAATCTTCTGTGTATACACTCTTATTACAGTGTATCATAAGATTTTTCGAATCTTATAAAGCTGTATTAAGAATAGAGCAATGCTCTATTTCCTAATACAAGTCTTAACTTACCTATCACTTTCAACCAATGAAATGTAATGAAACTAGAGGTCATCCTATTTTATCATTGCTAAAAAAAAAAACACATGTTAAATAAAAATGGTCGTCTTCACAAGTAAAGTTTTGCTTTTTGTATCAATGCATAGTACGATGATAAACACTGCTATCAGAGCCTCATCCTCCATTTTTATTACTTTGACAGAGAGAGAAATATGGCGTTGGAAAACACGTAGTTTATTTATAATTTTTTAAGATATGCATCAGCGTAAGTGTAAGTACAGGAAAGCATTATAATACAAAAGTATTATAATACTTGCAAAATTTTGTGTTCAAATTATAAACCAAACAATTACGTGTACTCTGAAAATTTTGTAACCTAAATACAGGTATGAATTCCTGGAACCTTGCCGGAAAAAAACATGCGTTGTAAACTTCTTTGAAGTGAGGCAAGTGGTTTCTTTTGAACATTTTCAAGGTATTAGCTTTCAATGATCATCTTGCTTTGTATAGTGTGTGTACTGAATCGTTTCATTTCAAATACAACAGCCAAATCTTAATTTCAGTCGTGGTGTAATGTCATCCTATACGACTCAGTGCTGTGCTGGCATTAATCCACCAACTGTTTCGACTGTTTTTTGTTCATTTTTATGTACTGAATGTACATTTGAATTAATTTCACTTTCCAATGTATTGATTATCATCAGTTACTTTTTTCCGGATAAAACAGAGGCAGAACGTTTAACAAGTAATTTTGTCCCACCAAGTGTATCATAATGAATGAGAATGAGGTTGAAGGAAAGACATTGTATTAAATAGGAGTTGAGGCTTATACATGTAAATGTTTTAAGGAGAGCAACTAAAAGAAGACAAGTAGGACAGACGAAGTTGATTCTCTTCCCTACCTCCTTCCGTGTAAGGATAAGGATATTATCAGAACACGAAGTAAGTTTACTTTCAAGATATATTGGTAAATCTCAGGTGCTGAACAAATTCCAAATAGTTGGCAGTGCCAACAAAAACGTCCAGATAGAGTTTTATATTCTCTGGGTGAAGGGTTGCAGATTTATATTTAATAATTAGATCCACTGAGCATCCGAAGAACCGGTTTCAACCTCCTTCAGTGAATTTAATTTCGCGAAGAAAAGATCAACTCCTAACCCCCCGTTCACAAGACACCACTTTTAACTATGATCAAAGTGTGGCCGAAAACGTGGCCGATCGTGCAGGAAAAAAGTAGTGGCTTCTTCAGAAGCGTAGTATGATCGCAGTGGGTTCTTCATGATCGGAGAGCTCTACGATCTCGCCATGCTTATTTTGAACATGCTCCACACAAGCGTAGCAGTATCTTGGCCAAGAAAAATCAGAGTTAAAGACATACGGCAAGCTACCTTACCTATTGATAATTTTTCAAGATATTCTTAATTTAAGATTATAGTGCCATCAGATGTTCATAGACAAAATATCAGCATGCATTCAAGGGATTTTGTAAGATATCAAATTATGAAAATTTTTGCATTATTGAAAAAAAAATATACAAAAACTACGAAACCTAAATTCATGATCTTTTTTTGCATCAAAAATTGTTTAAGAAAAGGCCTATAAAACCATATAAACACATTAAAAGTATTCATACATCGGAAGCATCGTGAAGAGATCTTTGTGACCGGCAGTAAAAGTGCAGTGAAAGCGTAGTACAGTATAGTCGGCAACTTATCAAGTACGCTCCTACATAGCTCTCATTACGTTCTCACTAATTTCCCACTGCAATCTCTCTACGTTCCTGATGACGATCCTAAGAAGACCTACAATGACCTTGCGCCGATCATACCAAGACGTATCAGGCATCAGCGCTAAAAATTCACCAAGCATCACCTGTCAATTACATGTTAAGGGTGATGTAATATGTAATGTTCATTTTGAGACTTCGAACTTGTCACAGTTACAATTTAAATGCCCCGAAATCCTCAAAAAATTTGCAGTTGCAAGCTTTGAGACCTTGAAAATTCTGCAGAAGAAAATCCTGAAGCCGGGAAAGAGCATGACTAACCTTCGACCGTTGAAGCTGGAGCCCTTCACGGCTCAATTCAAAGTAGAAAAAAGTGGTAATGTTCTCCGTACTTTGGTATCCACTTCCACTGGTGTATCTTCAACATCAACGTATTCAAGAGCCTCCCAATCGCAAAACCGGTCCTCCGATGATGAAATCTGGCAGACCTGGCAAGTAGCCAGGAACAGCTTATTAACTTGGAGCGAGAGTTGCTGGGTCGCATCAAGAATACACCTGAACCGAATAAGCATGATGCCTTTATGGAGTGGGTTAAGCAAGCCGTGGTAGGCATTAAAAAGACTATTTGGAGCCGCTTCCACACTGATGTACAACAACTGGTCAGCCGCTATATTGACATGCAGGAGAAGCAGCAACAACAGATATTTAGACGTGACTTTTCCTCAAACAAGGAGAGTGATCTCTTTTATCATACAATGGCATCCTAATCCCTCACAATGGCCATCCCAAGTCTTCAATACAACGTCTATGTGGGGATCTCAGAAACTTGAATGGGTGCAGCAGCAGCAGTTCAGCAGCAAGACAAGCAAGCGTCAGTAGACAAGATCCAGAGGGATCAATTTGGTGTTTGGAGGCCTAAGAAAAGGATGACAGACAACATGAAACCCTTTTTATTGCTTCATGTGGCCGCTTCAGATTTTCTCTTTACTGATGAAGTCATGACAACTTTCTTTTTCAACAAAATCTTCATACAATTTTATTTGCACAAAGTTGTATTCCGAGAGACAGTGTTCCAAAAATTACAAATTACATGCAAGTTGCTGGCGGGATCACTTTGTTACAAAATATCGATGACTTTAAAGTGCTTTATAGAGTGACCAGGCAGAGATCATTCAGGAGGTAATTGCTGCTGATTTAATGCATTGCTATGTTGGTGGAGTAACGCTAGTTGCTCCAGATCGTCAATTTTTGTGTTCCTCAATTACGTAACAAATCAACATTCTATGCGCAATTGTGGACATTGTATGGGATGTTCATTTCTACAGTATGGTATAATTCCATCCATTACTGATGCCCTTCTAAACCTACAGAAACGTGTAAGTATGACATGCAAAGTACACAGCGCAATCTGTTTTCGGGAAGGGATGTAATAACTACACAACTTTAACATGTTTATTCATTTTGTAGATTATATGTTTGCCCTCGGTAGTTACACAGCAACAGATTTCTGAAGCAGTGACGAATTCTGGAGGAATCCCTTAGTGGTTGGGTTTATCGATGGCACCCGCATACGCTTTACTCATGTCCATAATCGGGACAATGATTACTACAACCGCAAAGGTCATTCTTTCATGTAACTTCAGGTTGCACTGTTTACATGCATATACATTTTCTATATCCACACATCACATGTGCCTGACTTTTCTAAATTACATGTGCTGGAAATCGTGTACTTTCTGAAAGTATAGATTATGAGATATACTTCGTAATATTAAAACTTTCATATCCCTGTGTCAAATAATTTAAAAGGAGTTGATTCCTGGTGAGTCCCACTTGTATCTGATTGTAACTTTTTGAAAAAAGTGCTTTGATATTAGGAAAGAAAACCTTCAACAAAACTGATATGCTTTCTTTGATATTTTATTTTATGTATGTTAATTGTTGTATTCATGACTATATGCCAATGTATGATGGTGTTGTCAATAAAAAAAAGATAGTGAATGATTGTGCAGCAATTAGAATATTGCCATTTCCATATTAACATATTTATGTGTTATATACTTTTAGGTGGTAGTACACAACCTCCTCATTACTAGTGCATATATTGGATGACCGGGATGCACACATGACGTCGACCAGAGTCCTTCGAAATTATATCGAAAAGCAAAAGCTGGTAAATTTCTTTTGGAAAACCACCACATTTCAGCAGATAATGCCTATCCATTGAAAAACTGGCTCATATACCCTATAAAAAGTTATTGGAATTTATCACCACAAACAATTCGGTTTAACGAAAACTATCTAGTGCTTGGCAAACTGTTGAGTGAGCCTTTGGAATAGTGAAAAGCAGGTTCAGGATTCTGCGAGACAATCATATGCCCATTAGGAATACTGATGTGATGTGTAAAATTAAGCTAAAAAGTGTATACTCCATAACATGTGTTCAAGGATGCTGATAAACCACTATCCGTTGTACTGAGTGTATAAACAAGACATTCAAACTTGAGTAAACAATATCAGAAAATGGTTAACAATTACAACATATTGAAACACTTTCATATGTTCAAAGATGCCGGTTAATCACTATCCGTGATTGGTTCAAGAGGCGAGTTTCTTATTTTTCATCTACTCTGTTCCATCAACTAGAGGAATTTATCAAATCTATCTAGTTTTTTCTCGTGTACTTTCGTTGTTTTTGTAAGAAATTCTTCATGATGTTTTTGAATAAGAGTGTATACATCATACTTCCTTTTCCTGCATTTTGTGTTGAATTTTGTGTTGGACACCGAGGAAGAGCCTATTTTAGGATCAGAATTTTTTCACCTTCCTTTGAAGTTGAGCTTGAATTACTGAGTAGGCTCATCATCTGTGTCCAATACAAATTTTGGTCTTGTGCTTGCATTTGTACAATCTTTGTATAGGACTTTCTTCGCAGCTGAACCTGATGGTGCATCACTAACTTTCCACTTTTTCTTCAGAGAGTTATACTTATACATCGCTTGATTTCCAGTGATCTTTGTGTTGAAAACTTGAAGTAGTTTCTGGGCAATGTCTTGAAGACATTGCCTTCTCACAACGAATTATTATTTCTTGTCTTAAATAATTCAGTAGATTTGCTATACCTTTCATCTGTCAGAAGCCGTTCCTCATTTTCAGTCCACGATGATATAGGAATTCCTGAACTTGACTTTTGGTAATGGTTGATATAGGTGTCCTTAGTTTGGCAGTGTATGTATTTGGTTTACTGGTTGATGGTGATTCATGCAAAGGAGAACGAGTGCTTCTAATTGATGATTGATAGTTGTTCTCTGATAATTGGCCATCCAAGATGTGGTTTATCAGTCTGGAGCTGTTTTAGTGGCATTATCTAAATCAAAAGAAAAAAAAAACATTAAATAAACCTTCAAATATTTGGTCACAATAAGTCTAAGGTTCATTCCATCTTTTGTTTTGCTGTTTAATGCAAATGGAAATGACAAACTTATTGGCCACATCGCTCACCTAAGAAGAAAGGAGAGTTTTATTAATGTGAACACACGCAGAATGAAGTTGCTGGTATATCAGTTAAAAAAAATGTATTCTTGTTTATAATAAAAACATGGATTTTAACACATTTTTCCTGTATATAATTCAACGCTACACTTTAGGAGTGCTTGATGGTTGTGGTCATTTTCTGACTACATTGATCTCCTTTAGAAGAAGAGCTCAATATAAAGATATTCAAAAATGATCAAAATTTAAAACTAAAATGTAATGACATTTTTCTTTGTCAAATGATAGTTGACATCTAGTAAGGTGAAGGATATGGAGATAACGAACAGTATTCGATCTCAAAGTCCATAAAACAATACAAAATAGGAGCAGAGCAAACAGGACCTCCGAAACATCAGAGGTGGGATCAGGTGCCATGGAGGAGTGAGCATCCCCTGCTGACCGGTCACACCCGCCGTGTGCTCCTTGCCATGATCAGGAAATAACGGAAAAATCCGTCGTCACTCAGTGTATAAATAATGGACTAACAATTAGTATGAAAACGTCTGTCAGCATTTAACTCAATGATAAATTGTATTTGCTGACAAGGTCACTGTATCGACCATAGAACTTGCGAAATGATGACTTTAAAGGAGACTGCTGATATTCTTGTTTCATCAACTTGCTTGTCAATAATTTACCTCATTTTAGAAATTGTTCATACGTAGAGTATGCTCTTGCGTATCGAATCAACTGAGATACCGGTATATATACTCCGAATGCAGGTGATGAAGGTATATTGCTTCATAGGTAAGTGAAGCTGACGATGGAAAAGTTAAAGTCACCATGTTCATCATATAGTTTGGTTGTTAGATTACCATTAACGTCTTTCTCAAGTAAAATATCCAAGTAAGAAACAGATGTGTCAGACTCTGTGGTATCTTTTATCTCAAGCTCACCAAGATATGTCGTATCGACGTAGAAATGGAAATTACCATTGTTAATTGACAATAAGTCGTCGATATATCTAAATGTCGCGTTGAAGGCCACAGTAAGTGTTTTCTTCTTTTCTTTTTTTCTTCTTTAATGCATAAGATTTTCTGTAATATTCCTACATTCCATCATTTATTTTCAAACATTTCAAACATTAATATATATTCACTTTAAAATGTAAAACATTACAAACCTCATTTCATTCACTGACAACTTAAAATAGAAACCCCATAAAACACTTCTCAAAAATAACAAAGTTCTTTTTGTACATGTAACACTAAAGGCATACAAGGAGGCCATGATAGGGTGCCAAAGCAGACATTTTATCAATTCTGATGGAAATTTGAGGTACTCTTTACATCACGAAACAAACACACGTTATGATGAACTTCTGTCCCACAAATTCCTGTTTTAGACGAAAATGAAGTGATGTTTTGTCTGACTATTTACTTTAAATTATTGATTCTTATTTAAGTATGCAATAAACTTGCCTTTTCATTAAATGCATGCAATTCCACAAGGATATAAATAATATTGTAAAAGACATCTCAATTAATGACAGATGTGGTTCAGTCGTAAAACTTCAATAATGACGCTTTCAGGTCTATCCATAAAAAATCAAATAAAGAACATCTTTACTTTTCGCTAGGGCTTTGTGTTCTATATGCTTCATTCATACTTCAATACCCCCTCCCCCCCTCCCCCTCAATCGTTAACGCTAAAAGTTGGACGATTTTAATAGGATAAAATTTGCATGTATTTAAGGTATTAAAAAATTGTTGATGTATCAAAAGCTCTGGCACAAATTTAAATCTTTTATCTGAGAGCAACTTGAAAAGAAATGAAAATTATTATTTATCGAACGCCATTTGTGTGTAGAGATGCAATGAAGCATGAACATTTTAAACAAACAAATCGAACAATTTTGAACGATCTTTAGACGTCGATGTATTTGGAAATAACCATTTACGCAGTGTGTAAAAATATTTCCATGTCATAAATTCTCGTTTAAGTGAGGAATATACTAGAGAGAAGAGATTATCAAGGGTAAGTGGGAGAATCGAGTACCTTATATATTTTAAAACTTCAGGTTAATGAATTACAAGTCATGAAAATCATACATTTTGTATTATTGATCATAAATTTATTATTTTATTTTATTGAAAATATTTCGTTATGTTTCATACCGAGCATTTTGACAATAGCCAATACAGGTGTATTAATTTGTTTCATTTTGATAATAGCCAATACAGGTGTATTAATTTGTTTCATTCCTGACAATAAATACTTCAATACTTGTATTAATTTGTTTCATTTTGAACAATACAGGTGTATTAATTTGTTTCATGTTTGACATTATACAGGTGTTTAATTTGTTTCATTTTGAAACATACAAAAACACACTTTGTTTCACACACAGGTGTATTAATTTGTTTCATTCCTAAATAAATACTTCCCCTTTAGTAAATTTGTTAACGTTAACATCTGTATATCAGAAATGTTTATTATTTTGTTATTGTCCTTCAATAAACATACAAAAACACACTAAAACACACGTTCAGAAATGTAAAAAAAAAAATATATTAACATATTGGTTCATCTGAACGTGTGCAAATTGTTAGGAGTGTTATATTTTTATCATAAATATTTAAAAGTAGGTCGACACAAAATGTCACTGTTACTGTGAACTTTCTAGAATCCTTGTAGATACCAAAACGCTGTAGTATTTAATTAACTGTCAAATACCTACTTATATAATTAATATTTTTGTTCATAGGAAAAACATAGCATTGTAAAATATTTCGATATACAGCGGTATATTGAACTGTGTTTTCTTTTTTCAGGTGTAATTATTCAAAATGGCGCTGTCTTGCGGAGGAAAATGTGTCAAATTTTTCTTAGTGGTCATCAACCTAATATTTATGGTACTGTATATTTGTTGTACACTCCTTATAGGTCGTGTGCTTCGAATGGTTTTTGAAAAACAAAATGTTTGAACACATATGGGGTCGTGGGGGTATTTAGATTTCAGTATGTCTTTCTAATCGTCCACACTTCATTTTAATGAAAAGGTGTACAATTCTTATTTAAATCTCAGTGTTCATTGACCTTACGATGGGCCTGAGATTTTGAAATCCTCTGTCTTACAAACTGATATAGCATAAGATCACGTTTGTTTTGGTTCGTCTAATTTAAAGTCCAAATTCGGCATAATAGATTTTCCTGTTCAGTGGTATATTGATTTATTATTTATCATTCAATCCATGGAGTTAAACTAACACTGGCATTTTTACCATTTATAACCAGTGGTATTGCTTACAGGAAGTATTAAGTATTGGACAAATTGAAATTTATATAAAAAAATATTTTAGTCTTTAATTTAGTTCTTTAACATAATAATGTCAATACTAAAAATAACCTGTGATTGCTTTAATGATGGTTGAGAATTACTTCATTCATCTTTGGTTTTATCTATCTATGCTGATTTTCAACTCCCACTTTTTAAAGTGGTAGAACGTCTGCTCTAGACTCACGGGGTAAAGAATTTATCCTTACTTCGCGGGTTCGAATACCACTTTGGGGACATGGATACCGGTCCTTCGGATGAGACTGTATAACCGAGGTCGCACGTCGCAGTAGATGCTGGTACGAAAAAGATCCCTCACTGCTCAATGGCCCCGAGTGCCGAGAATAGGACAAAACTTGCAGCTCTCCATCGGCAAGTGTTGGCGTCTCCACATGAAAGAAAAAATTCTCGAGAAGGACACCTTAACAACAAATATATTCAAAAATATTCATTAAAGTGAACGGAAAACGAATTAATAGATTTAAAGTTGCTCAGACAAAAAAAAATTATCTCCATATATCAGTGGTTCATTTCAGTAATCTAGAGACAGTATGGATGAAATCATATGTTGCATACACTTATATTTGAATTCATTCGAGTTCCAAATTAATTACAAAGGCCATAAAAAATAAGAGAGTTTTGCACAAGCAAACTATTATGTACCCTCTTATGAAAAATTAAAAATACCATAATTCCGTCAAAAATCAGCAATGCAAACTTGATCGTAACTCATCAAGATACAGTCATATACCAGAAATCAGCTTATCTGCTTGAGCGTTTAGAAAAAAAGTGCGGAAAACGAAGTGGGACAGACTGACAGAGAGAAAGACAACTAAAAAACTCGAAGGAGAACTATAGTTCCATCCGGTTTCATCAGTATGTAGGGGACTAAAAACCCAATTCCCATATCAAGACAGGGATTCTTGTAGTTCTCCATTCAATTCATTATCAAATACATGTATACATTTTGAAATACCTTTACCTTTTAATCAACTAGCCTACCATATACATGGATCTTAAGGACAGTACATCATCTTTAATTTTTAGTTGCTCGGGCTTGGAATCCTTATTCCAGGAATTTTGATGCTTGCTGATGTTGATGTCATCAATGATGAAGTATTGCCCCTGCTACAACAGCTGTCATTCGGTGCGTTAAACGTTGGGGACCTGGCCAAAAATCTGTCTGTGACCTTGATCGTTTTTGGCGCCTTTGTCCTCATTGTCTCAACACTAGGCTGTTGCGGGGCCTTCTGTCAGCAGAAGTGCTGCCTCATCATTGTGAGTTTTCCACAGGTTACCCCACAGGCACTTGTCACATTTTAATGGGGTTATATTTTTTGAATGATAAAAATATGTAACGTCAAGTGTTGTGGGTTTCTCAACTTTCATCCTCAGCTTGTATTATCTCTGTTGAGGTTCTCATTCAGATATATCTGGAAATTAATCTGACAAAACAATCAAATTCTTTATTTATGTTTTAGTATCGTTGATGAAGTTAATGTTGGTTGTCGTGATTTTCTTTGCAGTATGCCATTGTAGTGCTGGTGTTCTTCCTGGCTAAGCTGGTGGTTGTTATTTTGTGGATTGTTATGAACGACAAGGTGTTAAAATAATCAATCAGAAATGAAAATAAATGAAGTATTGAAATAATGAAGTATTAATCGTGAAAATGAATGTAATTCACATTTGTTGGTTTTATTGATGCATTCAGATCCAAAGTTGGATGAAAACGGAACTTTTAAAGCAACTTCAGACCAACTATCAAAAGGACGACTTGACAACGCATGAAATTTCAACTGCTTGGAACTATATGTTCATGTCTGTAAGTATTTCTCTCTTTCTGTGTGTGTGTGTGTGTGGGGGGGGGGGGGGGGGGGGTGGCGGTGGGTGGGGTGAGGGTAAGGGTATGGGTGAGGGTGTACGTGTGAGTGTGGTTAACAGAACACTTTTCATTTTTACTACAGCTCTCCTGTTGTGGCGTCACTGCAGTAACCGGAACAACAAATGACTTTGATAGTTCGGCGTGGATCACTGGAGGCAATAACGGAGGTAAAGAAATCCCGATATTCTGCTGTACTGGAGTCACAGCCTCCAATTACGCCTCAACGACTAACACTGCATGCACAACTACCGTCACATCAGGCTACCACACTAAAGTAAGTCTCTTTGATTTTATTTTCTTTATTAGAAAGCCCTTTTAAGAATGAGATTTTTATACATGTGCGTGAACTCTAACATTAAGATGCCTTGGTGGTCATGACCATTAAGTAAGAGATTGAATTTTAAGATATTCTTTAAATACAACCTCAAACTGCAATTTTTTTAAATTTATGTTAAATTTTATTCATATTTTCATGTATTTTTATATAGTTGAATTTCATACGAATTTTAGGGTTGTTATGATGCCACGTATGATGCCCTCAGCAGTTATAGCACGGCGTTTATTGTCGTCGGAGTTTTAACGCTGTTAGTCGAGGTAAGAATTAGATCAGGATATCTACCCTGTTAGTCGAGGTAAGAATTAGATCAGGATATTTACCCTGTTAGTAGAGGTAAGAATTAGGTCAGGATATTTAACCTGTTAGTCGAGGTAAGAATAAGATCAGGATATTTACCCTGTTAGTAGAGGTAAGAATTAGATCAGGATATCTACCCTGTTAGTCGAGGTAAGAATTAGATCAGGATATCTACCCTGTTAGTCGAGGTAAGAATTAGATCAGGATATTTACCCTGTTAGTCGAGGTAAGAATTAGATCAGGATATTTAACCTGTTAGTCGAGGTAAGAATTAGATCAGGATATTTACCCTGTTAGTAGAGGTAAGAATTAGATCAGGATATTTACCCTGTTAGTAGAGGTAAGAATTAGATCAGGATATCTACCCTGTTAGTCGAGGTAAGAATTAGATCAGGATATTTACCCTGTTAGTCGAGGTAAGAATTAGATCAGGATATTTACCCTGTTAGTCGAGGTAAGAATTAGATCAGGATATTTAACCTGTTAGTAGAGGTAAGAATTAGATCAGGATATTTACCCTGTTAGTCGAGGTAAGAATTAGATCGGTATTTTTATCCTGTCGAGATAAGAGTTAGATCGGGATCTTTATCCTATCAGGATAAGAAATAATTTAATATACCAAAGAATTAAAATCATTTTGAACTACATGTATAATAGATTCCGAAACTTCATAAGAATTCTTACAAAGATACGTAGCGGGTTCCAATAAATGTTCAATCAAGCATCTTTCTTTACTTCTCACTAAGATATTAACAGTGGTGAAGAAGAAACTTCCAAGAGCACTGTGCAACAATATATACACTGACGAAGTGTTGTAAATCAGATGTGGATACTCAAAAATTCCAAGGAACTTTTGGATAATTTGAAATCACAAGATTTTACCAAAATCAACAGCTTAAAAACTTACGACTTTTCAACTTTATACACAATCATTCCCCACGATAAATTAAAGTCAAGGCTTTTTGATATCATTAACAGCTGTTTTTCAATAAAAATGGAACTCGTAAGTTTACTTATTTTATTAAAACACATTCTGATTGCACACACAAGTACTCTGAAGTTGACCTCAAAAAGATGCTTGAGTTTTTGATTGACAATATCCATGTGGTTTTTGGAGACCAGGTCTTCCAACAAATCTATTGGAATTCCCATGGGTACCAATTGCACTTGTAATTAACAGACCTATTTTTGTATTCATTTGAAGCAAAATTTGTGCAAAATCTTATGCATGAAAAGAAGAAAAAAACTTGCTGTATCCTTCAACTCGATATTTAGATATATCGACGACGTATTGTCAATTAACAATCATGGTAATTTCCATTCCTACATCGATACGATATATCCTGGAGAGCTTGAGATAAAAGATACCACTGAGTCTGACTCATCTGTTTCATACTTGGATATTTTACTTGAAAAAGACACTAATGGTAATCTAACAACCAAGCTTTATGATAAACGTGATGGCTTTAACTTTTCTATCGTCAACTTCCCTTACTTATGCAGCAATATTTAACCTTCATCACCTGCATACGGAGTGTATATATCTCAGTTGATTCGATACACAAGAGCATGCTCTACATATGAACAAATTCTAAAACGAGGTAAATTATTGACAAGCATGCAAGTTGAAGAATATCAGCAGTCTCGTTTAAAGTCATCATTTCGTAAGTTCTATGGTCGATACAATGACCATGTGAAAGTCAGCAAATACAATTTATCAAGTCAAATGCTGACTGACTTTTTTAATACTAATTGTTAATTCATTACTTATACATTGAATTAACGATTTCTAAAGAGAAGAAGTGTTAAGTTCTAAGGCTGTCAATTTCTTCAACTTCAAATTACAAAAACATGGGGGAAATATGAAACGATATTGTGAACAGGATTATTATTATTCATCATAACAAAGCTTGCTATTAATTTTTTACTCTTGCACTGTGTGTAACACTTTCATTTCATGACGATATCTCAGAAAGCCGAGCTTTTGCAATGATATTTGATCACAACTCAATAGTAAGATCTGTATTGACTTTGAGGTCAAAGATGTAGGTCAGAAATTAACACTATCTGACAGTGTGTAACACTTCAGAGTCCAAACTTATGGCCTAAACAATACCCCATTTGGTACTGAGATCAAAATCAAAGGTTAAGGTAATAAACTCATACAATGCAAATAACAGTTTCCAGATTATATCTTAAGTTTTCTCCGAGATTTTATAAATAAAATGTTTTATCACAACCCCGTATGCATAGCCTAAAAAGACATAGCTACTGTTTTTGAGCTGAAAAGGTCAAAGGTCAAGTTAAGTTTATTTATCATGTTAGAGTTTAATTTGGGGTGTTCCTTATCACTAGGGTTGAAATTTTACTTTTTTGAATATTTGTTGTTGTCTTTTTGCTTTTATCATTTGTTGAGGTAGACAAAATACTGAAAATATAAATTTGATAATTTTTGTCCTGCAGATTGTTGCGTTCGTTGGGGCCATTATAATCATAAAGAACGGAGGCGAGGACGGAACGGGATTATCCGGAGCTGCCAAAATGGTGTAGCAGGAAAATGAACGACTGTGTGTGTCCGTAAATACTTTATTCCGTCCAGAAAATCAACCGTAGTGCACTTTTTGTCTCAGTAGCTTGATCCAAATTGTGATCCGTCTTTGATTTTTCTCTCTTGACAATTCTTTGAAGCTAAACATGTACTATGTATGTTTAACATTTGTTTTATACAATGTGCCATATATTTAAAGTTTAAAATCAAAATTGTACGTATTTTACAATAACAAAAAAAATCTTGAAAGTTTAAATTACACGAATGCATATATACTTGTTTTTTACGATATATAACAATTTTTTTTTTGTTCTCCGAAATTACGCAAGTAATTTTGCTATAATGACCACAACAAATTGTGAGATGTAGCATTCTTTCTCATTCAATGAGAATCTCTTGATGCAATTGTTATAAAATCTTTATTTAAACAAATTTCAGTAATGATGTGATGTAAATAATATCGTCCATGTATATTTTTCAAAAGAATATAATAAATATATCACAGATACACTGAATTTCTTAAAGAGGTTGCAACATTCTCTCCTTCAGTTGTCCCTTAAACTTTTCCGTTTTCCGTCTTGCCGATTTTTTTGCACATACAGCAGGCAAATATAACCCCTAGGACCTGAAAAAAGAAAAAAATTGTTTCTAAGATAAAACCAATAATTCATATACAATTTATAGATATCAAAGACGTCTTCATTAACCTGCATGTATATTATTTTAATTAACATTGCAGTTTTATTTCAAATCAAATCTTACCTCGACTATAAGTATTGTTACTCCAACGGCAATGTAGTAGATCGAGTATTTCATAATAAGATTATAAAAAGCGTCGTAGCAGCCCTGAAAAAGAATGGACATGTGCAAGGTTATACTGCCAATAAAGCCTTTAGAAAAAGTTACAAATAAACCGTTTTCATATGAAATTTAAATTACGAAATGTTAGGTGCCTTAAAAACTGAGTGGGAATCTTTAATCAAACTCTCAAACGATACATACGGTTTACATGTAACAGGATCGAACATACACCCAGCAATTTGATTTGATTGCCGTTTACCTTATATACAGGGACGTAGCAACGGGGGGGGGGGGGGGCAGGGGGGCCACTAAAAAGTTGGCTACTTGGATTTTCGAGTTTGGCCAAATTTCTTCTTTTTTTTTTTTTGCTTGTCAACTTTTACAGGTAAGTAAAGAAATTTTTTTTTCTATGGTTGCCCCCCCCTTTCAAAAACGATGCTACGTGCCTGTTATAACAAATAAATATGAAACAGGATCAAATAAGTTGACTTTTATTAAAATTTCAGGGTCGAATCAAAGTTAACGACTATGAGATATATGTCAGTCACTTTCATATTTTACATTTGGATGGTATAAGGGAGAGAATTTTCCATAGAATCCTTTCATTTGAATGATCAAAATCAGGAGCTTTGCTCGACATAAAATAGAAAACTGTAAAGGGTAAGTCGACTACACTCAAGGAATAATGTAAATATTGCATGACGATAATATCTTCAACCAGTCATGTGCAACGTCCTGAGAGACAGAGGTTGTTGATTTTTAATCTGACAGTTGCACCCACTCAGTCCATATGGTAAGCTATCAAATATTAATTATTTATCGGAAGAAAGATATCACCAAGACTTACAATGCTGTAGTAACCCGCACTCACGTTGTCTGTACAGGCCGTGTAGGTGGCGCCAGCAGAATTGGCGTCTATACCGGAACAGCAAAAGATGGGAATGTGTTTACTTCCGGCTCCAGCTATCCAAGGGGTGTTGTCAAAATCGTTTGTTTGTCCCGTCACTGCGTTTACTGCGCAGCACTCCAGCTAAAAATGCACGATAATTTATAAAACGGGTTTAACTTTTCTTTTAACATTGATTTTAGGTTTCAGCAACTTAGGAATAATTCTTTTTTTTAAACGTCCATACCAAACAGTTAATACATCGATATGTACAAGACATAATGTATGCTCATATATATTTGAAAACATAATTTTTAGAATAAAGAATGTTTTAATGTAAACCTCTTATTAATTTTTTTTATTATTGATGCTGCATTACCGTCATAAACAGGAAGTTGAATGCTGTGGATATCTCGTCCGTTGTTAGGTCGTCCGCCGAGTATTTATTCGTTAGCTGGGACAACAACTGAGATTTTAAGTACGACTGTACCTGTCAATAAAAATACAACATGTAATGTTATATCAAATTAAATCTGTGTAGACATCATCAGGTACGTAAATCTCGAGGTTTCGTAATATTGCACGATTCAAGCTTTAAAAAACCTTTAAACAACATTTCTAAGTCTTGAAAGCAATAATGCTAATCTAACTGTAAACAAGTTATAATTTTGATATAACAAGATTATGTCAATTGTGTTTACTCTTTAAAACATGAATGTTTCCTTAAATACCGTAATGTGCATAAATTTTGAAGTACTTACCTCTGCATTCATCAAAACCCACAGGACCACAACGATGACTTTACCAACCAGCAGACTCAACACAATGAGGGAATACTAAATATAGGAATGATGAAATAATTATTAAATTTATAAACTTAATGTCACCAAAAGCAAATAATCAGCCTTTATTTTAACTATAGAATTTTTTTTAATTAAACAAAGGACCTCACCACACAGAGACAACCCTTGGCTTTCTTGCAGGCGCCACAGATCCCCAGGGTGGCTATGACGAGGATGAGACCCCCTATGACCACCATAGTAATGGCCAGCCCGTCGGCGAGGTCCGCCGCGTTAAAGCTCCCCACTGACATGGTTTTCATCAGCGGAACCACTTTCTCATTCACGTATGTGATGTCTGCCAGCATCACAGCCCCCGGGACGATCAACAGAATGGCAAATAACTGTAACAAAATATGAATAGTGTACAGGATAATGAGGGGGTGGGAGAGATGGCAATACAAGTGTGGCGTTTGATTTCAATTTTAAAGACGGCGGTTTGTCTCCACACTCAAATTTAAAATAACTGAAAGCTCCATAATTACACATCAAGGTTTTCTTTTGCAATTCCTAAATTTCTTAATTCAATGAAATTCACAAATTACAGGTGTCATAACATTATTTCACTCGGGTTCATGTCAAATCATGGCTTACGCCATGAAAATAATCCCGGAATTTTCCCTTCCGATTCGGGCATTTTGATACGAGACTGGAGCTGAATTTTTTATGAGATGAAAAACAACATGTAAACTTCATGTATTTAAAAGATTTATTAAAATTTAGGGCGTGCTGATTTTTCTTTATACTGTCAAGAGTGGGGAGTGATTAGGCCATGGACTAGATTTTCAAGCACCTGCTTCGACCGAGACAAACTTGCGTGCCTTGCTGGATGGCTATGTATTTTTTGGTACTAAAATCTTTATAAAGAATGGTTTTACAAGGTCTGAAAAGGAAACTTCCCAGAAGTTTGTTTTAAATTAATCACATCTACTCAAACTTGCGCATTTTTTGGTAAGAATATATAGCAGAATGTAATACTGTTGTGCAACCTGCAGCGCGACAATTTGAAGGTTTAATGAAAGATTTAAAGGAAATTTTAGCAAAATTTGAGCGAACACTTTTGCAAAAAAATCAGAAATATATACGTGCATCTTTCTCTTTCGTTAACCAATGCTCATCAACAGGAACAATGAGAATGGTCTAAGAATAATTCTAGTTCGAAAAAAAAAAAACAAGTTATTCTTATTGAACATCTCTTTAAAGGGTTTTATTTCATTAAAAGTATTTTAGAAGTTCTATCATGTTCTCGTGTACTTTCCTGAGTATATTAGGGTCGAGTTTGTTTTATCTGTTCCATTGGAGCTTCCGTAAGAGTTTGTAATCACTTTGCAGTTAATTGGTCAATATTTGCTCACTTCACATTGAATCTCTAAAGAAAATTTAAATTTAACTTCTTAAAAAATCTTTTTCGCAGGTAACTGTTTTTCTTTAGCTAAATTGTCCTATAAATTTTACGCTAAATTGTCCATTCACACCTTTGGCAATTTCGCTAAAATGTCCCTCGCCCTTGATTCCACGCATTCAAAATGACATCACTTAAAAATTGTGGTCTCTTGGAATTTTATTGAGAATCGCAGCAGACTTAGATTAATTAAGGCCTAATAAGAATTTTAAAAAAAGATGTTCAAGAGAAAAGGAAATCTAGGGAAAAAACGCAATACTTACCATAAATAGTCCATTAACAATTACAAGGTAGATATATCCTAAGGAATCAAAGCATCCCATGGTTAACTGAAATAATATTATAAAATTAACGTTGTTAATTGATGATAATTATCATATTTTGTTATAATTATTCTTTGAGATTACATGTAAACAGAGAAATTGAGAATATAATACGTTTTAAGAGGAAGTATGTCTTGTCTTATCTTGAGAGTAAAAATAATTTTGACTTTAAATTTTATTATTATTTTTTTTTTATGAAAAAAAGATCAATGGTTTAAATACATGTACTTACGTCTTTGGCGTTCCTTTCAATTTAGTACTTCAGTAAAAATTGACTTACTGAAAAGTTGCTTTATTGTTCCTCGATATTCATTCCTTACCAGTAAATACCTAACACTGGACATGCCCGGCCCTGTTAGTGACGTCACGCTGAGTGGACAACAGGACAAAGGACCGTGTCTAATTACGCGGGGGTCTAACTGCGTGGCAGAACGTAAGGATAATTATAATCAGGCTGTTGTTTGGTTAAGAGATTATAATTATTTAATTGGTTTTAACTGTAATTGTTTATTAGCAGACTTCGAATAAAAAAAATCGGGAATAACAAGATTTGATTTGAAAAAATTTATTTTATTTAATTTTTTTTATTCATTTATTTATTTTTTTTTTTTTGCCCATTATGATCTTCCTTTCTTCCTTCCTTTCCCCAGTTATCATTCAAAAAAAAGGATCAGGGATTTAAAACGCGCAAATAACGAGGCCTTAAAAAAAGGAGACGAAAGCAGAGCAAGCACGAACTCCAAAACATCGGAGGTGGGATCGTATGCCACGGAGGAGTGAGTGATTTATCTACATCTATACCAGTATGGATAACGAATCCCCCGTGGACACAGGAAATACCGTGTTTGAAGAATTAGAAACTGAAATCACTGAAAAACAAATATCGGATGCTATATAACGAGAAAAATCTCATGGCCTTGATTATATTTTGAATGAAAACTTTATGGAATTCAAGGATATATTGTAACCATATTTACATATTATTTTTAATCGCATATCAACATCTGGGGCTCGTAACATAAAGCTTGCTAAGTTTTTGACTTAAGTAGGGTCTTAAGTATGTTTTAGGCCCAATCTTAGGACATGCCTAAGTACTACTTAAGTATGTCTTAAACCGTAACATAAAACGAACTTAGCAAGGTCTTAACTAAGTCAAACTTAAGTTCACTTTATTTTTCATACATAACCCTAGTTTTTCACGTAATTTACTTAAAAAATTAATCAGTTACATTTTTAAGTATACACATGTATAAAAGTTGATGTTCGTAATAAGCTATCGGTTGTTAGGTTGGATTAGATTTCATAGTAAAAAAAATACAATTAAAAATTATTCTTAATATTTGAAAATTATAAATCATAATAATGATTCATTGTAAAAACATGACTTTTGTTTATCACTCTAGACTGCGATGTTTTCAGTTACCCTTTTGTTGTCACTCTTTTGTTTTGAAAAATATTCACTCGCTTTGCCATAGTCGCGGACATGTGGCACGATAAATCGAACGTTTATCTATAGACCTACATGAAATAAATCTGAGAAAATTCATTTTCTAATTTACCGTACCAACAATATCTCTGTCTTTAAAGTCTATTATATCTCACAATGTCACAGCCAACATAATAATTCACAATTTATTTTCCAAATTATACAGATAGTAAGTAACATAAATTATATAATTTAATTAATATTTCAAAAAATTTTTTTAGCATGTACATATATGCCATGTCAAGACTGATACTAGAATTAGTGTTCAATAAATCTGTTTTCAAACCCGACTCCCACCCCCCGCAAAAAGCTAGAACTTATTTATCACTATTTTACATTCATTTGGTAAATTGTTTTTTTTTAAATGCATAATATGAACAAAGAAATGTTTTAACGTCGAGATTTTTAAATCTATCTCTTCTAAATATGTAGATAAGATAGTTAAGACATACTTAAGTTCCCTTTATGTTACGACCCCCTGGTTATTTTCCAACACAATGAAATCAATTATACGTGCTAGTCCGCCATGTACAACAAATGCAGCCCGATTTCTACCATGCAATAGGTTTATGGATGTCTTAATCTGAGCGAAACAAATATTCTTGGGCATTTTTAAATGCCTGTTTTTCAGATACTGAGGTCGAATTTTCTCTAACTTTGTGTTGTGTAGTAACCCTTGGACTTCCGGTCAAGGAACTGTCATTCATGCATTTGAAATACATGAGTCCGAAAAGTCGCTATGTAGTATATATTTGCATCTGCAGCTCTCCTTTTTCTTATTTTGAGAATTTCCAGCAATGAAAATGCGTGCTTTCAGTCATTTTGAGGAAATCACATACGGAAAAAGATAGAAGAATTTTTTTCCCGGCATTTTAGTACAATACTAATGATTAACAGCTACAAAACCTTGAAACCCCAAAATATTGTCAATAATTTTATTTAAAATGCTTATTTTTGTTTTCTGTTAAGAGGGCTAAAAGTCAACTTGCGGTAATGGATGAAAATCATTCAACCGTTAAATAACTGATTTGGCAAAGTTAAAGATGTCCTAACTTTTTTGGTACATGGTTATATCCCGTATATAATTTTCACCCTAAAATTAGGGTGTTGCTTTTCTTTTGAGTGTCAGTGTAAAAATTCCGCATGCAGGTGTCATAACGGTATGTTGCTGCATAAGTATGGGTAGTTGACGATAGAAAAGTTAAAGTCATAGAGCTTGGTTGTTAGATTACCAATAACGTCTTTTTCAAGTATGAAACAGATGTGTCAGACTCTGTGGTATCTTTTATGTCTTTTATCTCAAGCTCACCAGGATATATCTTATCGACATAGGAATGGAAATTACCATTGGTAATTGACAATGCGTCGTCGATATATCTGAATGTCGAGTTGAAGGCCAGAGGAAGTGTTTTCTTCTTTTCACACATAAGATTTTGAACAAATTCTGCTTCATATGAATGCAAAAATAGGTCTGCTAAAACAAGGCGCAATTGGTACCCATGGGAATTCCAATAGATTGTTGGAAGACCTGGGGCTCGTAACATAAAGCTTGCTAAGTTTTTGACTTAAGTAGGGTCGTAAGTACGTTTTAGGCATAATCTTAGGACCTGTCTAAGTACTACTTAAGTATGTCTTAAACCGTATCATAAAGCGAACTTAGCGAGGTCTTAGCTAAGTCAAACTTATATGTTAAAAATATTTCATATGAGTCAATCTATGGTTTTTGATTTAATATAGATATATTGCTAAAAGTGATTCAGTTAGGGTTCTAATTAATTACATACTAAGGTTGATGTCCTTACCTATCGGTTTAAGTATGTTAGATTAGATTTCGTATTAAAATAATAATTATGTTATAAGTTATTCGGAATGTTTGAAATCAATACCACACGGTCAGAAAGTAGCAATTTGTGGTTAATTGTAAATGTTCACGACAATTGTTTTATCACCTGAGGTGTTTTCAGTGTGCCTTTGTAACTCTTTTGTTTTGACGAATGTTCACTTACCCTTTTATTATCGCAGACAAGAAAAGATAATCGGCCGCCTTTCCACTTGAAATTGAAACTCTAAACATTTTGAATCCCCGCTATGTATACATGTATCAGGCCATGCATGTCATAAGCAAAAACTGTGGAAGTTTTATGATATACTAATTTGCAATTTAATTCAAGGATACAAAAAAATCGGGATATTTTTCTATGTCTCCACTTATCAGCAATTCTCTCTCTCTCTCTCTCTCTCTCTCTCTCTCTCTCTCTCTCTCTCTCTCTCTCTCTCGAACTGTCGTGAACCCTGTCTTTTATTTATTCATTTATTTTACTTTAAAGATACTTCTTTATTACTGTTTAGTCATCATCCTCATTCTTTTCTGTCTTTAACAAATTATTTCAACTCATATTTTCAAAGTGAACATACAGATCCATGGTTTATTACTGTGTTCAATTTATTTCTATAACCGAGGTACGACTATTTTTAGAGGTACCCCTAAAATTAAACCTTGTATTTACATGTACGCTGTGTTGGAAGTGATATTGGAATCACTGAGCCCCCCCCCCCCCCAACGAAAAAATAAGATTTTTAAATCAGCGTCAAATACAGATAGTTATTTTCTTTAATGCATATTATGAAAAGAGGAATGTTTTAACATCGAAAGTTAACATTAAATAAGTCGAAATACATGTATAAGAAACTTAAGACATACTTAAGTCACCTCTACCGGCCGCCTAAGTTTTGCTAAGATTGACAAATCTTAGCATGCTTCTAGTTACGGTCTTAAGTTTTAGACTGTACTTAAGTCCTACTTAAGCACGGTCTTAGACTTAAGTAGCCTTTATGTTACGACCCCCTGGTCTCCAAAACCACAGAGATATTGTCAATCAGACACTCAAGCATTCTTTTGATGTCATCTTCAGAGTACTTGTGTGTATAATCAGAATGTTTTTAACAAAGTAATTTTGCAAATAACCAATGACCAGGTAAGAAAATTTACGAGTTCTATTTTTAGCTCTACTGGTCAGAGACCAGAAGAGCTTATGCGACAGTAATGCGTCCGGCGTCCGTCCGTCTGTCTGTAAACATTTCTTCAAAATGCTACTCCCCCTACAGTTTTTGTCTGATTTCAGTATAACTTGGCACGCAAGTAGACTACACTAAGATACATAATTCTGTATATCGGTTTTTGATTTCGATGAACTGTGCTACCGTGGTTACTAAAAATAGAAATTTCTGTGAAATTCTTTCAAAATGCTACTCCTCCTACAGTTTTCGTCTGATTTCAGTATACAGTTAAAGTATATCGTTGAGGGAGTCAGCAAGATTCCAGTTCCCCAAGAGCAGTCTATTTCCCGAGGCGCTTGCGCCGAGGGAAATAGGCTTGCTCAAGGGAACTGGAATCTTGCTGACTCCCGAAATGATATACTTTAACTGTTTTATTATACCGATACAAACAAGACATTTGAAAAAAATTATATTCAATACTGTATTCAGTAACAATGTTTAAAAAAATGAAAAAATTAAGGGAAAAAAACGACAAAAACAGAATACAGTCATGAAAGGAATTCCATTTTATCAATAAATCAGTTCATTGTCCGAGTTTTTACCTAGTAAAATCGAAAGTAACATTACGCAAAATTGAGCACGCCATTTCTGTTGTTGTTCGCTTCAAGTAAACTGGTTCTTTTTGATTGATTTGGGACCAGTTGTATCGCGATGCATTTCGATTCACTAATGAATATTCATGAGTTTATTCGGAACATTTTTAAGTTTGTCGTGAGTTGAAAGAAAATGTCAAGCGTTCCGAATAGGTGTGTATCACTTCATCAAAAAAACGTACTTTTTTTGCAGGGAATCGGTCTGTTTTGCAGGGAATCGGTTTATTTACGGTGATTTTAAGGAAATCAGCAAAATATATCGATTTACTTTTATATAGTGAAAAATCAGTAGAGGTATAATAATATAATTTGGCACACACGTAGACTACACTTAGATACATAATTCTGTGTATCAGTTTTTGATTTCGATGAACGGTGTTGCCGTGGTTACTAAAAATAGAAATTTCTGTGAAATTCTTTCAAAATGCTACATTTCCTACAGTTCTGGTCTGATTTCAATATAACTTGGCACACAAGTAGACTATACTAAGATACATAATTCTGCTTTTCGGTTTTTGATTTCGATTAACGGTGTTGCCGTGGTTACTAAAAATAGAAATTTCTGTGAAATTCTTTCAAAATGCTACGTCTCCTACAGTTTTTGTCTGATTGCAATATAACTTGGCACACAAGTAGACTACACTAAGATACATAATTCTGTATATCGGTTTTTGATTTCTATGAACGGTGTTGCCGTGGTTACTAAAAATAGAAATTTCTGTTAAATACTCTCAAATGCTACTCCAGATGCAGTTTTAGTCTGATTATAATATAATGTGGCATGCAAGTAGACTTAACTAAGAACATAAAGAGACTTATAATCAAGGATATTATTCTATTTATTGCTGTTGTAAAGATTCAATTCCCAACTGCCTAAGTACTTTTTTCTTCATTTGCTTTAAGTGCAAACCAGTAGAGCTTCAGTCTCGACAGACACTTCTGGTTATTGAATAATATAAAAAAAACCTGGACTTTAATTTATCGCGGGGAATGATTGTGTATAAAGTCGTAAAAATTTAAGCTGCTGATTTTGTTAAAATCTTGTGATTCTAAATTGTCCAAAAGTTCCTTGGAATTTGTAAGCATCCACATCTGATTTTCACCACTTCTTGAATACAGTGTATATTGTTGCACAGTAGTCTTGAAGTTTCTCCTTCACTGTTGTTAATATCTTAAGTATCAGTCACATTATCCAGCGATGGGGTATACGATGAGAAACCGATGCGTTTTTTTTTTTCATAAAAAATGTCCTGGTGGCGGGACGAACACCTATAATAATCGGACGGTGACTGAGGCCATTTGGCTAATCGGTGGGATTCATCGGTAGAAAATAAGTTGCAGTTAAAAGTCAGCGATATCTCCATCGATGCCCCACATCGCTCCTCATCGGCAACACATCATTAACACATCTTTCAAGGATTGGCCGATGTATGGCCGAGCATTCTCAAGTGTCTGGTGAATCTGAGATCATTGGGGGGGGGGGGGGGGGGGGGTTGAGTGGTGGGCAACAGACATCGGCCGATCATCGGTCAATGTTCGACCAAACATTGGCCCATAGTCGACCGACGTACGAACGTTGTTCACCAATGTATGCGCGATGTAAGATACATCAGCCGATTACCCTGGAACATCGTTTTATGATTAGCAATGCATAGCTGGGCCTTTGTAAGTCCGACCGGCAACCACTACATTTTTATCAAATGGTTGCCCATAGTATACCCCATCGCTGGGTAATGTGACTGTTAAATGAATGAATACTAGGATGATGTGGACCGATGTTGGGGCATCGCTCACACCACGGATTACCACCGGTCTACGGCCACCGGCCGGGAATTGTGACTAAGGCATAAAGTATTACTCACAGTATCCAGCAATGGGGTATACGATGGGCAACCAATGCGTTTTTTGATCAAAGTGGCGTGGTTGCCGACTAGACTTACAAAGGCCCAGCGATACATTGCTAATCATAAAACAATGTTCCAGGGAAATCGGCCGATGTATATTACATCGCTCATACATTGATGAACATCATTCGTACGTCAGTCGACTATGGGCCAATGTTTGGTGGAAAATCGACCAATGATCTGTTGCCCACCACTCAGCCCCCCTCCCGCCGCCCCCCCCCCCCCCGATGACCGCAGATTCAACGGACACTTAACGATGCTCGGTCAGACATCGGTCAATCCTTGAAAGATGTGTTAATGATGGGTTGTTGTTGAGGAGCGATATGGGACATCGGTGGAGACATCGCTGATTTTTAACTACAAATTATTTTCTACCGATGACCCCCACCGATTTGCCAAATGGCCTCAGTCACCGTCCGATTATTATAGGTGTCCGTCCGGCCACCACGCCATTTTTATATAGAAAAAACCCCATCGGTTTCTCATCGTCTACCCCATCGTTGGATAATGTGACTGATACTTTATTTTCTACCGATGACCCCCACCGATGCGCCAAATGGCCTCTGTCACCGTCCGATTACTATAGATGTCCGGCCGGCAACCACGCCATTTTAAAAAGAACCATCGGTTTCTCATCGTCTACCCCATGGCTGGATAATGTGACTGATACTTTAATGATATACTTGTAAATTATTAATGCCTGAAGGATTACAAAGCAGAGAACAACAATTCAAAAGTTTATTAAAAGACAATTCAATCTTTAAAAAAAAAACTTACATGGTTGTCATTAGAGATTGAAATTAATTTGCAAATTGATTTTCAAAGTAATATTTTATCGAGTAGAAGCTAGTTTTCAATGAGGAATCCAAATGTAACTTTGTTATTCTTCATTCAAACTTTTTGATTATCATGTTCTATAATTATTTTTTCTTCTTTTTACGGGGGGAAACTTCCTGCTTTTTCTTTCCAATGTTTTTACACAAACAGCATGCGCACACGAGACCAATAATCTGAAATAAACGCCATAACTTTTTGCAATATAATGATATAAATGTTTTTATCATTTATTTGGTCAGTTTGTATATCACTACAATTTTTTTTTTGAAAATGATGGAAAATTACAAAACTCCATTTGTCAAGCAGCGTAAATACCATTTGTCAATCAGAGTAAATATCTCAATGAAAACCAGGAACGCTTAACTTTTAAGTATGACCAACCTCTGCAACTTGCCAGAGTGGTTAGAAGGATGAGAAAGGGTGAAGATAACACATAGTAATCGATCTCAAAAAAGTAAAAACAAAACAAAATCTGTCAAAAGGGCATAAAATACGGAAGGAATTCTAGACGTGGAATCAGGTGCCTCAGAGAGGTAAGCATCCCCTCTTGAACGGTCACCTCCGCCGTGAACCCTATGTTTTGATCAGCTAGATGGAACATTTCCTCGTCAAATTCGGTTTAAAAACAAAGACCTAACAGACTGATTGGATATCTCTTTCAATAGTCCTGAGTTACTTTACCTCTACGCCTAAGATGATACATCCGGTAGCGATGAAGTACAAAGTATAGGTAGATATGGCCTTTTCTACAGCACTGTAACAACCCTGTTATTGATAAAAACGTACTTCAGTCAATTTAGTCAGGGATTTGGATTATAATTTCTGACACCAAATTTGATTATGAAATTTAAGATAAAACTTTGAGCTATATCTATGTTCCTGAACTTACTGTATTGTAAAAGCCTTTATACACGTCATCCGTGCATGACGTGAAGAGGATGAGGTTATAGTTGTTGGTGTTGATCCCGGTACAGCAAAAGATGGGGACTTTCTTTGTACCAGCTGAGGAGGTTTTCCACGGGGTGTTTGTGAAGTCGTTTGTCGTGTTCTGATTATCATTGACACCGCAACAAGACAGCTATTTTGCAAAATTGAAAGAAATTACTAGTAGTTTGAATTTTTGTATTTGAATTGAAATCGTTAAAAACACATTTTAAACGAAAGGTTAATTAAGGAACCTTCAATCATTACCAAAAAAAGGTTTACAAAAAGGAAAATAATACCGTTTCATATGTAATGAAATATATGGAGATAACAAACGGTATTCAAGCTCAAAAGTCCATTGGAACAAAACAAAACAGGAGCTTAGCTAACACAGACCTCTAAAACATCAGAGGTGGGATTAGGTGCCATGGAGGAGTGAGCATCCCCCTGCTGACCGGTCACTCCCGCCGTGTGCTACTTGTCATGATCGGGAAATAACGGAATTAATGTGTAACTAATGGCATAACTATTGATAAGAAAATTAAACGTAAGTTCAAATGTGACCTAACGACGTTCGATCCTGATATTTAAAGTCTTAAACTTTTTTTGCCAAGTATATTTTTAGTTTCTACAAACATAGCTTAATTGAAATTCAAATCAAAAAATGGGGGTCAATATGCTTCTTTTAGCGCTACAGTACATTTAATATGACCTTTCTGCACTGAAATTTGTGTCTTAATTAAAAATTACATCTTCGACGTTTTCCCTTCGATATTTTTATGCAATTAAAGCATGAAACAAAATGAAGTCTAAGTCTGTTTAAAAAAAAGACACTTAAAAATTGTGACTAAGATAAAGTTTCAAATTGCTTCGCATAATCAATTATTTGACCTTTCTGCACTAATAAAATGTTTTTTTTCCCGGCATTGAAAATATAATAAGCAAGAAAACTATTTTAAAGTCTTAAACTTTTTCTGATTTTAAGCATATAGGTCAAAGTTATCTTAAATATTTAGAAAAGAACATCAAAAGTAGGGGTATATGATCTTAATTTTCAAATATTACTAAAAAAGTGTAAAAATTTACGTTAAAATTGACTCAATTTTTTCCCGGATTTTCAGAATATATTTACTATATTTGTCACACTTTGTTGATAGAATTCATAAGAAATAATTTAATACATATTTCAGAACCAGCATAGCATATTTCACTGCAAAAAACAGCTTTGTGTGCAACCAGCATGGAAAAATAGGCATCCAAAATTAACAGTACTGTTATAGTTCAAATGGAAAAAACTGATGATTTTCGTCTAAAAAACCTTCCGCCACAAAATATAGTCCCTAGCTTAATTCTACTTGAATGGAATTTAATCGCGGTTTTTTCATTGAATTTAGTTTAATTTGCATTGTACAATTCAGTTTTATTGTTAGAACCTAAAAATGATGCTTAATTTTATGAATAAATGACCTGCGCGAAATACGCTCAAAATATCAGGATCGAACGTCCTTAAGGATAGGTTGTATCTGCTGACAAGATATGCTGTTAATATTCCCATTATATAAACTTTTTCGTCAATAATTTAAGTTGACGATTGCAAAGTTGGTCATCATATTTATCATGAAAATTTCTTGTAAGATTACCATTATGTCTTTTTGAAGTAAAATATTCAAATATAAAACAGATGTGTCAGACTCTGTGGTTACATCAATGTCAAGCTCACTGGGATATATCATGTCGACATATAAATGGAAGTAACTACTGTTTATTTATCATACGTCGTCGATATATATCTAATGAGTTGAATGCCATAACAATTGTTTTCCTCTTCCTATATGTAAGATTTTGCATAAAGTTTGCTTCGTATAAATACCAGAATAGTCTGCCTATTACGAGACGCAATTAGTACCCATGGGAATTCTTACAGATTATTGGAAAACCTTATCTCCAATAACCAAATAGATAGCATCAATCAGACTCATCTTTTATATTTATTGAATATAATTAGGATATTTATTATTTCATATTTTACAAGCCTGGACTTGAATTCATCGTGTAATATTGTTCTATACATTGTAGAGTTGAAAAGTCGTGTAAGTTTTTATGTTACTGGTTTTAGTAAGAAAAATTTAATTTCAAATTTTCCAAAAGTTCCTTGAAATTTTTACGTATCTGATTTATACCATTTTTGTTTAATATATTGTTGCACAGTACTGCTGAAATTTCTCTCATGTAAACATTTTTTGACATTGGTAAGTATCATCAAAGAAATTTATCATTAAGATTAAAGCCGCCCTAAATAAGTTTGATTTGAAAACTATTTGGCGGTGTTTTTGTATGTCGATACCTTCATGAAAAGATAGTTCCAGGCCGTAGAGATTTCATGGCTTGATAGATCTTCCTTTGTGTAGTGAGTCTGTAGGTTGTTGAGTAGTTCACTTTTAATGGAGTTGGTCACCTTAAACATAAAAAAGTCATGGTGGTTATATACATTCTGCATGAATAAATTCCAAAATCCGTTACTTTCATCGCAAGAAATATCTACTTTTTTGTCAAAGAAAACAATGCAAATTAAGCACATGTAAGTTACCTTATCATTGGCAACTGCCCAGAGCGCCACTCCGACCAATTGTAACACCAGAAGAGTGAGTACTATTATCGAGTACTAAAAAGAAAAACAGAAGTCCCATCAAGTTAATTAAGTACACTAACACATTATTTTCAGATGTTTAAACGTTTTAATTCATATTAATGACGTATAACTGATTCTTGCATGTTCATTTAACTTGTTATTGGTACATATATATAACTGGATATACTGTAATAGAACTGACCACACAGAGACATTTCTTGTTTGATTTGCAGGCTCCACACAATCCTAGAGTAGCCACCAGGAGCGTGAAGGTTCCCAGGATAATCATGGAGATAGAGAGACCGTCTGCTACGTCAGCCAGATTGACGTCACCGTAAGACAGCGTCTTCATTAGAGGTTTGACTTTCTCATCGATGTATTCAATGTTTGCCAGAATTAGGATTCCGGGAAGAATTAACATCAACCCGAATATCTTTGACGAGGGAATAAAAACGGAGTTAGAAAATTTAAATCATCAACAAAGATAAATGTAGACTAGAATATCTTAAGTTTCTGTTCACGATTTCGTTAAACAACGCCAGGACAAGAGATAAAATTTCAAACATACCATAAATAAAATATTGATGAATACCAGGAACACTTTGCCCATTGAGGAGAAACAATCCATCTTGGTCTGAAAAATAAAAATATTTATTATTAATTTTAAGCTCTTTTGAGCTGAAACCTTAAGTAAGCTTTTCTGATCACCAGTTTTCCGTCGTCCATATGACCGTTCGCTTGTTTGTAAAATTTCCAAATACAACTTATGAAGAACCACTGAGCTAATTTTAATTAAAATTTGTACAGAGTATCCTTGGTTAAAGGAAAGTTTAAATTGTTAAATTGGTAAACACCTCTTATAAGGAGAGAAAATAAAAAAAATTCAAAAGCAGGGTGGGTCATTAAAATCATCTCAAGAACTTCTGTACAAGAAAAGCTGGAACTTACGAGTAAGCATTCAAGAGTTGTGTAGATTCTCAGATGTCAAATTCATGACCCCTGGGGGTAGGACGGGGCAATAATAGTAATTTACTATTAGTACATTGAAATTAGTAATGAAATCTTCAAAAGTCTCCTCGGAATCCACCTGGCTAGAAAAGCTTCTTATAACAAATTGAATTATTTACCTCATCCCCTGTTTGGATGCCACCAAAATGTAACGTGTAAAGTTACTGGGTTCTACAAGGTATAGGATATCTTTTATTAATATATATATTATATATTTAAAGAAGAAAACTGAAGACGCTAGGTAATAAAGCCACTCATTGAGAGATACAATATAAAGATCAAAGGTTAAAAGTAAGACACTAGTGGAAAGGGAGCAGTCCATAAGAATTGTGATAAGGTACTGGGGCGAAGTAATTCTGTATGAGGGTGAAAAAACCTAGTACGTATATTGGTGAATATTGGCGCGAGTTGGCTATACAAATGCACCAGCTTGCGAGTGCATTTATATATTTAACGAGTGCCAATATAATATCAATTATTCCTTTATTATAGAGCTAAACATTTCCCATTGATTTGAATTATTTCGTTTTAATAACTCACATTAATTGATATGTTATACATGTACTAAATTATTCATAAATTTCAATTTTGTTGCAAAATAAACAAATCTTAGCTGGCTGCCACTACTGATCACAAAATTTAAAAGTTGTTGACCAAACGACATTTTTTTTTCCTCAACGGGGCGTTCGATATTGAAAGCTCGTATTTGGAGTGTTTCTTACATACTCCATATGCGAAATATACAACGCCAAGGTATTGAACGCAATAATTTGGATATCAATTTTGAGTTGATTGGAAAATGAAACTTGAATTCAAAAACTAAAAAAACTCAGGTATATACTCACCACCTTTGCTTGTAAAGAGTTCTGATTGACTTGGTTTGTGGATTCCTTATCTCTTTCAATGTTAATTTAAATCTATGTTCTAATTATCTTCCGTTGGCTTTCATTCGCTGGTAACTTGATCTTCGTCTTTTGTTATTGCTGGTTAAACAAGACTACGGGGGAGACTTTTCAGAAAGCTGTCATAACTATTAAAATTCAAAAATAGTCTATCCCCTCAATGTTTGTTTGATTTTGTTTGTTTTTTTTTTGTTTGTTGGTTTTTTTTTTATTATTATTTTTGCTTTCAACTTTCTGTTTCTTATTTCTCATTCTATATAGAGAGACAAATTCAACAGGTACCTGACATTTGAATTTTTTTCATTACGTTTAGACATGGTCAAGTTGCAGTTATATACAAATTTTTGTTACTCTGTAATGTTTGGAAGGGGCGTTATAAAATGCAAAAATTCTCGACAGGCAAAATCTGCGTGGCGGAACCCGATGGTTTTACCGTAATTTAGCTTACATTTCTATTGTATAGATTATAATCAATTTAACTTCTCGGGCCTTTCCGACTATAGCGGAAAAACGACCTCGAATGTATATGGTAGACGCCATGACAACCCTCCCTTTTCACGATCTTTGAAATAAATGCATGGAGACCTATATCTGTGGAATATGGAGTTTATCTTTATTCAATGTAATGATATTACCTAAAATATACTATAGAGGGGACTTCTAACTCCGTCTATCCTATATTTGAATAAACAGGAAATGTATAAATTTTTAACATCCGGTGATGTTAATACATTCGAGGTTGTTTTTCCGACCTCTGACGGAAAGACCCGAGATGATGCGATTGGATTATAATAGCAATATGTAAGAGTGCACAATTGTAAATTTATTTTACTTTTACAATATTAATTATTCATAGGTTAAATATAAAAATACTTTGTTACATGTATGTACGTTCTATTACATGTACCTTTTTTCAAACAGGTCAAACAGTGATATGGAAGTCCAGTTGTTTAACTAACACAACTATTTTTGTATTCATAAATGTAGTGCACGACATATATATATATAATCAAAGAAATACTTTTTGGAGACCAGATCTTCCAATATTCTATTGGAATTCCCATGGGTACCAATTGCACCCAGTTATAAGCAGAACTATTTTTGTGCATATATTTATGTGATTCAGAGTTTGTCCAAAATCTCATACAAAATGTACGTGAAAAGAAGACAATATGCTGTGGCTTTCAACTCGACAAAATAATCCATTAACATTGGTTATTTCCATTCTTATGTCAATACGATATATCCCGATGAGCTTCAGATAAAAGATACCACATAATCTGACACATCTGTTTCATATTTGGATATTTTACTTGAAAAAGGCGTAAATGATGATCTAACAATCAAGATAGATGATAAATGTGATGACTTCAACATTTCTATCGTCAACTTCCCTTATTTATGCAGCAATATACCCTTATCGCCTGCATACCCAGTTTATATCTGTCAGTTGATTCGATACGCAAGAGAATGCTCAATGTATGTACAATTTCTAAAACGAGATAATTATTTACAAACAAGTTGATGAAACAAGAACATCACAAGTCTCTTTCAAAGTCATCATTTTCTAAGTTCTATGGTCGATACAATGGTCCTGTCATCAATACAAGTTATCATTGAATTAAATTCTGACCGACATTTTTCATACTAATTGTTAGTCCATTATATCACACTAACTTGACGACGAATTTTCCGATATTTCCCGATCATGACAAGGAGCACACGGCAGATAATACCGGCCGGCAGAGGATGTTCACTCCTCCGTGGCGCCTGATCCCACCTTTGGTTTATTGGAGATCCGTTTGCTCTGCTCCTATTTTGCATTTTGAATGGATTTTGGGCTTTAATACTGTTTGTTATCTCAAAATACTAGCATTTCATTTTAGAAGTCCTTCACAGTTTTTTGATTTTATAATGTATAGTTTTATTTTATCGAAACAAGAATATATATTTAAAAAATATTCGCCTTTAAAAATTTTCTGGGCAACTGTCGTATTAAAGATAAAATATTTTGAATTTTAAGACGTTATCTGATAAATATTTTGTCTTCTGGCTGAAAGAGACAAAGTACTCGACCAAATTTGTTCAAGTCAGAAAAAAAACTGTTGCAAAGGATAAGACAGAGAGTCAAGAGGATTTAGCATCAGAAAACGGAAGATATTTACGGTGAACAGATACCTTCTTATCAAAAGTTATTTTAAGCGTTTATCAGGGACTGATAAGACTGGTTACGCGGTTAAAGAAACCTTTTTGTAAGAATTTTTGTAAGACTTTTGCATAAAAAGTCACAGAAGACATTAGCTGTAAAGTTATTTCAAAATTTCCAACCTTGGTTTATTGTCACAAACATGAAAATTCTCGGTAAGTGCAAGTGTTTCATTGCTATTTTTTAAGAGTGACTATGAGTTGAAATCACTTCGGAATATACAAAGAACAAAACTGTAAGTAATTGCAAATCGTATCTTAAAAACCTTGACTGCACGAGCACGCATTCACTTTTTTCATTATCGGTCACAGGACCGGTCGATCTTTTGTGGGTGTGTGAGAAAGTGCATATGGGGATATTAGTTCGGTAAAATGATTTTAACTTGTAAAAAATGATAAGTAAAATATATGCATCTGTACAACATGCTTTAAACTGAATATTTGCTGTTCTTATGTTACAGTTTGGATGTATGATTTTATATTTTCAAAATAAAGGTTCACGGTACTAACTTTCACATAGGAGGGATCTTTTTTTCATGTAAAGTAAAATTAATTCTAAAACTTATTTCCCGATCATGACAAGGAGCACACGACAAATGTGATCGGTCGTCAGGGGATGCTTACTTCTCCATGGCACCTGATCCCACTTCTGAAGTTTCAGAGGTCGGTCTTTGCTCTGCTCCAATTTTGTATTGTTTTATGGACTTTTGTTCTTGAATACTGTTCGTTATCTCCATATACAAGTACTTCGTTAATGAAAATAAGTCTCTTGCTGTGGCCTTTAATTTGACATATACATATATCGCCGACCATTCAATAATAAACAATATTTCTATATCTTCTCTGGTTTAATATGTCCAATAAAACCTTTATAACCTTTTTAAACCTTAAACCAAAAGAGAATTCTGAAGGTCTTTTTTTCAAAGTTAAATTGTACGTTGTCATCCGTGGTCGCTGGGTTGTAAAATGAATAAATTGTAAAGAATTTAATAAAACACAGTTTTACATATGCGTAGTATATAAATAAAACATTTCGCAATGCGGATAAATAAGACTAAACAAAGTTAATGTTCATATCTATCGATGTAAAACACCTCTCGATGATTCCTACCATTTTCAAAGACAGAAGAAAAACCAACACTGGTTTTCTTTGGCCTAATTTGATGAACAGTGCCAGGTAGTCATCCAAGCAGAACGAACCCTTACCTTTGGGTGTACAATAATTTAACAATGGAAGTATTCGACATTGGTGAAATGTTTTAAGTAAGTTATAAGCCTAAAACTGACCATTATGTCAGATATTAAGGCCGGTATACACGGTAAGATTTGTATTATAACATTTGTATTAAAATACAAAATCTTACTGTGTATACACTCTTAATACAGTGTATCATAAGATTTTTCGAATCTTATAAAACTGTATTAAGAATAGAGCAATGCTCTATTTCCTAATACAAGTCTTAACTCACCTTTCACTTTCAACCAATCAAATGTACTCACATTGGGGGTCATCCTATTTATATCATTACTAAATAAAGCACATGGTAAATAATAATGGCCGACTTTTCGAGTAAAAATATCGAAAAACTCGTGGTTTTATGGGAGGGGGAAGAGGACTTGTGGAATATATCAAGCTGTAGCTACCACAAAAAAGATGCTTGAAGCAGAGTTTATTATTATCGTTTTTATTATTTTGACAGAGAGAGAAATATGGCAGGAGAAAACACGTGGGAATAATACAGTCAAACCTGTATTAAGAGACCTTCCAACGGAGAAAGGAAAAAAAGTCACATATGACAGGTGGTCTCTTAATACAGGTTGCTTATTTTCTGCAGTGTTCAAATATACAATGCTGGAAATATCATATGTATGTTGAATGTATTTTACAACACCTTATGTTTACTACCACTTTTTAATAGGCACTGCTCAACTCTAAAATGCTGTAATTTTACAATTGTCCTGTTAAGAAAAAAAAAATCTTGATCCACACATGATTAAGTGATTTGAATATTGGGAAATATTGTGAACATCTGAAAATACTACCATTAATATTTTTTCATACAGTATAAAAAAGCTGTAAAGTTTTTCCCCCAAATAATAGTTTTATTTTTTTTCATTTTTTTTTTTACATAATAGCATATAAACAACTTCATGTGTTTGCATATTACTAAGAATAAAAACTGTATCATGATTTTTGTTATGCACTTGGTATCAAATTAAATTATATTTATGACTGAAATATTTCTTTAACCTAATTACTCTTTTTTTCATAACTGAACTACCGTATCTAATTGCCTGTTTGTGACCAGGTTAAATTATCACATAGTATGGGTACTAGCTAGCGTGTGTTTACATACCCATTGGTGACACAATGCACTTAAATAAACATCTTTGATTTATTTACTTGTAAATTAAAGTTAAACAGGCAGGTTTTATAGCTGAATATCCATTTATTCTTATATTATGAAATGATATCGGGATCGACCTCGAATGTCTATTTTCAAAATGGCGCTCGATCACTGGACACAAAAACGTGGTGTTTATGTTTTAGATTTTAATGTTTATTCAATAAATATCAAAGTGTTAGTAAAAATGTTCATTTTTAAATGTTGTTTAATTCGTAAAACTCGCATTATTTAATTATTAAATGAAATAAAAGCGTGTCTGTAGTTGATTTGAACTAAAAAACGAAGCATGCTTGACCGAAATCGAAAGTAGGAATAGGAAATTATGTAGTCGTTTAATTCAGGTAAAATTGCTTGAAATGACCAATAATGGTCAGGAAAATCACGGTCGTTGGTCGCGTAAGACAGGTGGTCGTTTAATAAAGGTAGAATATATAACGAAAAGCGTTGGGGGGAATTTTTACGGTCACATGTGACAGTGAGTCGCTTAATACAGTGGGTCGCTATGGCAGTTTTGACTGTAGTTTATTTACAATCTTATAAGATATGTATTAGCGTGTGTACAATAAAGTATTATAATACAAAAGTATTATAATACTTGTATTATACTACAAATCTCATCGTGTATACCAGCCTTTAGACTCTCTTCGGCGCTAACGCGCCTCAGGTCGCCTAATATCTGCCATAATGGACAGTTTTCGGCTTATAAACATTCCTTAAATAGGCCTTGGGATTGATTACGGTAAGCTATTTCCATATTTCATGAAACAAGAAAACCATCAGTTTCAATTAATTAAGGTCACATATTGCAAATTATATGGTCTTTTTCTTCCTTTTAAAATAATGACAGTGAGCACACTGAAGTCGTGTCTGGTCGACAGGGGATGCTTACTTGTCCATGAAATATATGGAAATAATGAACAGTATTCAAGCTTAGAAGTCCATAAAACAATACATTGGAACTGAGCAAACACGGGCCTCCAAATCATCAGAGGTGGGATCAGGTGCCATGGAGGAGTCAGCATTTCCTGCCGATAAGTCACATCGCCTTGCGCTCCTTGTCATGATCGTGGCGTCTTCAAATGAGTGAAAAATTCTCGAGAGGGACGTTTGTCAACATACAATCAATCAATCGAAGTCACTTTCGTTTTTCATTATTGAAAGTAGCTTCAACGAATTTATAATAGTAATGTATCAATTATCATATTCTGAATGCTTCACTCGACCTTGATTAACCACATGACTGAATTAGGTTAAACTGTAATAAAATGCCAATCCTCAAGGGGCTTTATGCATCACAAAGAATTGAAATCCCTGGTTTCAATGCATAATGTACAATGTCTACACGTAAATGTTTTTTTTTTGTTTGTTTGTTTGTTTGTTTTTGTTTTTTTTGAAATGATGAAAATAAACATTTGAATATTTCCAATCAATTTGAGAGTGATATTGTTTACATATTAGAAACTTATCTTTAATTTTATTCTAGCTTTCTAATGTAAGTAGTATAAACGGTCTAGATAGAGCGGAAGTGACGTCATAACCGGAAGTGGCCTAACCGGAAGTGGGCTAACCGGAAGTGGTCTAAACCGGAAGTGGCCGGAAGTGGCCTCACCGGAAGTGGCCTAGTCGGAACTGGTCTAGCGGAAGCGGAAGTGGCCTAGCCAGAAGTGTCCTAGCCTGTAGCAGGCTAGATGGCGAGGTCAATATCTAGGACATTATGCAAATGAGGTTCAAAAATGGAGGATTCTGATTGGCTGGGAGGATAAGGGGGTCAAGGGAGTGCAGCCCCCTGGGGGGATAGGAGGGGGTCAAGAGAGTGCAGATTGGGGGGTCTGGGGAGGATAGGGGGGTTCAACTCAGTACAGTCCTTGGGGTAGGGATAGGTGGGGATTCAGTATATAGCTCTAAATATAGTGTTTTACACTATACTGTAAGGACCGTGTGCAAAAAAATTAGGGTCATGTGCAAAAAAATAGGTTGGACTTACCTATGCATTGTGACGTCATCAACTGTATAAATACAATGTGATTATGACGTCACCCATTCATTTACAGTCTAGACAGCCTAGTCTAGCCAGTTCAAACTGGATTTTTTTACTGAAAACAAGAACACTAACACACAATAACAAGAACACAGATTTTATTCAGAATGAAAAAATACATCCAATTACATTTTCTTTTTCTTCTGTCCCTTATCACTCATCAGGGGTAGTTTCCTCTTGCTTTCCCTCTCCTTTTTCTTGAGATTGTTCTCCTTCAGGCGATAGAGGGATGCGACAATGTACATACACTTTATAAATAGACCTATCTGTAAAAATTCCTATAAGCTTCTTTTCTTCCCTAATCCTCTTTTCTCCCAATTGATGAAAACAATCCACAAGTGAAATTTTCCAGGAACTCTTCTCCCCACGATAAGGTCCACTCTTGATCTCCAATTGGTATTTTAGATAACCGTAATAACCATTTTTTCTCTCCTTCAGACAGTATTTTTCCTCTCTGGTGTCATAATTGGTCTCAAAATCTTCAGGATCCAATTCCACTCTTTTTACCAACCAAAATTTTTTGTACTTTAAATTCGGTGGCCATTTTAAATAATTTCTGTTGCGTTTATAAAAATTCTGGATGGCTTCTTCTTTAGTTTTCATCCATTCTCCAAAATGTTCTCCATTAATACACCAACAATACACCGTTTCCTCTGTCATATTTTTTTCTGCTCCATTTTTACCTGTGTTCACTTCCAAGTACTCACGCA